TTTTGAACGTATTGCCCGTCAATAATTTGATTTAGTTGAGTCAATGTTGGTTTTAGAATTAACTTATTCTTTTACCAGAAACACTTCAATGTTAAATCTTTGACAAAATACATTATTGATATTTTCTTTTTCCCTTTTTTCTTGTGAATTTAGATTTTATAATGTTATTTTTGTCTTGCTTTGAATTCTTTAATAGTCTTTTGTGTCTTAAGATCTTAGCTTAAGGCCTTAATTTACAGAATGATTATTAGTGTATCTGAAATCTGTTGAACTTCTTAAAGGCATATTATGCCTAAGAAACAAGTAGTTTTTCTTTCTGTAAAGTAAACAATACTTAAAATATACATGTTTATATGTTTGGTTTAAACATATTTATTAAAGCTCGATTGGGAAACAAGTTCTTGCAACTTACATTAATCTCTTTAAAGTCTGCTTCCAGGAACCAACCAGTACTGGTGTCATATATAGAGAAACATGGTCTGAAATAATTTATTTTTGCTGACATTTCAAAATTTGTTTTAGTAAAATATCAATAAAATGATGATTTAAATGACTCGTGGTTAAATCATATGACAACAGTTGAGATGTTATACTTTGATGGGCTAATTCATGGTGCACATGCATATGACTCTACTTTATAATATAATGATATGAGTGCAAACAAGTATGTTTAAACTTCGTCTTCATATACAACAAAAACTTCATATACAAAAAAAAAATCCCATAAACTTAAGTGATGTGTGTATCACATGTCAATGTGTATTCTTTTGCACTCACATTTAGTGTAAAATAGAAAGCTGCGCAACTATGACAATCTGGTTAAAGTTTTGTGGGTTCAAATCACTTACTCCTAACTTGATATGATTTCATATCTTTTTTCATCTTTTCTTTAAGGCTATTTGTACTATATTACAGCTTGAAGGTCAATTGCAAGGTTCAACATGTAGGGGAAATTCTAAGTAAATCTTCCGTCTTCTTTTAACATGAAAACCTACATCATAACAAATTGTATGAGGTTCACATATAACACATATTATACAAGAACTTGGAGCAGAATAGTTGTAACTCCTTCCTTATGTTAAACCAGTTACTACTGTTTCACACCAATCATTGATGTGCTTCAGTATGACTTAAAAACAAGCAAAACAAGCAAGCAAATAGTATGAACACAGGTAATATTATTAGCTTTTAAAAAAAGCAATAGAATTTTAAGATAAATAAAAAGACTTCCCATGGTTATTTCTTCCTGAGTTTTGTCGACTAATAAGCCACATCACGGAATGAACAAGTGTGTTTGTACTTTAATGAAAGAAATATAAATATTTGTCTCTTAACGGTATAGTTTGGCCAAACTTAATATTAAAATTGTAATGCTGTAGGCATTTTATATATTGTGTAAGTTGGACAGCAATTCACTTTTCTGTTATATTTTTTTAGACGATTAACATTCTTATTTTTCTGATATACCATTCATTATCTAACAAGATACCATTCATTATCTAACAAGATCTTATTGAAAACCTGATAAAGATTTTTTCCACATTTATAGTAGTAATGGTAAGGGGACAAGGCAAAGCATAACATTTTGTTGACAACTCTCAGTTAAATATAATTATAAAACAAACAAAAAAGGGGCTGTGGTTGTATTGTTAGGGTCACTTACTTAGTATCTCTGCGGGTATGTGTAAATATCATGTATATCCCTACACAGATTTTGGATTCTTTCATGAAGCATTATCTAATTATCTATATTACAGTTTTAAGTTTAATGCTGACTGAAAATAATAATGCACAAGGAAGTACCAGAGGCCTTTCTCCTCCTGGAAAGTGACCAGTGTCAGTCAATGAACACCTCCACCCCCTATCCCCCCCCCCCTGAAAAAAAAAATAAAATTTCAAAATTTATTGAGGTTTAATGTACATATCAAACAACTTAAGACTGCACTTACTTCTACACTTAATTTATTGTTCATTAAGATTATAGGAGATTGGTGAACCATTTTTGATGGGTTTTTGAATGCATGTGTCACATGAGTGACCTTTATACAAAATGTATTTTTTGATGATAATGATATTTAATGGAAGGATGAGAATATTTACACTTAATGTAGCCATGGTGATGATGTAGAAATAGTTTTATTTTCTTGTAATTTTGCAAACATATTATTTGTCATAGCTCTACAATGATAATTTGTAGGATAATTTTTTTCTGTATCATTTTGCCTCCAGATTCATGTTTTTTAATGCATTTTAGAAGAAAAAAATTTTTTGTATGAATTTTGAAAATAAAAATCTTTTGAACAATATAAAGTTCCATTTAAAAATGCCTACGGTAGTAAAGATATCTTGTTTTATGTGTAACTCTTAACCTGAGTTGGTGGTGTGCAACCATTGAAGACCTGAAGCTCAACCAGCATGTCAGTCTGTGCAATGTTTGCTGTACAATCAGTGTATATCTAATAATATTAAATGAATGATTTTGTGCAGATTGAAAGATAAAAAAAGTGTTCATTTAAATCTGTCCATAATTGTTAAAGTGATTGGTAGTTTGTTTAGGTTTTTGGCTAAGAGCTTGCACAAAACTACATAATGTGTATACAGTAAAAAAAAAACTTCGAGACATCGGCACTTCGACTCAATTTAATGACAACATTTCGGACAGTTGAATTGACTTACAAAAGGCATTACAAAAGGTGTGAAATTCCAGATTGAAGGTGTCAAATTAATCGAAGAACTTTGACTTATTTAAAATGTTCTCAAATTATCATGAAAACTTCGACTTGTTGAAAAAATTGTCACAGAAATTTGACTCATATATAGGTTTTAATAAAGAATATCATGTCGGATACAAGCTTAAAGCTTATGTTTTGTACTATTAACCATAACCGACTATAAATAAAGTTTGTCTTACCGTCTAATATAAGGGGGTGGGGGGACACATCAAGAAAATTTAAACTAATTAAAGTTTGACACATAACAGTTGTTCTGTAATTTAAATTGCTCTTTATATCCTGAACTTAGACGTAAGCCTTACTGATTGTCATTTTGTCAAAGTTTTTTTCAGTGAAAATTTCACTGTTCCTTTGGGTATGCATTTTCCTAGAATTCATGCTTAATTTCATTTTAGTTCCTTTAGGCTGATTATTGGTTTCCTTTGGGTTGATTAAGATGTTTTTGTATCATGTTTTTGTTATTTTAGTCCTATTTTATCCTGAGTTTAGAACTTGTAAGGTTTCAACTGACAAACAAATGAAGTTGGCTGCAAACTTGATAGGCTTTCCTGTCATTCCTCAGACACCTGCTGAGTGCTATTTTAAGAACTTCACTTCTAGTTTCTGTCAAGTTTGAATATTCCAAATGATTATCTAGGGATTTCTATGTTCCTGTACCTACTTTAAATGGCTAACAGTCTGACTATTTGATGCATATTTGTTGATATTTTCGTTGGTTTGAAACTATTTATTTAAAGCATGATTGCTACAACTCAGATTACACAGTTTCAAGTCCTCCAGGAACTAACCCAGTACTGATGCCCATTATAAGGAAACATTGCTTGGTACTCGTGTAAGGCTTGGACCCACACAATCCACAGTTGAAAAGCAGACACCTTGAGCAAAAATCCCTCCCCTGAAATTCTATTTTAGTTTACTCCATGGCAAAGTAATTAGAGTGGGATAAAATGCCTATTTTTGAGTTTGAATCTTGCAGAAGGGTTTGACATTATATCTGAAATTGATGTCACTGGTAGATTTTCTACGTGTAGGCTTCTGTTTTCATAATGATGCAAAGAAAATGATTGGAGAGGAATTTATTTCAAATTGACTACCTAGAAAAAAAATTCACACTAAACTTTTTGACTTTCTTTACATCAACAAGCACTCCTTGACTTGTTTTAATAATGAAAGACAAATTCATCATTTGAGATGGCACTCAAAAAGATTTGGCAATGAATGTTCTGTTTTGCCAATGTTGATACTATATGCTGTTATGTTAGTATTTTCTCCCAGGTATAACAACAATGCATGTTTTCTTAGATTGTTGGCAGAGAATTATTACCTGGACTACCTAATTATATAATATGCATACAGGGAAAGATAGGAGAGAATTTACTTTCCTAGAACAGGTGTGCTGTGTAAAATATAGGTTATAAAACTGTTTACTGTAAATACACCAATGTTTATAGTGATTTGAGATATAATTCAGTATTGTAACTCTTTTTTTTTAGCTCACCAAATCAAAAATAATTATGATCATATTGTATTTAGTAAGGTTACGGGTTTTTACTGGTATTTCAATTTAAATTTTGTAGCGGTACATGTATTAAGCAAATGGTCCTTTTTCATTCAATCTCCATAAGTTCTAACATGGTCAAGTTGATTTTATTTTATGAGTAGAGTTGAGTAGAGCGATATAGAGCTAGAATGGCCCTCTTTTTTTGTTCTGTCTACAGCAAATTGTTTCCATCAAACTATGTAAATAGACCACAATAATTGCATTGTCTGTAATGAAGATTGGCCTAAATAGTTGATTTACTTGAGGCCATGTATGTAAGACAACATAGGCAGGGTAAAAACTAATTACCTTAAATTACCTTATATTCAACTAGGGACAGGGACCAAGGGTAGTTGGCATTTAAAGAAAATGTAAAACTTTGATTCCTGATTAACTGTGACTTTTACTGTTGCAGTGTCCAATGTCCAATCACCCAAAAAGGTCTGTCCCGTCCTGAGAGGAGTGTCCAGTGTCCATTTCCTAAATTTAAGGTCCCATCCTTATAGGTAAAGTTCCTGCTTAAAGCCCCTGCTCTCTGATTGGACATGCATTGTATCCCAAACTTCTTTGATGACTTAAAATAAAACCATTCCCTTGACCATTATTTTTTTGGTATTATATGATTTTAACCATGGGGTAGAAATACACAAATGTATATAAAAAAAGTATCTTTTTGTCATAATGACCTTGCAGGAAAAAAATAATCTTTTTTTTCTATCTATTTACAGCAAACTTCAATTGTATTGGTCTGGGATATGAAGCTTTTGCTTGCCTGAATGGTTTCTGCCTACCATACCAGAAGAGTTGTGATGGGGTCACAGACTGTGTGGATGGATCAGATGAGCTTAATGTGGTCTGCAGTAAGTATATTTCTCATAATTTAAAGCTTGAAGAAGCGTACATGCATTTACTCCAAAGTTTGTGCAAGGATAACATTTTGGTAGAGCTTACGTCTGAGTTAGGATAACATTGTAAATAACATCTTGGTATGGCTTACCTCTGTTAACATTTTGGTACAGCTTACATCTGTGTTAGGATAACATTTTGGTATATCTTAAGTCTGTGTAAGGATAACATTTTGGTACAGCTTACATGTATGTCTGTGTTAGGATAACATTTTGGTACAGTTTACGTCTGTTTAAGAACATCTGGTACAGCTTACATCTGTTTTAGGATAACATTTTAGTACTGCTTACATCTGTTTAAGGATAACATTTAGGTACAGCTTATTACTGTGTATGGATATTATTTGGTACAGCTTATTCTGTGTTAGGATCACATTTTGGTACAGCTTACGTCTGTGTTTGGATAACATTTTGGTACAATTTACGTCTGTGTTAGGATAACATTTGGTGCATGTTATGTCTGTTTTAGGATAACATTTTAATATATCTTACATCTGTGTTATTACATTTGGTACAGGTTTTGTGTACACCTGCATATCTCATTAATCAGTGAAGATATTTACATTTATTTTTTTACACATTTTTTAAGTGTTATTAAAATTATTGTTGTAAATTCCTATTGCCCAAGACTCATTTCTGTAGCATAGATATTTACTGATTTATTCCCACTTACATTCTTAAAACAATCTTGAAAAAGGTTTTACTTGTAAGTTGTGAATAGGTAAAAAATAGATTTTCTCTATTTTGTTTTCAAAGTGTTTGAAAATTTTACTCTATTCTGAATTCATAAAAATGATTATTTACTCTTTTCTGAATTCATAAAAATGATTAATGATTTTATCTATATAAAATTATGATTTGATTTGCAGATGCTAAAAGAAATTCCACTAAAATAATGATGATGATTGAAACATGTAGGAAATGTATAGATAACTGTGTATGGATATAAGATAGATTTGACTATAGGGAAATATGTAGAAATTATAATCATAATAAATGTAATAGAAATGTCATTATATAAACATACGGATTAATCAATGAGAAATAACAATGTAACATATGTAAGAGAATGCAGCTATAAACATGTTAAAAATGTAGCAGTATAGACAGGATGCAGTTAAGAAGATAATACATGTTAGTTCTTTTACACAGTCGAATGTAGTCATGAATGCACCATTTTTTGTGGATTTTTGTAATGTATGATTGTATAGAATAGGAGGTCTGAGCTGGCTTAGCTCAATAGGGATATAGGTAGAGCTTTGTCAGTGCTATACACTGGGCATGTAAAAGAACTAAGGGGTCTATTCAGTAAGAGCCAGGGACTGGTTACCCGGATTCTCTTGTACCTCATAACTGTCTCTGGAGTCTGCTGTGGTAAAGACCCTACTAGATATAAGTGCTTGCACTTTTGTAGGATATCCTTGACCGCCTGGCCTAAAGAAAGTCAGTTCAATTCAGAGCAATCCACTGGATTAGTAATCCATGAGTGGCAGTGATTTTTCTCAAATAATTGAATTGGAAAGTGGCCTTAGCCACTTGATTTTTGGAAGAATTATTGTTAAATTGCTAATTTGGGAAGTAAAGAAGCTGTTGTAAGTTAAGATTTTTTTGGAAAAGTGTATGATTTAAAAAGAATTTCCATTGGGAAGAGGCCTTTAATGGTTCTCTGTTATATAAGGTGAAAAAATCACAGGATGGATGGTTCGATCATTGATCCCACCAGGCAAATTTCTGTGGGACACTTGATCTCGGATAGACTAAGTCTAATGGTTATTTGTTCCTCACTGCTGATTCAGAAATCATGTGCAAGTATTAGACATAATTCAAGGGTTGATTGCAAAACTGTTGTAACTTATATGAAATAAAGAAGGACTTACAATACAACAGTTTTGCTACCACCCCTTCAATATTTAGAATTACTAGTAAGGAAAGGCTGTTATGTGGATTGACTGCTGAGATTTGACCAAATGTGTTTGAATTGGCATAAAAGCAGAAAGACAAACAAATGTAATTAGTATAATACAGGCAAATTTTCTGAAATTGATACTGATCAGAAAATCTCTTTAAATTCAAAAAATTTTGTGATCTGGAATATTGCTATTTGTTTATAATATTTCCGGCCACAGAAAACTCTCATTTCTTTAAACTGCATTAATCTGTGAAGTAATTTTGATATTGGATGAACACTTTTTTTCTGGTTTTAACAAATTTGTGGAAGCAAGATTTCCACTGTCATGCATTTCCTAGATTAATTTTGGTTTAATTTCCAGTGTTCATGCAACCAATGATAAAAAGTATTGATGACTTTAAGAGATATTTGAGCCATCAGGTTTCTTGTCTGAGATAAATTTTTTCTGGTGGTTCATTGTAAAATATTATGGATATCATTGCTTAGTTATTGACAAAGAGTCATGTTAAAATAACTCAATGGGACTGCGAAAAAATATTTACTTGTTTATAATCCCCCCCTTCCCCCCCCCCCCCCCCAAAAAAAAATAAAAAAATGTGCCTGTTTGAAAAAGTGACCTCTGTTTAAGGATCCAATTTTAAGCAGCCTCCAGATTCCTGGTAATTTTGAAACTGTATTAAATAGTAAAATACACAGTAGAAATATGGTGAGAAATACTGCAATCACACATAACATGGAAAATATTACTTTTATCTTGAATCTGTGTACTTTTCTTAAAAGCAGTGTACATTTTTCTTAAGTTTGATTTTCTTTAAATATTTTGGCTCATCTGGAGGCATCCAGCTTTAACGTATGATGATATTTAACTAATTACAGACAAGCGATTATGTCCAGTCTCCATGTTCACATGCACAAACCGAACACAAGGCCAGTGTATTGCTCTGTCAAAGAAGTGTGACGGAGTAGTCGACTGCCGGGACGGTTCAGACGAGGCCCTCAGTTTGTGTGGATGTCGAACGGATCAGTTCCGATGTAAAAGTGGCGTGTGTATTCCAAAAGAATATAGATGTGATGGCAATGGTGATTGTCTTGACAACAGTGATGAAGCTTCTTGTGGTAGGTGCTTGTTGTTGATGATGATGATGATGTTGTTATTGATGATGATGTTCATACTGATAATGATAATGATGATTTTGCAGCTGATGATGATGTTGTTATTGATGATAATGATGTTAATGATGATGATGTTAATGATGATGATGATATTGCTGATGATGATGTTAATACTGATGATGTTATTGATGATGTAATTGATAATGATGATGATAATGATGATGATGTTCTGGTGATCTCTTTCAAAGCAGTAATTTGTATTTATGTCATTGATTTATGCTTAACTTTAGGATGAGGCCAAAACAATCTGCTTTACATATTTAATGGACCTAAATTTTCAATTAGATGCTGAAGTTTTTCTTTTACTTAATAAGTTGTGAAAATGATACCGTGATATTTCTGTATCAAGAATGTCCTCATAAAGTGTGTGTGTATTAATTAAAATGTCTTGGTAAGATTCAGCATAATAAAACATGTAACATTATACATGTATAGTCACATGAAATAGCATGAGCAGAAAATGAGAACTTTTCTTGGCATAATTTTCTGGTACAACATTAATGAAATAATTTAATTTAAAAAAAATCTGATTGTGGTGCTGATATTTGTTTTTATGTTACGATGCTTAATCATACAAAAGTTGAATTTGGTTTTGTAATTATTTCAAAGTAACTGATTGAGTCCCTGTATTTCACAGTATAAGTGAATTTATAAGTATAATTTTCAGATGCTACTGTATGCCAAGAAGGGCACTGGAAATGTAAAACCGGCAAGACTTGTATACCAGAAAACCGGAAGTGTGACAGCCATTTTGATTGTGGTGACAAGAGTGATGAAGCAAATTGTACCCAAAGTATGTTCTTTTTTTCTCCAAATTCTTGAAATACATATAATTCTTGTGATGTGATGTGTCACACATGAATATCTGGAAAAAAGTGATCCCTCAGAAGCACTAAAAACAACAAAATAACATGAAAATTGCAGACTCTGTTTGATTGAGTCTGTACATGAGGGATAATGATTAAGTGCAACACCCCGCACGCCCCCAAGCATCGGCTTTAGGGATACTCGATTTTCAACACTTGTAAGTGCTGGACTCAACTTTCCATTGTAGCTCTTGCTCTTTTCATATTATGCTTGCAGAAAATTTTCTGTACAGCTATCTTTTGATGAAAATATGTAGTTACATTGTGTCATAATTTGTGCAAGCATATCAGGAAAAAGTTCAATAGCTACAATGGAAAAATATGATGAAAGATATATTGAAAAATTAGCAAATATGGTCTAGTGGTTAAGGTGCCAGCCTCATAACTCAGGGTTGATGGGTTCGAGCCCTACTCGGGTCACAACCATGTCTCTACATATGGCACCAGTACTGGTTAGTTTCAGGAAATGGACTCAAAAATGATTAATATAAGTTGCAAAATCTTGTTTCGCTTAGATAACTATGCTTAAACTAAAGGTCATGGTAACTTGTACCTGTAATAAGAATAAGGTTGTTATAATAATAATTATAATTGAAAAGGTGACATATAAAGAGTACATAATAAACATACAACTTTATTCCAATATGGCCTTCTGTCTGTAAATATTTACATATATAAGGTGGTAACAGAAGAAACAACAAATGGTAATAAATTTACAACAAACACTCCTACAAAAATACATAGAATTTTCACAGAAAAGTATTAATTTATATAAATTTGTTTTGTATAGTTAAAGTTCCTCAGAACTATCCTAACTATTTACTTGTTATGTTATTGTACTTGTTCATTTTTAAAAATGTGACACCATATCACTTAACAGTTATATTTTGCAAATTTATGCCCATACTATACTAAGATATTTTCTTTGATGAATCATTTTGTTAAGGTTAATTTTAAATTAAAATGTCAAAAGATATTCACTGTAAATTTAGGTAACCTGCTCACTATAGAAAAATGCTTTTGTAAAGGGAAGGCATTTTTCCTGAATTATTTGCCTGATTTTCTCAAAAACAATAACAGATATTCATTTCAAACTTTAAAGCTACATGCCTCCAGATGAGTCAAAATATTTCAATAAAATCAAACTTGAGAAAAATGTACTAAGATGTAAGGAAAAGTAAAAAGTTTCAAGATTCAAGTAATATTTTACATTATTTGTGTGGTTAATGATTGATTTTTCGGTATTTACAACTATATTCTAATGCGTTACTAACGCAGTAAAGGCTATTTATGCATATTTTGACCATTTTCGGGTAATTTACGTTGTTTGTAAGTGCCGTTGATAATTTGTAAACTGCTTTCTATTTGTTAATTAGCAATATTACACATTCAAATACATTTTCAAAATTTTCATGAAATTAAGCATGAATCTGGAGGCGTGCTGCTTTAAATACTTGTTTACTATCAAAGGAAGGTTAGGTAATTCTGCATAGCAGTTTTGCAGAGTTATGTCATGTTTTCTGGTTTGCTCTATTGAACATAGAAAAGTTGCTTCTCGGACAGTTTTTGTTTATTCTATATTGTTTTATTTCTTGTCAGTCACGTGTGGTACAAACATGTACAAATGTCAGAGTGGAGAGTGTATATATGAGAACTGGAAATGTGACAGAGACTTTGACTGCGATGACCATTCAGATGAAGTCGGTGACAAGGCCAACTGCAGTAAGTTACCATAGCAACAAGATTATATTTTGTCTGAAAATTTGTTGAATCATAACAATTAACTTTGTGATGGTGTCTTAACTGTGCAATTTTGAAGAAAATTAATCACCTAGTAGAAAAAGTTAGTCTGTTATTTTGGAATAAAATATTGAATAAATATATTGTATTAAAATCCAGTTATATTGGTTGCTGGGTTATATTGGGTTATATTGGAGATAAAAGGATGACTTGAATGGCACTGTTTTGTTTTTATGTAAAAGTACTTTTTAAATTTTTAAATATCATAAGAAAAATTGAGGCCCATAAGAGAAATGATATTTTACAGATTTTATATACATTGTATATATAAACTTAAAAAGCCTGTCAGATATTGAATATTTGAGATATGTATTAGCTTAATAGGGGGGGGGGGAATAGAAAAGCAACAACATTTATCGAAATTTTATTTTCAGCGTATCATTGTTCCAAAGAACAATTTATGTGTAAGAATGACTCGTCTTGTATCTCGATGTCATGGGTATGTGATGGTAATAATGATTGTCAAGATAAGAGCGACGAACAGCAGTGCCGTAAGTTATTATTGTATATGCTCGTATAGAGTGTAGGACAAAAGCCCTCCCATCAAAAAGTGACAAGGCGGACAAAAGCCCTCCCGTGAGATATATGTAACAATTTTAATATGTTGAGTGCATTAAAAAACAAGAAAATTTGTGTAGAACTACTTTGCGTTGTTCGGTACCCATTCTTCTATTACAATCCCGCAAATTGTGATAGAACTGTATTCACTGCTAACGCAGCGAATACAAAAACCACAGGTATTTAGCATACATATTTATTTTTGTTACGGGAGGGCTTTTGTCCGCCTTGTTAATTTCACGGGAGGGCTTTTGTCCGCCCAGTCATTTTCATGGGAGAGCTTTTGTCCGCCTTGTCATTTTTTGACGGGAGGGCTATTGTCCGGGAGGGCTTTTGTCCGTTTCCCGCTCATATATTGACTTGAGATTAGTATATAGTTAATAAGATGTTGCAGTAATATTTTGTTTTACAAATATATTACAGTTTGTTAGTTAGAAATAATAACTTTTCAATAGTTTAATTGCTGTCAAGTCGTTAACATAGGTAAGGTTTGAGGTTTTTTGAACCGTTTTTGATCGGAACTTTACAGTTGCTTTGTTCTAAATTGACCAATTAAAATTTTAATTTTTTTTTCCATAATTATAATGCTGTTATTAGGATCTTACGTTTAATGATGTTTAGGCAGATGCTGTTTGTCTTGAATTACGCACCTGTTTAATTGTTGTTATAACAAGAAAAGGTTGACTTTTCTGTTCATTTCTTGGTGTAGTCATAACATTTTGACAAGAAAGTTTGAATTCAAATGGATTGTGTGACTTGTCTTGGCTTTATACAGTTTTAGTGACTGTTTAGAAATTCATATGGCATGCATTTGGATAAAAATTTATATCTTCATGAAATATCATTGCATTATTCAATCATTGTGTTAAGTCGCTCAAAATGCAAGTGTTATCATTTAAGCCCATTTGTTATAAAAATAAATGTTTTATTTTTACTCTAAACTTTTCTTGTTGTAGATATGTGAAAAATTATGCATAATATAATATTTGTTATAGTTTATGAAATTCATCAACCACATCGAATAAATTGATATTATGTTGGCCTCATACTTAAGTAAAAATGATTTAGTTCAACTTGATCAATAAATTCCGTATCATGGAATCTAAACCCATTGGATATCCTGTATTTATAAGTTAAAGAAACATATATTTTGCCTGTATCATTATTATAATATTGCATGACAAGATATTACAAAATGTAAATGTGAAAAAGTTGTATATATTAAAGGTAGACCAGATGTACAATGAGGATGCTGATTACATTATGTAGTCTAGGTTATTTGGAAGCTTGCAATGACTCATTCATAATGCTATATGTAAATTTCCTGTCCAGGCACTTATATTATGATATAGATACCGGTATACATATTTTATGTATTATATACTTGTCTTGGAAATCTAAGGTTGTTCTCCCCTTGAAAGAAAAACAAACTAAAAAATATTCAATATTGAAGAAAGTGAAAAAATGATGTTAAATTCAGTGTAAAAAAACAACCCAACAAAACAACAAAAATAATCAGCAGACAAACAATTTCAAACATACAGTGAAACCTGTCAACTTAAGTTTTGAAATTGTAACAGCGATCTTCTTTGAAAAAAATTTAACAGTAGTAACATTTTGTCAGGTAGAAAATCTTAAAAAATTCTGATGAATTTAGTTAGTTACATATTTTATTCGGAATTGTGGTCTTAAACCGAGGTTTGACTGTACTTGAATTTCATCAATTGCGTACAAATATTCATTAGTCTGCTGATTCATATATGGTGCCTGCTTAGGTCAGAAATAATGCACAATGGTATTCTGCAGCCAGTAAAGCTGGAAAGTCTTCTATGACATGTATTCAATATAGTTGTGTAGTTGTGATAAAACATCATCCTCCCCATATCCCAGAGAGAAAAAAAAGAGAGAAATAAACAAAGATATGGAATGAGTAGTGTGAGGTGGGGAGGGGGGTGGGGTGAGTACATGTTTTTATGATGATTTATTTCTATTTAAAGAATGACCGAGGTATTACCCATTCATTAGCATATTTATAAACTAATCTGGGCTTAATGTGTATTATTTAAAGGTTGTAAAGTAACAAAAACAAAGTTATGCCATCAAGGACACTCGCAAGCACCATATGGTCGACTCTGATAAAGCATTATATGTATGAAAAGGACATGTTACAGTTATTTCACCATCTGTATGTTTACCATTAAATGAACAGTGTAAAATTCAATAACCTACCTTTATAAGATCGGAACATATTTAATATTTGATTGACCAGCATCCATGATTTACCTAGTTCAGCTTCTTGTTTAATATTTAGTATTATTTTAAAATAGAGAAAAACAGAATCCCTAAAGAAAGCCCAACATGGCAAAATTGAAAATGTTGCAAGCTCAATTTGATTGAGCCTGTTCATGGATGGTAGTGGTAATTGCAAGCTCCCTCGATGCCCTCTAGAATCGGCTTAAGCAGAATTCAACATTTAACATGAACTTGTAAAATTTTGAATTTTGAAATGTTCACAGATGTGTTCATATGGTGGTTCATTTGTATGTATTTAAACAGTTTAATGAATGCAAAGTATAAAAAGAATTGATAATTTTAGATTTTGTACAGTTAAGATTGGGACATTCCTGTTCAAAGTTTAAGGGATTTTAATATCAAATCAAAAAAGAGGTACATATAGTATAGAGTCTGGTCAGACAGCATGGATGTGCAGGCTGGCCTGGCTTTATACTGGTAGCAAAGGCTAATCACTTTCAGTTTCGGCATGGTGAGGGTTAACCCTTTCACCGCCATAGGGACGGCTTAGGCCGTCCCTGTTATTTTCGGCGTATTTGCCATATGGACGGCTTTAGCCGTTTCTATAATAATAATAGTAATAATAATAAATTAATAATGATAATAATAAAAATAATAATAAATATAAAGAAAATTATGCCATCGTCAATAGTTATTATTATACTAACAGATTTGGAAACATATATAATTATTATAATACTAATAACAAATAATAATAATTATATTAATTAATAATATAGTTATTTCTTAGAAAATCCTCTGGCAAATAGGTGAACAATAAAACAATAACCCTTTGGCAGCGAAAGGGTTAAATCATTTACAATTTATGGTACTTCTGACCTTCCGCTTTGGGACCTGCTGACGACCTGCTTTTGGACTTGAAAAAAAAGTCAGTATGCTGAGCTTTGTCAAGAGAAGCTTATAAAATAATTCATCCATCAATTTTCCTTGAAAATCATTCTCTTTGGTTAACAGACACGTTGTAAAAAAATATCTTTAATGGCTGACATCTCAGTGTGATGTATTTCATATTTATTGACTTCCAAGTAAATATAGATTGTCAGTCATCTATATTTTGTTTGGGAAATGGGGAAGTTTTTCTCACAGTCTCTTTCTTATATAGAATATGATTCATTCTTAACCATCCCTAAATAAAAGGGAAAAAATCATACTGTTGACTTGTTATGCCTGTTGATGGCTGATATTGCTGACAGTTTTGTCTGATAAGCTAGAACATTAATCATGGTTTCAGATATCAAATATGGACAGAACAGACAATATATGAGCCGCGTCATGACAAAACCAACATAGTGCGTTTGCGACCAGCATGGATTCAGACCAGCCTGCGCATCCACGCAGTCTGATCAGGATCCATGCTGTTCGCTTACAGACCCTATAACAAGTAGAGAAACTGATAGCGAACAGCATGGATCCTGATCAGACTGCGGGGATGCGCAGGCTGGTCTGGATCCATGCTGGTCGCCAACCCATTATGTTGGTTTTGTCATGACGCGGCTCATATATAAATATAAGAAACCTTCTAAAATAACATGTGTCTAGGGAGCCAGAGACTTATCTATATGCATAATGCATATGAAACTGTCTCTAAAGGCAAGAGACTGTCTTTTTTGGAGTATCTCCATAAAAGAAAAGAAATATTTACTTTACTGTAGACGCAATATGCTGATGGTTTCACCACTGCTAATTTGACTTTTAGTGTAGACATAAAATTTAGAATTTAAGAGGCTCTTTGAAATGTCTTATCTTTTAGAGTTTGTTTTTTTTGTCAGAGAAAAGATTGGTCTGCAAAATATTTTAAGAGAATATTTGTAAATGTATTCTAAAATGGCTGTATTACAGAAATTAAACCAAATTTAGAATTTACGATTTCAAATGATGCTGTTTTTTTTCTCTCTTGATGTTTTTTGCAATAATAAGCTTAAGTCAAGAATATTAGCTTTGGTAAAACAAGATACTTTTGGCTTTGTGAATAGGGCAAGATTTTATCTCCCTAAGTAAGTGCAATAAGAATGAGTTTTACATTTAACATGATTTTAATTTCTTTGTCAGATTAAGCCTCGGTCTCACTTACTCCCGGCAGAGCCCAGGACCATCCCGGTAAGTTACCGGGATGATCCGGGACGATCCGGGATGAAATTATTGTTGCGGTCACACTTACCCCGGCAGCACTACGGTAGTTCCCTACTAACCACCCAGGATGCGCTCAGGATCATCCAGGCAGAGCCCAGGTGAAGCTACGGTTCATGCCGGTGCTTCCCCGGTCGTTCCCGGATGACGCCGGAAGAGCCCCGGTTGACCCAGGCAGAGCCCCGGTCGATCCAGGCAGAGCCCCGGCAGAGCCCAGGACGATCCAGGCAGAGCCCCGGTAGAACCCCGGTGGATTGAAAACGCCCGAAAATAATAACTTTGATACATAATTTTTATTTAATATAATATCTATTGTTCCAGAATAGTAATTCATGGTGATTTTCTGAAAAATCCTTATGCCATACTGGATAGAAGGGAAATGGGAAGGCTTTTAATACAAACAAGTTCAATCATCGCAAATTGTCCTTATTCTTTTGAAATGATCCGGGCTTTGCCGGGGCTTTACCGGGGCTCTACCGGGATCAACCGTAGCTCTACTTTTATCCTCCGGGGCTCTGCCTGTAGTTACCGGGGCTCTGCCGGCATATACCGGGGCTCTACCGTAGCTCTACCGTAGCTCTACCGGCTATATCATACCCCGGATCATCCCCGGTTTGTGCCGGCAGACCTACGGTATAACCCCGGTCGTTCCCGGCAGAGCTAAGGATGAAGCCGGCAAAGCTATACCTTCCCGGATCATCCCGGACCACCCCGGTGATATTAAATATTTTATTCCATCCGGGGTCGAATGCCGGATGTTCCCGGATCATCCCGGATCATCCAGGACGTTGCCGGCAGAGTTACGGATGTACCCCGGTTGTTCCCGGTCGTACCCCGGTCGTTCCCGGATCACCCCGGACGTGTACCGGGGCTCTGACGGGGCTCTGCCGGGGCTCTGCCGGGATGTAAGTGAGACTGTAGCTTAAAGTAAAACTTTTGGTAAAATATTTGTGATGTTTCTTCCAAGATATTAACTGTTATAAGTTTTTTTTAGATCAGTGGGTAGAAGAAAATTATTTCACAATTCAGTTCCATTCTATGAATTTTAATTGAATTGAATACTGCATCATAATTTACTTTTAATTTGAGAAATAGGAGAAAATATTTGAGAACAGCAGAACGTTTATTGAAACTTGTATGTTGTTATATTACTGATATTTGAAAAGTCACAAAAGAAGTTAAAGTTTTAGTCTGCTGGTGGCGATTGAATAAACATATGCACCCAGTGATGACCCAGATAGGCTCACCTCAGTGCAATAACTGACCTGTTAAATTTAGAACAACTTACTCTGTTACTATGCCATCTGATCATGGTCTGCACTGTTTGCTTTCCAGTCAGTCACCTATGTTGAAATTTTCCCTAAAAATAATGAATGGTTTTGTCCGGAATGAAAGATGGACAAGTCCATTTAAGATATTTAGCATGGTAAAGGGTAAATAAAACATATATATATTTATTTATTGCTTGATATATATACATGTATATTTATTGTTGACAGTTATTTTGTGTTACTGAATTGAGCATACAAATACAATATATAGCTATAAATGATGGAGGTATACACACATTTTATTTTCAGAGGAATGGATCAAGAAAGAAGGAAATTTTAGTATGTAAATTATCGTACAATTGAAGAAGAACTGTTTCTTTTTTTGATCCACAGTGCTTTCATGCCTTGTATAAAACATTCCAAATGTTGCCCATCTTACCTTTCAGTATTATACTCAATGTACAAGTTTATCTTCTCTTGTTTAGTTTTCTGTTTATTTCAAACTAGTTTTACAGTTAAACTGCTTGTGTGGTACTCCTCACCTTGGAGGACATAGACATAATGTTTTAATTTAGTCAAGCTGAGATAGACCTCTAGGATGTCTCAAAAATCTTATCTATGTCTTGATTTAAACCTTTATCTTAGGGTCCACCCCTTAGTGCTCTACCCAACATCAATCACAATTGTTTTACCATAAAGAACAGCATTTTTCAATAAAGAACAGAATTTTTTCACAATTTAAGGACAATTTTATTTTCATTAAGAAATTAAGGTCAATGCAACATTATGGTAGGCTGTGTATTTCCTAGTGGAAGAGCTTGAGCCATGTTGTGTGGTAGGCCATTTGTTTTGATACTGTGCAGGGTCGGGTTCAAAAATAGATGTATTTATATTATATATAGAAATTGTATTTATATGTATATATATATATAGAAATTGGTACTTGGAGTTCAGGGATTGTTTATAGGAAGTATTTAACTTGATCTGGGATTCTGTCAACGTATTTAGTCCATGTACTTAATGCTATAGATACTGAGGTCTGTGCAACTGAAAGAGAATTAAGGGAGAAGAAAACTTAAATGAATTGCTATTTTATAATAGTAATAGTAAAGGTCCGAATAGAGGAAGTGGAAAAAACTTTTTTAATCTTGTGAACTGTTGGATGCACTTTGTTTTGCTCTGAGTCATATACATCATAATCTTTAAATTTTAGAATGCATTGAATAATCATTTAAAAATTTTAGTATGAAAGTTAAGAGAGGTTGAATAAGAAGCTTTAATGGAACGATTCTGTCCTGTTTTGTCTTGTATAAAATGTTTTGTCAGTGCAAAGTGTGTGTAGATGTATAAGGTACTTTTGGTTTGGTATACTCTATTATTTAGATACACATTAGTAAGTAATAGGCCCTTCCTGGCCGAATCACGTGTCACCACTGAATCACCTGTCGCTTACCACCGTGGGCTCGATTCCCACAAGAGCATTATGTTTTTTTATGCCACCACAGCATCTGCTTTTCACAATTCATGTTACAAAACAATGTAGCTAAAAACATCAATGTCCCAGGTTCCAAGTAAAGGAGATGATAGGACTTCCACAAAGAGTGCATGGAGGGCCAATTTTATAAATTATTCAAATTTGAAACAGACAAGTTGTCAAAAACTACAGAATAAAAACAACAAACTTGGCTATTAAGATGTTTTAGGATGTATAAATGAATTTTGATATTACAGATTCATAAAACCAGTTTAGGTGAAGGAAGAGTGTAAAGACTGAACGGAATCAATAACTGAAATATTTTAGTGTATGATTTTCTTGTATCAATTTTGCTGGAATGACAACTATCTTAGTAAATTCCTAAACACTGAGTATACATGTAGATTGAAAATTGGTTACCCTATAGTTTCTATCAAATGGGAGGTATACTTTTCACAACTTTTTTTCCTCCAATTTTACCTGTGTAAAACATCATTCACTTGATATAACTTTTTCCACTTTGCAAGCCAATATCTCACAGCTTTAAATATCCCTTTCATACATTATAATACCTTGAAGTTTTACTTACCATTATATGTGCGGAAAAAGGGAATCAAGCAGCAAACCATTTAAAATAAGAAATCTAATAATTAAATAAGAAATCTGATAAAATTGTTGCTTTTGAAACAGAATATTATCACAATTAAACATATAAGTGAACTTCATACGGATATAACATAAAAAGCATCTTCTATGATGACATATAAGATGTGAACATCAATCAGTGCATTACAAATGAGAACTTTGAATTTTTTTACCCAACAATTGGCTTTATTTCAATAACTGCCAAGTTTCTTTCGTTATATGACACCAGTAGTGGGTAATAATCAGGAAGCAGATTTGAGAGTGGTTGAAATAAACTTGGAGCTTTCATTGTAGTTGAGCTATAGTATAAATTATAAAAGATATGTTTAGCCTTAAGCAGGTATTGCAAAAAATTTGTCACTTGTCTTGCAGAACGAGTAGCTTCTAAATCCAATGTACAGGCAACATTTTTTCTCCTCGTCCTGCATTGAGTTCTCTTTAAATTCTACTTGTAATTAGGAGCAGACGAGTAGAAATTTCAATCTCTGCTTAAGTTGCTTAAAAAAATTTTTTTTCTTCAGTAGATATGGGGATATACAAAGTTGGTTAATGGAATGCTGTAAATGTACATTTAATATGCTTATATGACAACTTATCGGATAATTTATTAACAAATCACAGTTGTTGTTTGTTTTTTAAAAGACCCAGGTGCTTAATAAGTTTTTTTATATTCTTAGTTACAAAATTTTATTTGGCAAGTTATATGACCCACTTTGAATGGTTGTGAGTTTATTTAACCAACAAAAGCTACCAGATGATTACAGGGTTATATTGAAACAACAATTAAACATGGTCATATAAAATGTTAAAGAAATCAATATAACAAATTTATTTATACTGCACATTTCTTTTCTATGAGTAAAATAGAAAGCTGTTTGTAAATTTGCAGAAGTCATGTATGTTTGAATTATTTATAAATGAGATTCACATCGCAATTATCAAATTAAAATCGATTTCTCAAAATGTGCAATATTACAAAACAACGGTATTTGTGTTTTATATTCATCTATATTTCATGATATAACATATTTCAGGCATGACATGTACATGTATATCACAGTCATGCACAATTTATTTTCCAATTTATTTGCTTAATACTTATTTTTTTTCTTGTAGCCAATTAGAAGTAACTATTCTTTTGTTTTGATTTTTGTAGCATATCTGACTACTAATCATAGTTTTGTGGCTAAATCACAGTTAGTAATTGATTTCTAATAAGAAAAAATTGTATATTAAAATTTTTATTTTGTTTTTCTACAGCTGCTAAAAATTGCACAGACCAACAGTTCCGGTGCTCAAATGATCGATGTATAGAAGAAGAATGGAAATGTGACGGGGAACCAGACTGTGTTGACGGGCTAGACGAAAGTTCAACTGCCGGTTGTGGTATGTTTATTATACGCTGGTTTGAAAAACGGGACGTATTATGGGAACCCCCCTGGCGGGCGGGTGGCGTCCAATTTTGTCCGGAGCATATCTCCTACATGTATGGATGGATTTTAATGAAACTTCATAGAAATGTTCACCACTATGAGGAGCAGTGTCGCACACATGAACTAGGTCTCTAGGTCAAAGGTCAAGGTCACACTTAGAGCTCATTGAAAAATGCTTGTCCGGAGCAAAACTTCCACATGTATAGAGGGATTCAAATATTACTTGGCACAAATGTTCACCATTGTGAGGCTGAGTGTCGCGCGCAAGATTCAGGTCCTTGCGGCCAAGGTCAAGGTCACACATAGAGGTCAAAGTTCAGATAAAAATATGAAGATGTGTATATGGACCATTTAGTCATCATTTATTGAAGGATTGTAACACAAATGGTCATTATCAAGACTATGGCTGTGATACATATAATTTAGGTCAATATATACAAGGTCAAGGTCACTAAAGATAATGAAATATCCAGATATTGTCCGGAGCATATCTCCTACACGCATGGAGGGATTTTAATGAAATTTCATAGAAATGTTCACCATTATGAGAAGCTATGTCACGCACATGAACTAGGTCAAAGGTCAAGGTCACACTTAGAGCTCATTGAAAAACGCTTGTCCGGAGCAAAACTTCCACATGCATAGAGGGATTTCAATATAACTTGGCACAAATGTTCACCATTGTGAGGCGGAGTGTCGCGCACAAAATTCAGGTCCCTGCAGCCAAGGTCAAGGTCACACATAGAGGTCAAAGTTTAGATAAAAATATGAAGATGTGTATAGGGACGATTTAATCATCATTTATTGAGGGGTTGTAACACAAATGGTCATTATCATGACTACGGCTGTGACACATGTACTTTAGGTCAATATATGCAAGGTCAAGGTCACTAAAGATGGTGAAATATCCAGATTTTGTCTGGAGCATATCTCCTACATGTATGGAAGAATTTTTATAATACTTTATGGAAATGTTCACCACCATGATATGTATTGCTCCATGCATGATCCAGGTCAAAGGTCAAGGTCACACTTAGAGCTCATTGAAAAACGCTTGTCCGGAGCAAAACTTCTACATTCATAGGGGGATTTCAATATAACTTGGCACAAATGTTCACCATTGTGAGGCTGAGTGTCGCACACAAAATTAAGATCCCTGCGACCAAAGTCAAGGTTACACATAGAGGTCAAAGTTCAGATAAAAATTTGAAGATGTGTATAGGGACCATTTAGTCATCATTTATTGATGGATTGTAGCACAAATGGTAACTATCATGACTACAGGTGTGACACATTTAATTTAGGTTAACATTTGCAAGGTCAAGGTCACTGGAGATGATTATATATCCAGATGTTCTCCGGAGCATATTTTCTACATGCATGGAGGAATTTTAATGTTACTTTATAGAATTGTTCACCACCTTGAGACGTAGTGCCCTGCACATGAACCAAGTCTCTAGGTCAAAGGTGAAGGTTACAGTTAGAGCTCATAGAAAAACGCTTGTCTGGAGCAAAACTTCTACATGCATAGAGGGATTTCAATATAATTTGGCACAAATGTTCATCATTGTGAGGCTGAGTGCCGTGCATAAAATTCAGGTCCCTGCCACCAAGGTCAAGGTCACACATCCTGTGCATATCTTCCCTACTGTTTTGTTTTAAGGTTCATTTAACAACACAGTGCCAAGAGTAAAAACTTGCTTGCTAGATAACACTTATCCATAATGCCCCCATCTCCATCTAAAGCTTTCGTAAACGGGCGTATTTTGTGACTATGGCACCCTTGTTAAACTTTTGAAACAGTCTTTCTAATGTTAAACTAATATTGTAATGATTATAGACCCTAATGAGCATGTTCGTAGGCAGCCATATAGGTATTATTAATATTTCAAATGATTATTTCATAGTGGAATACAGTCTCTCACATGACAAAAATTTGCTAAAAATAGCTATAGTACAAACCTGAGAGCAAAAATATTTTTTGGAAACAAAGAATTTGTTGTTCTTGAGAGATATTGTTATGGAGGGATAAATTTTATTAATGAGGGGCGTCGGTGGCCGATTGGTTAAGGTCGTTGACTTCAAACCACTTGCCCCTCACCGCTGTGGGTTTGAATCCCTACAGGGACTTCAGATTCTTTCATGTGAGGAAGCTATCCAGCTAGCTTATGGAACTTCAGTGGTCCTACTCAGGTGCAAGTTCGTGCCTGAAATAATGCACAGAGGGGCACCTGAGGTCTTTGTCCACCAGTAAAGCTGGAACGTCGCCAAATGACCTATACTGTGTCGGTGTGATGTAAAACCCAATCAAAACAAACAAACAAAATTTATTGATGAAGTGTTACCTTGGTGTTAGAATTGATACTGGAACTGTAAAAGAGGTTATTGGTCTACAGAGGGCCACTGTGTAGTGGTTACACTGTATTACAAAAACTGTCCAATGTGGGCTAGAGCAGTTTCAGTTTATAACTATTATAACTATTATTACCTTAGTTGATCTTTACAAATTCATTAAGGTTTGTAATCTCTAACTTGCATGAAAAGTTGCATTATCATATTAAATTTGAATTGTGATTAATTTTTCCTACATTTAGTATAAAATATATTTTGATTTACTTGGAAAATGGTGGCCAAGGGAGGTAATTCATGATTCATGAAAAGCATCTATTGCTTAATAATGTCGAAATTATTGAGACTCTTATAATACCTCACTCCTGCAGTTTTTTAAACATGCTGACAAGCTTTTGGAGATTTGCATTATATTGTATGAATTAGTATGTATGTATATTTGTTACAGAGCCAGTGGATTGTGAAGAGAACGAGTTTAAATGTCTGAACTATCGTTGTATAGAAAAAGAGTTTTTCTGTGACAAAGATGATGATTGTGGGGATGGTAGTGATGAGCCTGATACCTGTGTCGGTATGTGTAATTTCTCACTAATAAAGCTGGAACTCTGGAAAACAAATTTTTGTTTGCCTGTTCAGACCAAATTCTTTGTTAGGGTTGGGTGGTAGTTAAAGGGTTCGTATTTTATCTGTCAGATACGTACATATGCAACAGTGGTGTTTCTCGCTTGATTTGGGAAGAGCCCTTGGCCTTTTGTTTTTGGGAAGAATTATCACTAAAATTGATGATTTGGGAAAGTAAAAATTTAGTGTAGATTTGGATTTTTGGGGAAAATTGTATGATTTTTGAGGACATTTTTATTGGGAAGGCTTCAGTTGTAGGAAGATGAAAAACCCTTGCACATGTACATTACGTGATGTAACTTCAAATACTACAATTATAATGAAAGTGACAATAAAAAATGAACAAGTTTAATATTGAGGTATTGATTACCCTGGTGACTTTTATTATGAATTATAAATTTGAAACAAATAGGATAAAATGTTAAGTTATTTTTTATCTACCTGAACTTATGCCATTTGCAGTCATTATTAAACATTAATTTGCAGTTAGTGCAAAAAATGGATTGTAACCAAATACATGTATAGATCACATTATTGGAAATTTGGACATTTAAATTTAGATTCACTGATAAGCTATTTATAATATTATTGTAGTATTTATGCATAACCTAAATATGTTCTTTCTTTTTTTCAGAAATGTCATTTACTTGTTCAGATTATGAAATTGAGTGCGATGACGGCTATTGTATTGATAAGACCAAACGTTGTGATGGTACGTTTGACTGCGCTGATAATTCTGACGAGAAACAATGTCCAATAAATGCATGTAAAAACTCAACACAGAGCTTCCAGTGTGCAAACTTGGCCTGTATTGCGATGAATCTGGTGTGTAATGGAGTGAACGACTGCGGTGATGAAAGTGACGAGTCACCAGAATGCAGTATGTTAACTTTCATCCTTGTTTTATCTATTTTGAAATTGAGTGTTTAAAGATTAATGACCTTGTGTTCTGGACGACATATTGAAATCTTATCAAATTATGACGTCACAGGGGAAAACATCCTCTCACATGACCAAAAATATAATAAATATAGGTATCTGAAAAGTGTTTAAAGAAAGCGAGAGCGGGCTCATGCGGGTTATCATGATATTAACCGACGTAAGCTGATGTAAAACAATCCAATAGGGTTCGATATCTTTAAGTTTGCTGCGTAATTAATATATCTGTTGCCCCTAACTTTACTGGTTCCCTTACTTCAGTGGATTTTAATTCTGCCAGAGACTTTGAATTCTGGTGGTGATTTTTAGCTCTACTATTTGAAGAAAAGGGCGAGCTATTGTCCTCACCCAGGTGCGGACATCAGACTTTTGTTAAAGCTGGAAAATTGTCATATGACCTTTATAGTGTCTGTATAAACACACACCACTTGAAAGAGAATAAGCTCTGTGCCCATATATACTAAAGAAATAATAAGTAAACCTTTTCCTAATCCCTGAAAATGTAATGAATTTTAGCTAACAAAAAAATATCTGTGTTTACAAGGCATTAAAGTTTTTCTTTTTCAAATACAGACATTAATAAAAGGTATATTATCTGAATGGATGTTTTGAAAGTCATGTAAAGGTAGGGGACTTTAATGGAGAATGAATTTTTTCAGACATTGATGAGTGTAAGGAAAGACAACCCTGCAGTCAGATCTGTAATAAGAAGATTATTGGTTTTGAATGCAGCTGTCATCCTGGGTATAAACTAAGGGCAGATAAGCGGACATGTGAAGGTACGTTTCTATAAATAGATTAATATTTTGGCTTATTGTATTACCCTTAACATTCCAAAATTTGTGTAATGGATTTGCCCTGCTTTGAATTTGGGACAGTCCATTTGAATTTTAAGGGATTTTAGTATTGGAATACAAAAACTGAGTTACCAACAGTATAGAGCCTGGTCAGGCTGTACTAAAGAGTAGGCTTGCCTGGCTCCATACTTGTGGTAAAGGCTTATTGCTTTTCATTCCACCAGTTTAGAAGGATTTTTATCCATGGAGAATTCAAATGATTGACTTCATTAGATGTGAAATTAGCAGTAATTGCTTATCTCCTTTAATTAGAAATTGATGAATGTAATGCAAACTATGAATGTTACATTCATAATGTTGTTCAATTTGAAGAAATTGATGAGTGCAAAGTGAATATAGATTTATATGAGCATTTTTAGAAATTTTACAGTTTGAAAAGTGCTTGCTTAATGTTTATGTTCACAATTTTAGTTATATGTTTAGAAATCTAGCAGTGCAAAAATAAATCTAATAGTGCAAAAAACAATGTTTAAATCTAATGGTGCAAATAACAATGTTTAAATGATAAGTTCGCAATTTTTATTCTATTTTTAGAAATTGATGAATGTAAGACCACATATCCGTGTTCACATTTCTGCTTCAACACTGTCGGCTCATTTTACTGTGAATGTGCGGAGCATTATAAACTAAAGGGTGACAAGAGACACTGTAGTCTAACAAACGAAGGTTTGAATCTCATTTTAACATGCTCTTAATACTGTCTTGATTTGTTAATGTTTTTATTGAGACCAAACAAAGACTGTACTGGTAGTTGAAGTAGACCTGTTTTAATTATTTAACAGTTCAAATTGTGCTTTATTCAGTGGTGGAATGACATGTACAAATACAAATTGACAATAACCAAAATCTATATATTTTACATGTATATGCATAATCCTCCAGTAAAGCTAAAAAGTTGATCATATTACCTTGACTTAGAACTCGACAACAACCAAAAAAAACACCCCCACTCCCCTCTTAACTGATTTATCCCCAACTCCTCTCTTAACTGATTTACAATAGTTTGCAGATTATTTTGAAGATTTTAATAGAATTAACATGATATCCAGTATGAACATAGCAGACTAGGAGAAAAGGATTTTTGTCATTGCCAAAAATGTTGTTTAAGTGAAGTTTATGTGAACTCTTCATTATTGGAGAAGAAGTGCTCCTGATATAAGGAGATTATTGTTGTTAAACAGAAGGTCATTCTGTAGATGATGCCTGTTATATTGTGTTTTGATTGAAGTAAACATAAAATTGTATTACTTTTATCATTATAATTATATTCGAGAATAAGTACTGCTGATAAATTGATTGGTAATTCTATTGTATTACAGAGGGGCAGCCATATTTGCTCGTATCCAACCGTTACTACATCAAGAAAGTCGACTTTAAGAGATCTATCGAGATCATCGTTCACAACCTCACTCATTCCGTAGCCATCGACTTCGATTATAAAGAACAGAAACTGTACTGGACGGACATACATAGTCAGAGTAGTACTATAAATAGAATATCTCTAAATCGTTCCAAAGACCGGCCGGAATCGGAGGATATTGAGGTTAATAACACATTTATCTCCCCTATATTTAATATAGGCAATATTTTAATTTATACAAACTTATTTTAGTTTTATTGTGTTGGAAGCTATAAAGTTTTTGAAACACTCATGAATCCATTCCTGGAACCAACCAGTACTAAGCAATGAGTGTAAAGTTTCTTTACTCAAGGAAACAGGGGCTTGCCTCTGACAGGGTTTGAACCCACGCGGTCAGCAATCCTTAGAGTACTAGTCAGACGCGTTTACCACTCAGCCACGCCACCAGGCAATAGTCGGGCAATATTTTGATCATTCTTGTAACTTTTGATAAGTGCATTTTGATTTTATCATATCGGATAAATGAGCGGCGTCACGACAAAACCAACTTAATGGGTTTGCGACCAGCATACCCAAGACCAGTCTGCGCATCTGCGCAGTCTGATCAGGATTCATGCTGTTGGCTTAACAACTCTATTACAAGTAGAGAAACTGATAGCGAATCTACATCTCTGTTTTCGCAAGTAGTGCAAGTTGAAATATAAAGGCTCCAAAGAAAAGAAAAGTAAATTTATTGGAAGAAGCAGAGCTTGTAATTGTAAGACAAGGTACACATTGAATTGTGCTGGTTTGCAAAACATTATTTAGTGATTTCAGTTATCCACAGCTCTTGCTTATTTTTTGCTAAAAGATATTGATAAAATAACACTAAAAAATGTTAAAAATAGGATTATTCTATCCCTGTTATAGATCGGTATGAGAAGGTTATTAAATAATCAATTAGTATGACAAACACAAATTTATCATTATTTTTGATATATTTATATGCCATTAATAGGAGGCTAAATGATCTATTTCTTGTTCAGGTATTGCACAGTTCATCTGTTCTAAACCCAGATGGGATGGCGGTGGATTGGATTGGTCGCAACTTGTACTGGTGCGATCGTAATACAGACACTGTAGAGGTATCCAAATTGGACGGAAAGTATCGAAAAATTCTGATCAAAGATAAATCATTCTTACGTGAACCTAGAGCTCTGCAGCTGTTCCCGAAGTACGGTTACTTATTCTTGTCCGACTGGGGTGATAAACCACACATTAGCCGTATATCGATGGACGGAAAAACTAAAAAGCACATTATTACTGAAGAAATTGCTTGGCCTAATGCATTGACTATAGATTATGTGACTGAGAAACTGTTCTGGGCTGACGCAAATTACGACTACATCGCTATGTCTGATTTAGACGGCGAGAATCGTCACGTCGTGATAAGCGAAAACTTACCTCACACGTTCGCCCTCACAACGTTCATGGACCATATATATTGGACGGACTGGGAAACAAATGGCGTGTTCACGGCTGAGAAATTTTCTGGAGAGAAGAGGGATAGGATGGTTACCATGTTACACAGACCGATGGATCTGGTTGTTTACCATGCAATGAGACAACCTGACAGTAAGTCGATCTTCTCTTGTAATAAGTTTTGATAAGTTGATTATTTAAATTCCATATGGCCACATGGCCCATGAGAATATATAATACAAAATATATAATAAGTAAAACACAAAAGTTGTCTATAACAGGTGCAGTCTAAAGATTAGTTGTTGTATTGTATATGTCACTTTGTTTCTCTGCGGGCAACTTTTATAATGATTGCAAGATCTTCATTCTGCAAGCTAGAGCATGCATAGATCCCTACATGACCCAAACCTGTCTTATTCAAACTATAAGATTTGTTGTTTTCAATGAGAATTTCACAATAACAAAAAAGCACATGTCAATGATTATGGTTAAAATTATTGTTATTCAAATAATAGGACAGAGTATCAATTATTAAGACTCAACATACTTCTGGAGAAGAGGTTCACTACTTTTCATATGTATTGATATATGCCATTTACAACTTAGTGACAACTAGCCTTATATGATTTTGACCTATAAGGCAAATTTTTCAAAATCTGGGACATTCCACCAAAATAACTACTTCATAATAAATTCTTTATAAAATGTTTTGTTCAAATCAATTATAACCATATATATATGTATATATAAAGGAGTTCAAACTGTTTTTCTAGCCCGCCATATTTTGTGTTTTATGAACATGTTCAGCATGTTTTTTGTTGGAAAATTGTAGACAACAAGGGTGAAAATTCTTTATCACAGATAATTTATTCACTTATATCAATTGAGTTTTCAAGTAGTAGCTCTGTTTTTGCAAAATATTATCACCTAGAACCTTAATAATACTTAGAACCTGACCTCTCTTATACTTTTTTTTTCAGTGAAAACAAATCCATGCGAGGCATTGAACTGTAGTCATCTGTGTCTGTTACGACCAGAAGATGGACCGGACGGAAGGAGGCGTGATGCGAGCGCTGTATGTGCATGCCCAGAGAATCACGACTTGAATCCTGACAAAACGACTTGTAAAGCTGCCTGTGACGCGTAATTTATTTTATTATATTATTAATTATATTTTCATTTTTTAAATGAAATTTTGATGAAATAACAGCACTTTTTTCAGCTTATTTTTTAGCTAATATTCGATCATATTCCAAATTGAAAGAAGTATATAATTCATTTTTCCAATCCAACGAAAACAATTATAAAATCTTTGAAAATAAGGGCTTCTTTACTGTTCTGGTGCTTAAGTGTACAGTGATTGTTTGCATTCATTTAATCACTGCAAAAAATAAAGTCATGCATTTTTCCCAATTTCATGGATGTGGGTCATATTCCCATAATCCTTGGGGGAATAAAAACTGAGTAAAATGCGCACTTTCATTTTAGATCTTTTCACTGTAAAAATTTATTTTTTACTGCAGTTAAACATATTTTCTGTACTTTTCACTAGTGTCTTGCCGGACTACTTTTTTAATTCAGCCAATGCACAAAAAATAAGGGGAAGTCTTTCAAATTGTAATGTCAAAAAAGAGAAGTATGTATGTTATCAACAGAAAATTCAAGTTATGATTTTAGGGTTTGTTGAGGCTCACAGGGAAGACTGGGCTTGCTCAACTGTGTTGCCTCATTAAATAAAGTTGTTACTTACTTACTTACTTACTTACTTAACCATGACAATCGATCTTGGACATTGACTCTGATACTGTAGTCACTTTTCTGTCACAGCTGGTATAAAATAATGTGGGATTAGTAGTTAGTCACTTGTGGAGCTATTGGTAATTATTGGTTAGAAATCCAAGACAGCATAGCATGTGAGGTAGATCTGCTGTTGAGATATGACTGAAAATGTGTAAAAATAAAAACAAAGAAAAAAAAACTTTTCTTTTTCACTTGTTAGTGTACTGCCTGGAACCTAAGGTAACAATTTTTTAAGGTTAAATATACAATGTTGGAATCCTAAGCAAGGACTTGAATAATACTAGTAAAGACATTAAGTTTTCTTTCATCAACAATGATTATCATATTTACAGGTCACAGATGCTGTGTGTGAGTAGTTCCCAGTGTATACCTCAATGGTGGAAATGTGACAATCACACCGACTGTGAGGACGGGTCCGACGAGCCACCCGAATGTAAAGATAGTAAGTTGAAATTTGTACATTAATTTGAGCCGTGTCACGACAAAACCAACATAATGCGTTTGCGACCAGCATGGATCCAGACCAGACTGGGCATCCGCGCAGTCTGATCAGGATCCATGCTGTTTGCTTAGAGATCCTATTACAAGTAGAGAAACTGATAGCGAACAGCATGGATCCTGATCAGACTGTGCGGATGCGCAGGCTGATCTGCATCCATGCTGGTCGCAAACCCATTATGTTGGTTTTGTCGTGACGTGGCTCAAATTCATGTACATGATATTTATGATACACATCTTACAGAAATTCGAACAGTGTGATTATTTGCTGTTATTTTGTTTACTTTTAGAGCCGTATTACTGTCGACAGCCAGGTTTATACCAGTGTCTAAGTGCAACAAATGAGACACAGTGTATACCTCCTATAGGGATCTGTGACGGTGTAGCCCAGTGTGAGGACAGATCTGACGAGACTCAGTGGAACAACTGCAGTAAGTCACTTGATATTTTATAACACACTGCATGTTTGTATTGCCCTATTACAGTACAAGTTTGTGATGTATTATTTCAATCAATAGTAAGTGTGAAATAGAGATAAAAAGCTTTATCAGTTATTAAATTTTCTGATCGAAATGGTCGTTTTTAAGTGAATAGGTACATACCATACAACAAATTAAGGTTTACAATTGCACTAAAATTATTACAAATCATCAAGTGGCTGTTGACAGTCTATTAAATGATTATAAATTGTCAAAATATTTCTGTTGTTGAAAATATTGTAACAAAAGGTAGGTTAAATAAAATCACATACCTTAATTTTCCTCTGTTACTTTTCAGCGGACTATCCCTGTATAATGCACCAGTTCAAGTGTGAAGCTGACCATAAATGCATTAGTGACATTAGAAAATGTGATGGAAAGGAAGATTGTACTGATGGGGAAGACGAGAAAGACTGCGGTAAGTCTAATGATCACTTAATATCTGCCGCAGAAAAAGTTTACTGAGAAATATATTTGTGGTAATGATTGTCACTCTATCTTTACTCTTTCTTGGTGTTCTGACTTGATATAGTCACATATAAATCTATCTAGCTTTTTAGGCCCCCCACTAAGCCGAGAGCGATGATTTTCACCGGTTCATATAGTCATGTGGTATATTTCAAGCTAGCTTTTTTATGCCCCCACTAAAGATGGAGGTGGGGCTTACAGATATGTAGATTTCCCTTGTCCATTTGTTTACTGTCCATTTATACACTGTTAAAACAGCAGAATGTTTGGGTGACTGTACTGTGGCCTATGCATACATTTCAAGTTTTGTGAAATATGAAAAAAAAAATTTCCTCCTTAGTTCTTTGGGATTTTTTTTTTAAACATATTTGTTTAAAGCTAAATTGAGGAACAAGTTGTTGTAACTTAAATTAATTACTTTCAAGTCTGTTTTGTTGAACTTTTCTTAGAGAACATTAGTGGTAACAGGACTCAAACCCGTTATCCCTGATAGAAACTTTTCTCCTTGTTACATCTAGATAGAGATACCAATTCATAAGATGATAGCTTTTTAAAAACATGAAGATTTTTTATCTATTCTCTTAAGGTTCCTTAAGATCAAGGTTAAAATTGTAATGTGTAAAGTTTGATGTTTTGTGTGCTATGACTTCCTTCATCTATCAAATTTTCAGTTATTGCTTTATTCTACTCAAGATGATTTCTCATTTTGTTGGTGTGTCAATATTAAAAGAGTAAAATAAGTATACCTAACATTTATGACTTGTTCATATTAATATTTGCTTATTCACTGAAGGTAATTTTATAATTTTTTTTGTAATGAAAAAGTGTTTTAAAATTTTGGGAAAATTGTGATCCTGGAAAGCATTAATCATAACAAAATGAAAATTGTGGACTTGGTAACTTCATTACTTAGTTTCATTGTAGCGAAACAAGAATGTCTGGACACACAGTTCCGGTGCAACACGACGGGTAATTGTATACCGTACCTGTGGCAGTGTGACGGTGATAATGACTGCGGAGACTGGTTCGACGAGAAATCCTGCTCGAACCGCACCTGTAAAGATGATTATATCAAGTGTGAAAAAACAAGTAAGTAAAACTTTTGAGACAGTATTATTAAAGTCAGATTAAAGTTATTTTCATCGACTTTCAAGTTCTTTGGCCTGTGGCAAAGTGGTTAAAGTTGTTGACTTGAAACCACTTGCCTCTCACGGTTGTGGGTTCGAATCTCAACAGGGACTGTGGATCGTTGTGGTGATTTTGTTTCGGTGTCAAAAAAAACTATGATATGTATTCTTTGCAGTGCAGTGGTCTTTAACAAAGATTCTGCTTTTTTACTTTTTCTCACAGTGATGCCTTCATTAAGGTCTTGATAATACAAGTCATTCCTTGTTTATGCTTTGAGTGTGGGGTCGTGGCTCTGATACAATTGACAGATGCATAATATGTTATATATAGGTACATAGAGAAATTTACTGTAAAACCTGTCTTAAAGGCCACATCTGAATAAAATCACATTGTAAATGAAGGACACTATTCATCAACCCTTCAATGATAAAATATAACAGAGTCACCTCCAAATAAAGACCACTTGCTTATTAAGACCATACTCTGTTCTTTTTTCTTTGCATGGCCTTTCTCCACAGGTTTGACTGTGTACTGAAAGTCTTGCCACTATAGGTAAAAGTCTATAGGTCTTGCCACTATAGGTAAAAGTTTGTTTTAAATATGACTTTCTGTTTGTTTTATCTTCAGAGAAATGCATACCGAAGGCGTGGGAATGTGACGGGGAATACGACTGTGGCAGTGGTGACGAGTCGGACGAGAATTCTACAGTTTGCTGTAAGTTGTAACAACGTTTGTTATTATTTGAGCCACGTCATGACAAAACCAACATAATGGGTTTGTGACCAGCAAGGATCCAGACCAGCCTGCGCATCCGCGCAGTCTGATCAGGATCCATACTGTTCGCTTACAAACTCTATTACATGTAGAAAAACGGATAGCGAACAGCATTGATCCTGATCAGACTGCGTGGATGCGCAGGCTGGTCTGGATCCATGCTGGTCGCAAATCCATTATGTTGGTTTTGTCATGACTCGGCTCATTTATACAATATCATAGATTGTCCTCACTTAAGTAGTTATCATTGCCCAATAAAAATGACTGGATATGTTACAAGTGAATATTTTGGTTGAGTTTACTGCTGGAGATAGACCTCATGTGCCCTGATACAAATAAGCAAGACAGACCTTCCATATGCTAGCTGGGTATGGTTCTCCTTTGTTGGATCTAACTTAATGCCTTGATGGTAATAGGTAGTTAGTTGCCAGAAATTTAAACCATATTGTCATGGAGAGTTCTGTTTGTCACATGAAATAGTCTGCTCATATCAAATTTAATTATGCTTATGCATACATGCCATAATTTTTAGACTCATTTCCGGGACACTTTTTCGTTTGGATCAGCAAACGTATTTTTTTTAAATTTACATAGTGGCATACAACCTATATTACCGGTATTTACAACTTGCAAATTTAATGATACTATAAACAAGACAAAATGTTTATAATTATGAACAGTTTTTCTATCTTTTTTAAAGTGTTTAGGCATCGTAAATTCAATCATTAGCATAATAGAATAAAGCTATGTTAAGTGAGAACCATTAGCCGTGTCGTTTACCTGAAACATTCACTGAATCCTGTAGATTTCATCACCTCATATTTAGCAGTAATTTTCACGGTGTTTGACCACTAATATCTGCCTGCAGGCGGATTAAATTTCTGCTGGCCAGTTGTCTAATTACAGTTTATGACACCTTCGTTCAGGAAGCCACAGGGGGACTAAATAATCAATCTTTTAATTTGATCAAAATTATTTCCGATAATTGTTTGTTGAAAGGGGCACATATAGATATACCAATCAAAGGATTAATGTCACCATTGTAATGCTGTAAGGGATAATCGTACGTAATTAGCATTCTAGAATAGTTTATAAAAACTTGACAATAAGATATAAAAATGTAAAATTTCTGGCTACAAAGTAGATTATTTTAGATTTTTTTACCGGGACATAAATCATCTCCGGGACAGAAACCTTATATCCGGGACTTTCCCGGGCATCCAGGATGTTATGGCCTGTATGGCTTATGTTAATTGGCCCTTTACTCAAACAAGTTCAATCACTCTTGTTTTTATATGTATTCCTTTTTCAGCTGATAGAACATGTGATGCAACATATTTCAAGTGTAGTAATGCTCACTGTATTCCGGGTAGATGGCGTTGCGATGACGACCAAGATTGTAGCGACGGCTCCGATGAAAGGGATTGTGGTAAGCTTAATTATAGTATGAATGGTCAAAATGTTATATTATAGTGGCGGCATGGCGGAGTGGTTAACGAGTCAGACTAGTGATCTAATGATTGTTAGCGGCATGGGTTTAAACCCCGTGCCGTTGTCCCCTTGAGCAAGAAACTTTACACACATTGTTATGTACATGTTGCTTTCAGGAACAGATTTGAAAGTCTGTCTATAATCTTCCTTCACAATCGAACTAAAATTAATTCGGTATTAACCAAAATGTTATATTCACGGAAAAATGGAAAATTGAGAAAATATACCTTATGAATTGAGAAAAATTACAAGAATAAGATAGCTTAGGTTGATTTATGTTTAGATTCATGTATTTTCTGATTGATTTAGTTTTGTCAATGAATTATGTGCACATTTTTGTTTCAATATTATATCAGATTAAAACTAAATAGTTGAAATTTTAGAACTTTTGCATAGGAACATTTTACACTTTCTTTGTTAACATAGATATTATATTTTAAAGTTTCATATCCCAATTTTTTTTATATGATCTGTTTTATTTATTTATCTTTTTTTTTTAATTCAGAAAAGAGAAATTGCACAGTATTGGAGTTTAAATGTAAGGAGGGTAACAAATGTATTCCACTGTCTTCTGTATGTGATGGCAGACATGATTGTAAAGATCATTCGGATGAACTAACTGAAGATTGTCAGTCTTGTAAGTTAACCTTTTCTACCATTGTTAACCTTTAAAGATACTCCAGTTTAGCACGGAGGAAGGTAGTCTAGTACTGGTGTAACTCTCCAGGAACGATGGTTAGGCAACTACCCGCCTATATGACTGAAATACTGTTGGGAAAAGGGCGTAAAATGAAACAAACAAACAAACTCCACTAAGGTCCAGAGGCCCAAAAAACATTAAAATTTGAATTTCTTACGTAGATCATCTGGAGCACTTAAAACAGAAAGGTTTGCAAAAGATATTTAAGAAAATGGAAATTTTGTATTTTGTTCTATATATAAGACAATTTTGGATCATTGGAAAAATGGAGTGAGCGAATTTGAAATGTTGTTTACAAGTTGTTGGTAAAGACTTATATCAAATGGAACATTAATCTCAAAAAGTTATTGCTAGTCCCATTATGTCAAAAAATTGTCAGTGAAGTCCCTTTAAACCTTCTGTCTTTGTATAATGGATATGCCTGGCTTTTAGCCATTAGCAACCCTGTAACCCATAAAACCCTGTTTGAGCCATTATGAACTACATGTATGCAGGGCCGGCAAAATCTGATTTTGACTTGTCCGTTTTTATGTGAAGCATTTTTTAACCTGTCCGTATGATATTTTGTCCGTACAGGCTGTGGGACAACCTGGGCAATACGGACACTTGATATGCTGGCCCTGTGTATGTAAAGCAAAACTGATAGAATTTCATACAACATAAAATTCATAGTCTTAGAAAGATAATTAAGTTGTGATAGGTTGAGATTTTATAAAATTATGAACCTCTGGAAAATCTACATTTTCTTAGGGTTATAAGATGACAAACCTGTATCAAGTCTAGATTTTGTTAGCTTAATATGATAGCAAACATGTGGAAATTTTAGATTTTGTTAGCTTAGTAAGATACTAAACCTATGGAAATTTTAGATTTTTTACTTTTATAAGATAATAAACTTGTGGAAAGTCTAGATTTTGTGAGTTTATAAACCTCTGTAAAAACTAGATTTTGTAAGATAACAACCTTCTTGGAAGTGATAACAAACCAGTAGAAAGTCTAGATTTTATATGACAATTACCTATTTATGTAATATCTTGTATATTTATCTTTGTAACTTAAATTTATCTTTACCTACAGCTATTAAATGTTCAGCAACAGAGTTCCAGTGTAAAAGTGGCTCGACGTGTATTCCTGGGTCGTGGAAATGTGACGGGGAGGACGACTGCCTTGACGGCTCCGACGAGGAAAACTGCCATTCCAACTGTAAACATAGTCAGTTCCGATGTAACAACGGTAAATGCGTGTCATTTCTGTGGAGATGTGACGGGGAAGATGACTGCGGGGATATGTCGGACGAAAAAGATTGTAGTACCGTCGCGTGCCCAATAGGTCGGTTCAGATGTGGCGATAGTACTTGTATACCCCTACATAAGAAATGTAATGGACAGAATGACTGTAAAGATGGCTTAGACGAGAGTATATGCAGTATGTATCAAGCAAATCCTGGAATTACTGTATTTAAATGCTTAGATAATTATTATGTTTATTACAGCAGACACATTGCTTAAGAGATCATTGTAATATGTAGAAATTATTTTCAGCTATGAATTACTTTACTAGATTATGTCATTGTGTGTGATAACCATAATTCAAAATTAGAAAAAGAAGAAAAGTTATGTTATAATATACTGAAAAATATTGTTTGTACGGGCATATTAGATAAGTAATTAAGTTGGTTCCCTGTACTGTTCACGCTTGTATTTCTCTGAAACAACGTAACGGGCTAAAATTCAAAACAGCGAAATTATCAAAATGATAATTTTACTGTTTAAAACAGTGAAATTATCAGTTTTATATCACTGATATATTTCTATAAACCACCGAAAAGCATGTAATAAAGTGTATTGCTTATTTCAGAAATTTCAGAATGTCCATATGGTATGTACAAGTGTAAGGATAACAGTACGTGCCTGAACCCACATGAGCTGTGTGACGGTAACTCGGACTGCGCCGATGGTGATGATGAGGCAGATGATGCAGGCGCTATCTGTGCTAAAGGTAAGAGTCCAGTCTCCTACACAGTGATCTCCCTTCATCAGTACAGAGATCTCTGCCACCACAAACATTTTTATCCATATTTTGATATTTTATAATGTAACAGTAAATTCTCTTTGATCCTATTCATTCCGTTTAACTTGTGTGTCTTTTTTAGCTCGATTTTTTTTTTTAAGTGAAGGCAGTGATTTCGGTTCTGCCAAGATAGGTTATCACTGTAAGGAGTTTGAGCTTTTGCTAGTTGAAATTCTGTTAAAGACAAGATTTTTTTTAAAAAAAATAAACAAAGTTGACCCTTATTAACACCTGACCTGGTTTTATTTAATATTTCTTCATACAGTTCTATATTATTTTAGGTATTTATAAATTGGGAATTTAATAATTATCAATAATTACAATCGGCATAAAAAACAAACAGACAAACAGATAATGATCACTATTATATACAATGTTTATTTTATGTGGTAAATTTATTACAGAGAACATTCAGTCATGTGGTGCATTAAAAGGAGGCTGCAGCCATCATATATGTAAATATCTCAGTAAAGTACATATGACCAAGTGTTCATGTAACCCAGGTTACACTATTGACAAGGAAAACCAACGTATTTGCATTGGTGAGTTTTTTTGTTGTTTTTTTTTTCTAATGTTTAAAGTTTAAGCATCCAGGGATATTTCATATGAATTTGAATGTTATCCCTCCTTTTTTTGTGTGAAAATAGACATTTCCTGCTATGAAATAGATAATATCCATTATGATATTGGTATATAACCTGCATTGAATTGGGAACTATCTTATCATGCTTTTGGTTGGAATTTTCCTAATGTATTTTGTTTGTCTTGCTTTTGAATTTGGAACGAAATTGGTGCATTCCATGCAATGTTCAAGGGAATCCATTATCAAAAATATCAAAATTGAGCTACCAACAATGTCGATTTTGATCAGACTGCACATAAGTGCATTTATACTACATGTAGTGGCAAAAAGTTATCTTGCTTTGTTCCAGCAGGTAAGGTGGTTGGTCTATGTTATAAATTGGGTAAACAAGATCGTTGGTTGCTTTAGGAAGTTACTTCTTTCTGATCCAGTTTTATTGTGCTTTTCAAAATCCATTATTGTTTTGCTCATCAAGGTATGATATGTACTTACTTCATACAGAATTTATTTTAGTTTGTGTAGGAAGTTACAAGTACATAGACAATCTCTAGAATCTGTTCCTTGAACTAACCAGTTCTAAGCAAGGAGTGTAAAGTTTCTTTCTCAAGGAAGCAGTGGCTTTGCCCTTTGAAGGGGTTTCAACCCATCCGTAGATTACAAGTCTGACACCTTTACCTATGTTCCACACCACCCACTATTTACCTATGTAACCTAAATAAACATTGTTTACATTAACAGAGGCAGATCCGTGCTCGGAGTTTGGTTTATGCTCGCAGAGATGTATATACTGGCAGAAAAATCATACAACACATTGTGAATGTGACATCTCGTACAAGAAGAAGATTGATGAAAACAACAATACTGTCTGTTTACCTGAAGGTGAATAAAATGAGCGACGTCACGACAAAACCAACATAGTGCGTTTGCGACCAGCATGAATCCAGACCAGCTGCGCATCCGCGCAGTCTGATCAGGATCCATGCTGTTCGCTTACCAACTCTATTACAAGTAGAGAAACTGATAGCCAACAGCATGGATCCTGATCAGACTGCGCTGATGCGCAGGCTGGTCTGGATCCATGCTGGTCGCAAGCGCACTATGTTGGTTTTGTTGTGACGCGGCTCAAATTAAATGAACTTCTTACTTATTTACCAAGGACTGGTCCACATTTTATTTAAACTCTGTTATGTTGTAACATTGAACATAAAAGGTAAAAAAGTTACAGTTTTGTTTGGAGTATTTTAGATATTTTTTTTGGCATGTTTTTTTTTATGGCATATCTGTGTATTTAGAGGTTTATCCATCAATAAAATTGGGACGAGATCTTTGATATAGAAGAAACTCCAGATTTACATGTGAAATGTAATTAAGGAAAATATGCTTGTTAATATACAATTAGAGGTGTACATTTAGGAAATAGGTATCAGTTTTGAGTGTATTGTTGTAGAATAATGCACGGTTCAAGTTCAAATGTGTAGGGGTACAATCATGAAGGCCCATAGGCCTGAGTGATAAATTACAAAGCATTTGAATGATTTAAACCGTGCATAATTATACTATAATGCAAGAAAAAATGATATCTATTTCCATTCTAACCTGCTAAATAAATGGAGAATTGATAACAATATGCTGAGATCCCTCAAGATCAATGAAAAAAAAAAAGAAGAAAAAGTTGAAAACCACAGAATTAGTTTTGATCTTAGGAGATAATATGAAGTGCAAAAACATACAGATTTACTATGTTCTATATTTTGTACAGGTAACACAGCCGTACTGGTATTTGCTGATGAAGATGAAATCTATGAACAGAAAGTAACAGATATCTATGTTGAAAATTCTACTGGTAGATTTGTAAGTGAAATATAAAAAAAGTTTTTATATACTGGTAGCTATAACACAGTTTTGATGCTGTTTTTGTTTGTGAAAAAAAAATGTGAATTGGGCAGCCCAGGTCGGATTCCTATTATGATTGACCATGAAATTCTTATGACAGTCATTTGCACTGGCATGAACAGAAGTTATCAGTTCCTTGTGAAAAGTGAAGGCAACTAGTACTGGTAATCTGCTTGACAGCATGCCCAGGAACTGATGCAGTGGCTGAGTTGTGCTCTGGTGAATTCAAAGTGGCTTACTGCCATTATGTGGAGGATAAACTACTAACACCATGACTGATATTGATATTTCAAATAAAATCAAAAGTGTTCTGAAAAGCAGTCTATAAATAATGGCATGTTTGGTAAAACTGCAAATAACCTTTTATACATGACCATCATTTTAGCTTGACTAATTGAATAATATGGAGAGCTAATGTACTCACCCAGGTGTCAGCATTTTTGTCACTGGTTAAGTTTCTATGTGCAAGTTGGTATTTCCAAAACTTCTTAAAAGAATGGATGAGATCTGATGAATATCAGAATAAGTTTTTGAATTTAAATTTTGCAAATTTTAAATCTGTGACTTTATTTATAGGTAAACGAAAATGCAAGCAAGATTATTTCTGTAGATGTTGATATTTCCTCACTGCATCCAGGAGACTGGAAAATGTTTCTCTTGAAAAGCACCCAGTTACGTAAATCTATCATACTACGAACATTTAAACATATAGACTCAAAGATGACAAATGACAAGAAAGATAGCAATAATAGTGGAAGGAGAAAAAGGGAAACAACTGTCGCTTCTAAAGAAGAAACTTTGGTAAATATCTTTGTTGTTTTTTTGGGGGTTTTTTGTTGTTTTTTTAATAAAAACTTTTAAAAGTCATAAAAAACAGACAGTGTTTTATAATGTGGATTATGGACTATTTTGAGAGTTATGCACAGCTTTGATAACAAAAAAATAAATAAGAATACCATTGTATGTTACAGATAACTGGCTTAAATGATCCACAAGGCATTGCTGTTGATTGGATAGGAAAGAATTTGTACTGGACGGACGCCTCCACGTTAAAGATAGAAATGTGTCACTATAACGGTACAACATGTACACGCAGAAAAACCATCGTAAAAGGAGATCTTGATGAACCCTTCGATATTGTTGTTGATCCAAATTACGGGTAAGAAATGCAATTTTCATTGTGTAATTTTTGAAAGAGATAATATTTGTATTTGTGTATGAAAATCTTGCTTTGAATGTTCATGTTTTTAACTTTGTGTTCTTGCGTTGAAGTCCCATTTTGTTAATGAGAATTGTTCTATATATGCAATCTTTCTACATATATCTGTACCCGTAATATGAGTAAGTTTGTTTTGTCAGCCGTTTACTAATAAATGTATAAAATGTCACTAATAGATGATATTTAATTAAATGAGTGTACGTTTAACGTCAACGAAAGCCATTCTTATTTTAGATATGTGATAAATAGAAATATAATATTCGTGCAGATTTAATACAAAATTTATTGAGCCAATTGAATAAAATCATATTGTACAAGCCTCTGCCCAGCATAATATAATTGTTATATTCCCCCGAGTTCAATAAATTTAGTATTGAATCTGCACAAACATAATATTCTATTTATCACATATCTAAAATGAAAATGGCTTACAGTTAAAAAGAGTAATTTTTCGTTGACGCACCTATAGTGTAACACTAACATTAGCACACTTTAACTCTATTTTTGTATATAGCTCAAATAACGTCACATCAAAGTGTTATTACACTAGTGTAACATCGTTCCTTTTTTTTTATTAAATGGGTTTATTTCACTCCTGTGCCGTGGTTTTATGTGCTAAAATAAATTATCTTTTCTTTTCTTTCAGTAAAATATTTTGGACAGACCGCGGATACCCACCAAAGATTGAGTCAGCCAACCTGGATGGCTCAGGAAGAGCTACCCTTGTCAAAGACTTCATCATTTGGCCAAATGGTATCGCATTAGATTATACCAATGACAGGCTTTATTGGGCAGATACAAAAAGTCACACCATAGAGTCTGTGAGGTTAGACGGGACCGACAAGAAAATCATCAGAACTTTTGATGGTAAGTTATCTGTAAATAATTTAATGCTCTATCTATTTATTTGAATAACAATCAATTTAACCACAAACATTTGAGCCGCATCACAACAAAACCAACATAATGGGTTTGCGACCAGCATGGATCCAGACCAGCCTGCGCATCCATGCAGTCTGATCAGGATCCATGCTGTTCGCTATCAGTTTCTCTACTTGTTATAGAGTTTGTAAGTGAACAGCATGGATCCTGATGCGCAGGCTGGTCTGGATCCATGCTGGTCGCAAATCCATTATGTTGGTTTTGTAATGACATGGCTCAAATATGTTGTAGTGAAATTCTTATTGCAGTCCACTAATCTGATAATTCGAATTGGACAGGTCATGGTTAATTAAGGATCTATGGATAGTTAGCCTCCTTCCTAAAAGAAGCGGCCATGTTTAGATTCAATACACAATTTTTTAATTTTTTAATTCATTATTGCGATGTGTGTATTAAAGGGACTCCACTGAGGTTTAAAAGCCTAAAAACATAACATTTGAATTTCTTACATAAATGAGCTGGGACACTTTAAACAGAAGTATATGCAAATATAGTAAGAAATATACTTTGAAATGATTTGAAATCGTATTCTTATGCTTTTCTTAGCCCGATTTGAGTGAAAAGCATTTAAACGCTTTTCATTTGGGTCATTTTTTTTACAATTTGAATAATTATTCTGGAAAAACAAAAGTGCGCGAATGATGTGAAATTTTGCACAAAGATTAGTGGTCTAAAAAAAAATTCAGTCCCATCATCTCAGAAAACCTTAGTGGAGTCCCTTTAAAGGAACTACACTGAGGTTTATAAGCCTAAAACATAAAATTTTAATTTTTGACAAAGATAAACATGAGCACTTGAAGCAGAATATTAATACAATATAACCATGAAATATAGAAGAAATACATTGAAAATCATATATTTGTGCTTTTCTCAGTCCAAATTAAGTGAAAAGCGTTTAAACGGTTTTCAATTTTGGGTCATATTTCACTATTATAAAAATTATTCTAGAAAAACGGAGCAAGCTAATGATCTGAAATTTTGCACATAAGTTATTAGTATAGATCTACATCAAATGGAGTAATAATCTCAAAAAATTATTTCCAGTCCCGTCATGTCAAAAAACCTCAGTGGAGTCCCTTTAATTATACATGTATATATGGCTGCTGTCAATTTATGAAGTAACTTCTGTAATAAAGGAATTTTGCTGCATTATAATTTATTGACGGGTCAAAAATCTTTATAATTAAAGATATAACTGAGAAAAATATAGTAAAATATCACAAAACATAAATCAAGTTTTCTGTTCAATTTCAGTGAAAGATCCACCATACCAGGTGGAAGTGTTTGGCGATGATCTGTACGTAACAACATTTAAAAAACGAGCAGTGCTTAAATTCCCGAAGTTTTATAATAAGTCGGCTGATGAAGAGACGGTTACGTTGACCAAGTCCATCATGCACATCGAAGATATTGTTATCATTCAAGAGAGTAAGCAGATGGTCAAGGAGCCCGCATCAGGTATGTTATTTAAGAAAAAATATATACCAAACACTGATTTTATCACTGAATTAAATCATTGTTTGGAGTTTGGATGCGAGTAATTATATCACGAGGGCATAGCACGAGTGATATAATGATGCACATCCAAACAACAAACAGTGATTTTATCAAGTGATAAAATCCCCGATTTGGATATATTATTTCGGACTACAGACTAGCTTTGCCATCTTTTGTTGGCATCCAATATTCACAGCTGATTAATCAATAAGAGTAGTGTTTAAAATCATGTATTTATGCTTTTATTACAAAACTTTATATTGATAAATTTTCATTAAACCATTATAATAACTAGTGAAATGCAAAAGGACTGTTAATATAATTTTTACGCTGTTTGGCTAATGTTTCTCTTAAGTGACATTATGCCCATCCAAATGTATACAGTGAGTGAACAGGTAAAAGTCAAAAACAGGTTTACATTTTGCTATAATTGCGTTCAATTTAATAATTTACTTTGCATAAACGATTAATAACTCATGTGGTCTAAGAAAATGTCTGTAAATATCCACTGGAATTCAACTGTCACGTTCAGTTTATAAAAAGAATGGGGCAGTTTTTATATATTTTATGCAGATTTATATTTTGTCATTTTTTTCCAATATCAACTGTTGGTCAATCACCATTTGAATAGTCAATCTTTCAAATATGTAGTCAATTAAACTCAACTTGACAATGAAATATTGAGCATAATGTCACTATGTAAACCCTGTTTACTTCAGACAAATAATATCCTTATACAATAAAAATGAATGTATGATTAGTTAATGAACGTTTGATTATATTTCTAGTAACCAATGCCTGCAGCTTACACCCGTGTCCTTCACCAACACAGCTGTGTATAAATAATCCACAAGGACATGTGAGTAAATTTACCTGCGTGTGTGCCGATGGTGCGATATTTAATCCAACAACCAAGAAATGCGACTTCATTGAATGTCCGCAGAACTACTGTAACGGGAAGGGTAACTGTACGGCCACACAAAATAACGACTTTAAATGCAGGTAAGTAATAATGTTACTTTGATATGATTATTCTTTTATGTCAGTTTTCTTTCCATGGAAAATAAAAAATGTTCAGACAATTTGGATGAAAATTGCCTAAGAATTTAGAATGAAACATAGATACGGGGTTTTCATTGATAATAGATTGGTAGAAATGCTGTTAAAAAGAAGTTGTATTATCAGCTTGTAGATAAATTATCCCCCTTGGCCAGATCTGTTGGTTTTGTTGGCCTGTTTGTTGCCTCAGAAAAAAATGAAAACCCTGAGATACATGTATCCCTATTAACAAAAATTGTTTCAATTTGTAACTTCTATATAATATTATGTATGTTTTATAGTTGTGAAATAGGATATGGCGGGAAGAGATGTGAGGTTGATGTGTGCTTACACTATTGCGGAGGAGGCGGTACATGTTTAGTTCATTCGGAAAAACCTGCAGTTCCAGTCTGCCGGTAAGTTATTCTTCATAATCATATGTTACGTAAAAAAGTTTGTGATTTATCCTTAACCAACGGAGAACCTTTGTGGCTCTTGTGAACTTGGTCATTTCAAACTTATATTGCATCCATTTGTCAAGTTCAAATCTCTATAATTGTTTTTTTGCTGAGTAAGTATTTTACAAATAGTGTGAAAATTGCTAGAGTACATTGTTATATACTGTTTAATTTTAGAACTGAAATGAGGTTGATGGATCTTTAATGTTTCTTTTGTCAGAATATATAAATGCACTTATGCACTTAAATAAAAAAATCTTTTACAAAAAATAAGGATTCTATACCTTAAAACAGTATACATGAATATCTCAAATCCAGAGTTCAGACCAACTCAATATTAAGAACAGTAATAATAAAGGTCCAGTAGTGCTCTACATAGAGAGATTGTACTGTATTTATTAGCTGCATAAAATGTGTCATTGAAATTGCAATTTTTTATGAAATGATAAGCTGATGAACCATTGCTTGATGATAACTTGATGACTATAATGGTTTGATGACTATTTGTACTTGTTATATTGAATAGGAAGATACATTTGGTCTTCTATAGAAAATCAAGCTAGTCAGACTTGACTTGCTTATAAATCTTTAGCTCAATAGGAAGAGCTTTGGATTAGTAATCCAGTGGTTGCTGGTTTGATCCTTGGGGTAGCGTAATGTCTATGTGACAATTGATCCTGGACATTGTATCTTACGGTCATTTGTCTCTCACCGCTGATTCAGAAATGATGTGGGATAAGTAGTCGGTCACTTACAGAGAAATTGGTGTAACTAGTGCTTAGTTTGTGAAGGACAATTGGGTAGGTGAATCGGCCACTGAGATATAACCAAAACATATGTTCAAATCAGCATTTAAATTAAATTAAAAAAACAATGAACAAACTTAATTGAATTTTTTTTTCTCATTTTTAACAGTTGTGCGATGGGATATTACGGGGAGAGATGCCAACATTTCCGTTGTAATGATTTCTGTTTAAACAGAGGAACGTGCGTTTATTTCCAAGAATTTGATGAGATATTGTGCAGGTGAGTAAATATAGAATTCATTTCGTTAAATAACAACAATTTCGGTAATTAATATGACATGTAAGCCACGCATGCTTAGTCAGTGTGCTTCGCGTTCCAACTAGTTGGTGTTTTTTAGTGAAAATTTTTTCCAATAATTCTGACTTTGGTATAAATAGTGGACGATGTTCACTAAAAATGATTTTGTTTAGTATTCATCATGATTCATTTTAACCCCTCATGGTCTTATATTTAACTCATGGAATTATAATAGAACTTCACCTTTCTGCTAAGGCTCTTTTAATTGTTCATTTTTTTATTACACTGGATAAAACTTGATTAATGCGATTAGGCTTGCAACTGTATTGTGTTTCTTATATGGAAAAAATTATTCTGACGTCAGATTTGTTTTTGTCATTAAAGCCAGGGCCTTTGTAATTTGATTTTAAGTTTGCTTTGTTTTTTCTTACTTGGAAATTGAAAAACAGATTTTTGCAGAATTATTTACGAAAGACGACAGTATTAATGTTCTTATCCAAAAGTTTTTTTGTTTTACAAAATTATTTTTGAAAATAAGCAAAATGTTCATCTGTCACATGTATTCTAGCTGTCCGCGGGAGTTTACGGGAAAACATTGCGAGACTAAAACAGAGGAGTCATCGTGTCAAGGTTACTGTCTGAATGGTGGGACGTGCCAGAGTGATGATAAAACAGGTTCCCTCACCTGCACGTGTAAAGAGAATTACACAGGTATCTGTAACATACTTATATTTCTTATATCTAACATGCTGACTTTTTTTGTAATGATTTTGTCTGTCTTTCAGTTTACAATAATTTCATTTAAATTTCCGATTATTCATTTTAATTTTTAGGGATTTTAGTATCAAAATAACAAACTTGAACTTCATTTGTAAAGATGTCTGGCCTAGCTCTATACTTGTGGCAAGGGCATTGAAAAATTCTTAAGGATTGACGTCCATACAGTAAAAGAACTAATTATTTAGGGAACTTTATTTCTGCTAGGCCTGTGAAAGGTGAAACTGCAGATTTAAAACCTGTAGAAAATTATAAATAAGTTAAATGATAAAGTTTTTTTCATTTCTTCTTTTTTTTCTGTGAAAAATAGGCAAACGTTGCGGGAAATGTGGTCTACAGGATTCTACGGTATTCTGTGAAAATGGAGGAACAGTCCTATGTGACAAGAATATGGACAAATCTGCCCCAAGATGCAAGTGTTTACCTGGATTCGATCCCAAAACTAATTGTGGCAATCGTTCCTGTGACGGTTATTGTGAGAATGGAGGGTCTTGTATGTTACGGGATAACGCATTTTCGTGTAAATGTCCCGCGGGATATCTAGGAGCACGTTGTGAAAATGTCGCCCAAAACTGTTCCAGTGTAAATTGCTTAAATGGAGGTACGTTTGTCTGTTTTATACCCAGTTATAACCAGTAATAAGATTGATACATGTTTTATACAATCAGAGAAACTTATACATGTATCTGTTTGAATTCTTGTAAATTTTAAAAAAAATACCTTGAAGGTGGAGTGATTAAAAAAAATCATAAATATGATAAGAAATAGAAAAATATCATCTTATGTAAAGTTAAGCGAGGAATGAATATCAGCATAGTTATTGATATTAAAAATAATCTTTAAATTATACTTTGCGGTCACGTTATGGTAATTTGTATTATGTATAGGCAAAGTGTTTTGCTGAAATTTTGTTTAGAAAGAAATTTAAATATTATAATCAGGATTATAAGAAAATAATCATGAGGTTTGCTTTAACAGAATTCGTGATGGTACACTTTTTGTTCAAAATGATAAAAAAAACCTGCTTGCTGTATAGGTGATGGTGGTTACTTTGCACTTGTTACTATTTATAGTAGCATAGACTTGTTACTATTTATGTGCATTTGAGTTTATTTATACTCGCCACGGGTTGCCCATATAGGCAAGTCCTCCAGAACAGTATTAGTCATTTTAGATTTTTGGAGGATACTGCAAATTACAGATACAGAAAGATGTCCCAATTCTGGTTCTTTAACATGTTAAGTATTTAAGCACTCATACATGGGACCTCTATTTAAAGTCTCTCATCCAAAAGACTGATAAGTAATTTTAGTTGGCCAGCCTGGGAATTGAACCTAAAATGTTGAGATTACAAGTCTAGTGCTCAAACCAATTGAGCTATGCGGGCTGGCTTAAGTTACTATTTATAGAAACATACTTTGACATTGATTTACGGATTTCATTATCTGTTATCTTTGATAGGAACATGTAGGCTAGCCAATCAGATAAGTGGACAAGGGTCACAAGTGCATTGTGAGTGTACTCCAAGATTTACGGGATCTTTGTGTGAAGTATACATTGGCTGCAGTGGCTTCTGTAAAAATGGAGGCAACTGTACTATAGGTGGTAAGTTTTTTAATCTATAATTTGTCAAATAAATTAAAAAATTTATATTTAAGAAGATCAAAATTGTGACCACAAAAATAGTCTCTTGTTATCCCCACACTTTGGAAGTATTTTTAGTCATGTAAAAGTGCGCCTTGAAAGTGTTTTTGGCCATGTGAAAACATGCTTTAAAAGTATTTTAGCCATGTGATAGTGCACCTTGAAAGTGTTTTTGGCCATGTGAAAACATGCCTTAAAAGTATTTTAGCCATGTGAAAGTGCACCTTGAAAGTGTTTTTGGCCATGTGAAAACATGCCTTAAAAGTATTTTAGCCTTGTGAAAGTGCACCTTGGAAGTATTTTTGGCCATGTAAAAGTACACCTTGAAAGTATTTTAGCCATGTAAAAGTGCACCTTGAAAGTATTTTAGCCATGTAAAAGTGCACCTTGAAAGTATTTTAGCCATGTAAAAGTGCACCTTGAAAGTACCCGTGCAGAAAATATTTCCTGTTCTCAGGAAGTCCCAGGAAATCCCAGGATTATCCCAGGATTTGTTTGCTACCTCTTAACAAAAGTCCTGTTTATAGGATATCTCAAGACTTTTGAACATACTGAACAGGACAAAACAGGAATTGTCAGGACTTTAATCTTACCAACAGGAAAAAAACAGGAAATCTCAGGACTTTTATTTTCAAATATGTCCTGAGGACAGGAATTATCAGGACTTCATTCATAGTGAAGTCCATTAGTCAAAGACAAGAAAGATATTTTCTTAGAAGGCCTTTCTGTAAAGTGAAAAGTAAGAAGTCTTGTTAATTCCTGTTCTTTAGACAGAGGAATAAATGAAATAACTTTTGTGAGACTTTTTATTACTGAGCAAAGCTGAAAAAAATGCTAAGTATAAAAAATGAGAAAAAATGATAAAATATATTGAAGTCGGTTTGTAATAGTTTTCTTTAACACAATGGGTATCAAAATACTCAGAATTTAAAATTCTATAATCTTAGACCTTAATCACAAACAATTAAGAAAAAATTGCTAATTGATTTTTGAACATAGCAAGGAAATTATTTTTTTTCATTCAATAAGATATTGTAATAGGGAAAATCAAATATACATGATTGTATATAACCTGCAGATAATTTTGGCACAGATTCTGAGCGGAATAGGGACAGAATTGGCATGGAATCAGTGATTTCTGTGTGGACCATGGAAAGAAATGAAATTCTGTCATTCCATTTCAAAACAAAAACATAAAAGTTTCCCAAAGCATTATTCTACTCTAGTTTTTTTTTTTGCATTTACAAAAATTGAAATGTATATGTTTTCAACCTATTGTACTTCTTACAGTACTTTTTTTTACTCAAGCTCATGCAACTGTCATTTTTATCTATTTCAAATCATTGGGAACCAATATGCCTGATAATTGCATACACTTAGGACACCCACTTAGATATAACACCATGCAGATCAAAGATCTGATAAAACTGGCCACCTTTGTTCTCCCACCATAATGTGCATGACTAATTTACTCCCTGGTCATTCCTACAAATCAGACTGTTCCATGTGATTATTTTGGGGAGAGGTAACATTACAAAGTTGAATGATATGCAGAATATGTCTAGGACATTGCAATTTTTCTTCTTTATTAAATTCATGATTTTTTAAATCTACTTATCTATTAGCTATTTGATGTGGTTTTTTACATTCAATGAATGTCATGTAAAATGATAACTGCTTTGATTTTTGGATTAACCCTGTTTTACCTAATGATGTACCTGTCCAGTTTGAATGGTCAGCTAGAAGCTTGGAAATAGTGTAAATTACAGAGGAGACTACTTCCTGTTTAAGCAATTTTGGAGATATAGTTTTGTTTAAGATGTTAAGGTGTTTAAGTTTAATAAGTGTAGTTATGGTTAATAAGAATGACAAGAATCAGAATCACCTGGGACAAGGAGATATACAACAGAATGAGGTAATTAAACCTTTAGTTACATTTATACAGAAACAGGTTATATATGTATATCAAACAATCAAGGTAGCAAACTAAAATTTGTAACCACTTCATACATTGATTTACTAACAATTGATTTAAATCTAGATTTGATTGTCACATTAATTTGTAACATATATAATATACAAAATAGCATATAAATAGATAGATTGTCTTTTTTATTTCTGCAAGTTAAAATAATGTGAAACAAATTAAAATTATGAGGACTAAATGGTACAGTTTTATACACACCTGTCAGTAAGTTTTGTGGAGCTGAATAAGACAGGGTTATCATAATTATTTATCATTTTATGTGTTGTTTTCAATGGAAAAATCTGATATTAGATTTCAAACAAATTGCAGGCTTTAAAGTGGGGCCAGTTCTGAGTCTGACTCTGAGATGCTAGGTGAATAATGATGTGCAGTATTGAGCCCCAAAAGGTATGCTTTATTTTTTTAAATAACTATATTTGACTATTCTTAATCTTTCCCAGAAGAAAAAAATAGTTCATTGCACAATTATTTGAAACCATTTGTTACCTTTCTTTTAAAATTCTTATTTTAATGAAAGTTGCATTTAAGTTCTTACCTTGGTTGAATTTTACATCCAACTTATAAGCAACAAATTATTCTGCAACCAAATAGTACTAAGCATCATAAGTGTAAAGTTTCTTTCTCAAGGAAACAATGGCTTGCTGACAGGGTTAAAACAAATATGGCAAGCCATCCTTCGATTACTGGTCTGATTTGTTAACCTGCATTTGGCCATGCCACCACTTGTGTTTATATTGCATGTAAAGTTTCATGACATCACTGCTTATTTGATATTACAAAACTTTAATTTCAACAAAACTTTTTCTTCTCCATTACAATGAACAAATCTTATTTTTGAAATAAAAGACAATTAAAAATCAGAAGACATTTCTTCTTTAAATTGATTTTTTAAAGAAAGAAGTCAGTCTTGATGTAGGCAGGTTAAATGCAGGGTGAATATGTCATTTCTTAAATAATCACTTGAACAAGGCTTCATATGTATTAGGGACCTTTTTCTTCTCATGCTAATTATATGCACATTTTTGTTAAATTTGATAATGCTAAGGGGGCTAGAATTTGGTTTATTTATACAAACACATTATGATAAATAATTGTTACACTGCTTAAAAGAATAGAACTGTACTTGACAGTCACTCAGTATTGCTGAACATGTCTTTTTTTCCAGAAATAATGAAGGAGTCAGGGTGTCAATCAGAGTGCCAACTGTTCAAGACTGGAAGATAGTAAGCTGGGAGCCTGAGAGCAAAATGATGTAAATGCCATGCAGGGAAAGTTTGTTAACTTGTTAATCAAAGCTAGCTTCTAGATGCCATCACAGTCAAACTTTTCAGTGTATTTTTTCTCAAATCTATAAACTTTCCTGGATCTTAAGTTCTAATTTGCTGACATTGGAAATAGTGTGTGATTTTTTTCATAATAAATTTTTCTGTTCTAATCCCTTCAATTATATGTAATAATTGTATACATATAAAATGTAAAATATGATGAAATATTAAAATAAATATTTTTAACTAACTAAATTTGTGCTTTAAATTAGTATTTCAAAGCAGCATTTATTAAAATATCAGCTTTTACTGTTTTCTACATTTCTACATGTCTGTCCTGGGGACAGGACATTTATTAGATAATGAGACTGTCCTGGGAACAGGACTTTCCAGGGATTACAGGACCGTCCTGGGAACAGGACATTCCTGGGATTATGGGATTGTCCTGGGAACAGGACATTCCTGGGATTACAGGACTGTCCTGGGAACAGGACTAAATTCCTGGGATTATAAGACTGTCCTGAGAACAAGACATTCCTGGGATAGCAGAGCAATATTTTTTCCTGTTTTTTCCTGTCTTCAAGAAATTCCTGGGATTGTCCAGTCCCATTTAACGGCGTGAAAAAAGTCTCAGGATTATCTCAGGAAATCCTGGGATTTTTCCAGGACAAATTCCTGAGACTTCTCAGGAATTCCTGGGATAGTCCCAGGACTTCTTGTTCATTTTCTGCACGGGTATTTTTGGCCATGTGAAAACACGCCTTGAAAGTATTTTAGCCATTTAAAAGCCACCATAAAGGATCATATCCAAAGGTTTCACAGAGATTCTTGTTCACATTTGTTTGAACAGATTATTTTTAACTGTTTAACATTTTTTTTCCTTCAGTAAATGGATTACCAATATGTACATGCCCAGTTCACTATAGCGGCACACTGTGTGAGAAATGTGCATGTGGTAAAAATGGAAAATGTAGCACTAGAATGAAGGGCAAGATTCAAGAAACATTTTGCGAGTAAGTTTTTTTTTCCTAGACATTTTTAGCTCACCAGAGCCGAAGGCTCAGGGTGAGCTATTAGTATCAAAGGGGGATACTCCGGCGTCCGTCGTCATGCGTCAACAATCATCTTCTTCTCTGAAACCACTGGACAGATTTACTTCAAATTTGGTCTGTAGCATCCTTGTGACAGTCACACTTGAATTTGCTCATGTCATATCAATTGGCCCCTTTTAGGGGTCAACAGAGCTAAAAATAGAAAAAACCTTTAAACATCTTCTGCTACAGAACTAATTGATGGATGATCACCAAACTTTGTCTGTTAGCATTCTTAGGTAGTCTTTTATCAAGGTTGCTCATAATAATTTGATTGGCCCCTTTTAGGGGTCAATAGGGCTAAAAATAGAAAAAGCATTTAGACATCTCCTTCTACATAACTAGTGGATGGATGATCACCAAACTTTGTCTCTATCATTCTTGGGTAGTCTTTTATCAAGTTTGCTCATATTCATTTGATTGGCCCCTTTTAGGGGCTGCTAAAGCTAAAAATAGAAATTACTTTAAACATCTATATCCAGAGAACTAATTGATGGATGATCACCAAACTCTGTCTGTAGCATTCTTGGGTAGTTTTTTTTATCAAATTTGCTTATATTAATTTGATTGGCCCCTTTTAGGGGTCTCTAGACCTAAAAATAGAAAATCCTTTAGACATCTTCTACAGAACCAATTGATGGATGATCACCAAACTTTGTCTGTAGCATTCTTAGGTAGTCTTTTATCAAATTTGCTCATATTAATTTGATAGGTCCCTTTTAGGGGTCAAGGGAGCTAAAAATAATATAAACCTTTAGACAGCTTTTTCTACAGAACTTATTGATGGATGATCACCAAACTTTGTTATTAGCATTCTTATAGTAATCTTTTATAAAAATTGCTCATGTTTATTTGATTGGTCCTTTTTAGGGACTGCTAAAGCTAAGATACCACAGACCATGGCATTTCTTCAAATTATAGTTTAATGAAAGGGAAACAACTCATGTTGGAATTTCTTTCATACATGTGAATGACCTGCTGTTTGCTGATGAAATTATTTAAGGTCATGACCTCTTATGAAATAACTTGGATATATATCAAGCTTTATTTGGTTACATTCATATTCACTTAATTACATCACTACATGCAGTGTTTTCTCTAGAAAGCTTTTTCTGCGTTTTTGACGCAGTACTTATGCATTTGACGCGGATATATCATAGCCGTGCCTTTTCCGTGAAGCATATTTTTGCGAGTGTCGTATATATTTTTTTCTATAAATAGCATGAATTTCATCAGCTGATTGTTCACATGATTTATCTTAGACGCTTTAGTGAATATTACACGTTAAAAGGGCTCAGACGCTTCAGATTCTGACGTCATTATCCGGGTAAATTCACAATAAAAAAAAAAAATGCAGTGAAGATTGACTTCATTCTTCAATAAAGACAATGTTAACGTTTATGGGCCGACAGAATCTACCGTAAACAACTCTGCACCTATACCAAATGAGGTTTCCCAACCAAATCAATCGGCGAATGCTGAAACAACTGAGAAATCCAAGCAAAATGATAAATTATGCTCCGAACAAGTTTTTCTGAAAGCAATTTTTGGTTGCTGTATGATGGTAATAAAATGACTTGCACAGTTTGTATAACTGAAAATAAAGACAATCCATTCACATCGGGATGCACAAACTTTAGAGTTTTGTAGTACCGTATGGTACTGGTTATGGGAGTTGAGGGAAGTTCGGAACTAGTGTGTTAGGCTTGACAGTTGGGCGCAATGTTAGTGTAATTTATAACTAGAAGAAGTAGGCAATTCCAAGCTTGGCTATGATCCAGACATGGAAGGTAACTCGATTGTTTGTATTGTCTACCAAAGCTCCATAATTTTGCCGATTGGGCACGAATTTGCCCTCAAATAAAAAGTTTTTTGTCCCATACTGTAAAAACCTTACATATTTTGCATGTGACATTTTGTGTATTCATTCACAAAAGTTATGAAGAAAAAATGTTCCATCAAAATTAACCCTGATGTAATGGTCATTTATCAGGTCTAGGATTTCATATTTATGGACTGTCCATAAATTTATGGATAGTCTAGAAATTTAAAGATTTTTCAATCCATAAATTTACAAATCTATATTCAATGTGAAATTTGCTGTTTTTAGTTTTACACTAAAATCCGCAGCTTCTGACTAGTTTTTTTATTGATTGTTTATATTTACAAACATAATGTGGTGAGTTTCATCTTTGTATGATGATTTTGAAATATTTAATAAAAGTGAAAATTGAAAGTCATCATATTGTTTTGAATCTTACCATACTGTTATATTTAATCATATAGTATGTAACCTTATTAATTTTAACCTGTGGTTTTGAATTTTAATGCAACTTCTACTATTTTCTTACTTAATGTCTGTAAATTTACAGATACAAAAATCTGTAAAATTATGGCTCGTCCAAAAATTTACAGACTGTCCATAAATATCATAAAATCCTAGACCTGTTTATTCTGCATTATTTATTCTACATAATCTCATGGGAACACACTTGCAACATAGATATTTTTAATAAAGCCTCCAAAATATTAGAGCAAAATATTTCAATAATAAGAAGGGCAAGTAAAAGTTGAGCTGGACTGGTCTTTCATCAAATTCTTTGAAAAATAACACTGAAAAACAGTTGCTTCTGGTGAGCGACTCAGGGCCATCATGGCCCTCTTGTATTTCTTGTAAGTTATGGTTCATTTGATTTCCCCCGAAAAAAATCCTTGCTTAACTCAATAGAAACATCACGTATTTGTTTTCCATGGGTTACTGGATCAATCTTTGATTGATGTAAAATATATCTGTGACAATTTATCTCAGACATAGAGACTGATGGTCATTTGTCTGGCCCCGCTGATTCAGAAATTATGTGGGTTTTGTAGTCAGTCACTTAGCGAAGAAATTTGTAATTACTGGTTATAGAACCAGAAATGCTTGAGATAATATGACCTTAAATAAAATGTAGAAGAAAAAAATGAGAAGAAAGCAATTATGCATTATGTAGCATTATGTATGTTTGTTATTTCCAGCTGTACAGATAAGCATTATGTATGTTTGTTATTTCCAGTTGTACAGATAAGCATTATATATGTTTGTTATTTCCAGCTGTACAGATAAGCATTATGTATGTTTGTTATTTCCAGCTGTACAGATAAGCATTATATATGTTTGTTATTTCCAGCTGTACAGATAAGCATTATGTATGTTTGTTATTTCCAGTTGTACAGATAAGCATTATGTATGTTTGTTATTTCCAGCTGTACAGATAAGCATTATGAAGGCTTGTTATGTAACAGATCTATTTGTCATGACTGGTGTTACAATGACGGAGAGTGTAGAAATTGTCAAATTAAAGAACATGGTATAGGACAGTGTGAAGAGTGTGTGTAAGTATATCGTACATAGTTAAATTTCATGAATTAAATGAAGAATATTGAAGTATATGGTATATGTTTAGGTGAAGAATTAAAAAACCAATATCAAGGGGACTTTGTAAGTTTATTATTCTGGAATGGTTTACAGAAACTCAAAGGTTTAATGGTGATGGTTGCTGTCTTCCAAACATTGGTCCCTCACCACTGTGGGATCAAATCATGCCAGGGACTCGCATGAGAGGAAGCCTATGAAAGATTGATGTTTTTTTCTGTGTTATTTGTACATGAAATAATGCATGCAGTGCCTTAAAGTGTCTTACTTCAGCAAAAGAGCTGGAAAATTGCCAAGTGACCTTTCAATTATAGGTGTGCATACAATTCCAACTTCACTTCAAAGCCGCACATACCCATGGCATGAAACTATTTATAGCAAGGTCTTATATGTTTGTTTTTACCCTTGAGGCTGAGGGTTGCCTTTAAGGGCTGAGGCATCAGAATTGCTGCCACCATTTATCCCTGTGTGATCGTAAAAGGTGTCTAAATGGGTTTAAAATTTATCTTAGCTGCAGCATGCAGCAGGTGAGGTGGTTTTGACTCCTTGCTTTAAGTTTGTAACACCCGAGGTTAGTCAAAATTATATTTCCTGTTTCAGCACCATATGACCTAAAATGTGTCAGTGCACCATAAAACCAAAAAAAAGAAAAAAAAAGTATATATGAGCCACATCACGACAAAACCAACATAGTGTGTTTACTTACCAACTCTATTACAAGTAGAGGAACTGATAGCGAACAGCATGGATCCTGATCAGACTGCGCGGATTCGCAGGCTGGTCTGGATCCATGCTGGCCGCAAACCCATTATGTTGGTTTTGTCATGACGCGGCTCAATTATATGGTAAATTTTTGGATATTTTCAGATGTAAGCCTGACACTAGTGGACCAAGATGTCATCTTTACCATCCGAGAAAACAGGCGGCAAAACCATCCCAGGCATCCATTACACCTGTAATTATAGCAGTGGTTGTTGTCATGTGTATTCTGGTGGCTATTCTTCTCTTTATAGTCATAAGGAAAAGGAGGTAAGTGTGCTTAAAGATTGTTAAAATTTTTTTAAAAATATTAAAGTCATGTTCAGAGTCTTTGATAATTGCTTAAAGATTGTTGAAATTTTGAAAATATGTTTTACCTCATGTTCAGAGGCTTTAATTTAGCACATGCCTTCATATTCATGCTAATTTTAATGAAAATTTTGAAAATGTATTTAAAAGTAAAATAATGGGAAGTAAGCAAAGAAAGTAAGTAACACATTGTAAATTGCACTTGCAATCCAGGTAAATGACAAGGTCAAACTGTGCATAGTTAGTCCTTACCTGTGTTTTTAAGGCAGTTGAAATGTTGCTATAAATATTGCAAAATTATTCATTAATATGCAACTTACATGAAGATTTTTACTTGAATCCTTTTACTTTTCTTAAAATCTTTTAGTACATTTTTCTCAAGTTTGATTTTATTGAAATATTTCGGTACATCTGGAGGCATGCAGCTTTAAACTAAGTTAGATGGCTTAAATTGCCAAGATTTAAACCTGTTTTGCATTGTCAGGGTGAAATTTGAATTATTTCTTTACTCATGGAAAACCCGACTAATGGGTCTATGCCACATGATCTTTTTATTAAGAGATAAATTATTCTCTACTCTTAAATGTATCTAAAGAATTTCTATGTGTAACTAAGAGACTTTGTGAAGATTAATACTTTCTTATTCATAATAATAAATTTATATCTTATTTATAACATGACCTGTAAATTTATATACATTTCATTAAATTTTGTCACCTTAGTGCAATAAATGATTAATTGCTATTAAATTTAGAAAGACTTATTCTGTTTTTGCACTAAGGCAACAATTTGTATCATGTCCTGCAAATTTATGTATTTCATAATATAGATGCTTTGTTTATACAGAATTTATTTCAGTACGATTTTGAAGGAACCTGTAAGCTTATATACACACTCCATTCCTGGAACCAACCAGTTCTAAATAATTTGGGTAAAGCTTAAGAAAACATCTTACCCCAGAGCTTGCCCTAGACAGGGTTTGAACTTGTGTTGCTAGAAATTCTGTCATTTCTATTCTGAACCAACAGGCAGTTGGCCATTACACCACAAATACGAAAGCTGTTTAGTGTGATGTCCTATAGCAATGAAACATACCCAAAAAAAAAATTTGAGCTGCGACACAACAAAACCAACATAGTGCGTTTGCGACCCGCATGGATCCAGACCAGCCTGCACACCCGCACAGTCTGATCAGGATCCATGCTGTTCGCTATCAGTTTCTTTACTTGTTATAGGGTCTGTAAGCGAACAGCATGGATCCTGATCAGACTGCGCGGATGCACAGGCTGGTCTGGATCCATGCTGGTCGCAAACACATTATGTTGGTTTTGTCGTGGCATGGCTCAAATCTGTATTTTTTTTTTGTTTTCTAGGAACGGCCAGTTTAGACATAGTAGATTAAAAGACCATCCCAATATGCAGGTGTCGAACCCAATCTATATGCCGCAAACCACAGAGGATCTGGATGAGGAGGACGACCCCTCTCATCAACCTTTAGATCAACCGTTTGATTTTGACCCTGAAAAAGTGAGAAATTTTCCTTTTAATGTAGATCTACTAACAGTATTTTCACACATTGTATCTAACAGTGAATTTCTAATATTAATTTCATTCATTTACATAATTTTATGTGACTTATTTATTTGATAGTAATAGTTTCATTTTTTTTTTTTTTTTTTTTTTTTTTTTTTTTTTTTTTGAGAATTAGTTTTCATCAGGCGCTTTATAAATTTTTGCCTGGATCTGCTATTAACTGAAGAGAGTGATGGGGTTACTGACATTTAAGGTCAGAGGTCATTTCCATGATACTGTATCTGTTCTTTCCTTAGTGCAATATCAATTGTGGGGTAATATTCTATTATGCCATTCACTCACTCCATCATTTCTGTATTAATTAAAGTATTTATGCAGAGAATTTACTGGAATAAACCGGTTAGTACTGGCTGGAGGATCCAGGAACTCGTGCTGAACACTCGCTGAACACTTGCAACATCCCAACTTAAGGACACCTCTACTAGGTTGATAGGAATACTGTAAATCCAGTTAAAATGAATGAAACTACGAAGAGAATGTTTGAAATAGGGCTTAACCCAGCTAAAATTAAGATGACAAAATGAAATTAATGAGAAAATAGCAGAAATATTGTTAAATGGGGCTAAAATCAGCTAAAGTTAATGAAATTCCTTCTTGAATGATAAAAGTACTAATAGAACTGGCTCAACTGGGGGCTAAACTCAGATAAATTTTAAGTAAATCCCTGCAAGAATGATGGAAATACAGTTAGATTAGGGGCTATACCCTGCTTAATTTAAATTAAATTCCCTGCAAGAATGATAGAATATTGTTTTGTTAGATCAGATGCTTAACCCTGCTTAACTTTACAGAATTATTGCTTTAATGATAGAACTTCTGTTTAGAACTAATGCTTAGCTCAACTTTTTCTTAGCAAACTTCTGCCTAGTATGATTTAATTATGTGCTACAGTTTTATTTGAAGAGCATACAAAATCTTATTTTTGACCCTAGATGCCATTTTTATGTCTTCTATAAATGATTCAGGGAAAAAGATATTGTTAATAAAAACCAAAAGCATTTTTTTAAATTAGGATGATGAACTGAAAGAGACCAATGATTTAGTTAGTATCTCTGTGTATTTTTTGTTTTTTGTTTTTTTTTTGTTGTTGCTTTGCTTGTTTGTCATATGATTGTATTTTATGTTTGTGATGCTTTTTAAGAAAACCGCCACAATTTTTATGTTTATTCATAAGTGATAACTAAACAAATGATTTTGCCATTTCAAATAAATTTTAATCAAAATATTGTTAAAATGAAAGTAATGATTTCAAGAATATTGAATTATTTATGTGATTATTCTGTGATTTAAGTATTTTAAAAGACTTTCAAAAAAGCATAGCAGTTCAGTTTTTTTATGCCCCCGCCATGTTATGGCCGGGGCATATAGTGTTACCCTGTTCCGTCATTCTGTCATTCCGTCATCATCAGTTTCCGTTCATTATCAAAAGAACGGTTGCACACATTCAACTCAAATTTGACATATGGATATGTCATGAGACAATACAGGTCAAGTTTGAATTTGGTCATGGTTCGATGATTTTGGCAGAGTTATGCCCCTTTTACTTTGAAAATAATATGAAATTTTCAGTTTCTGTTCATTATCTCCCCAACGGTACAACAGATTCAACTCAAATTTGACATATGGATATGTTTTTGGAATGCCCAGGCCAAGTTCGAATTTGGTCATGATTCAATGATTTTTGGCAGAGTAATGCCCCTTCACTTTGAAAATAATATGAAATTTACAGTTTCTGTTCATTATCTACCCAACAGTGTTACATATTCAACTCAAATTTGACATATGGATATGTCAAAGGAATGGGCAGGTCAAATTGGAATTTGGTCATGGTTTGATGATTTTTTGGCAGAGTTATGTCCCTTTCACTTTGAAAATGATATAGATACATCTTAGGAATAAGCAGTTTAAGTTTGAATTTGGTCGTGGTTCAATGATTTTAGACAAACTTATCTTTCTTGAATATTGGAAAAATTTTAAACTTTCAGTTACAGCACTCATACTTTTGTGGAAATGTATGTAGCCATTATTTTGGCTACAAATATGCAATATGCTATTTTTAAAAGGTTAAGACTGAATAATTTCAGTGCCTTGAACATTGTATGAAAATGGTTTGTGTTAACATTGAAAAGTTTTAAGGGCTTTGAACTTAAAATGAAAAAAATAATTTGTGCAAACAAATTTGGAACTAAATATTATAACATCTGAAATTTTGGCTGCATGCGGGGGCATCCGTGGCATGATGACACATTTCTAGTTTTATCATGCATTTAATGTACATTATGGATTTTGAAATGATTATGCTAGTTATTAGGCTTGTTATTTTTTTGTTTATTCTTCTTTTTTTTCATAGCTGTTTTTGAAATTGATTACAGTTTTTATACACCCTTTGGCTAGCAAAGTTTTTGAAACGCTATTTACATTAAATACAGTTGTGAATTGCTGAAAACACTTTTGCCAGAAATTAGCATTAAAAAAAGCATGTCTGTTTGATAATGGTTTAAGTTAGCTATGATAGCTAACTTCCTTAAATTATGATTAAAAATTGCATCATTATGGGGGGTTTTAAGCATGAAAATGATTTTCTGCATGTTTAAAAAATGGAAAAAAATTAAATTATTTTCACCAAAATGTTAAATTGAATGGTGTCAAGTTAAGCTGTAGATTAGATTTCTCTATGTCAAAGCCTATGCCTTGTAATACCTTTACACATGTGTTACCTCCATCAAATTTTTTTTTCATTTATTTGTTTGTCTCGTACAAAAGTCTCGACATCTGTTGATAAATCTGCATGTATATTTTTGTAGTAAATGTTTATTGTGATTTTGCTCGTAGGAAACCTTGATGGAAAGTGATGACAGTGATATTTTGGAATGAAGGTCTTCATCTGAATATTATACCCTACCCAATTATACATTACCTTTATGCAATAAGCTTACTTGTTACTTCGGAATTATGAATATTTGACATAAAATCTAGCACATGTATTTTGATTTACACAAATATGCTTAATATCCTTTTGCCCAAGTTTATTCTCCAGTATCCTGAAATTATCCACAAAGCTTCTGGTGATTAACCTATTGAAGATGTTAATCACTTATTAATGTGTCCAGTTCTGCAGATTGTTCATTTCTTTTCATCTTGAATCAAAAATCTCTTTGCTTTATTTTTGCACCAAGACCTTCGTAAAGCCATTTACCATGTAAAGTATATTTGAATTAAGCTTTGAAGTATTTTTCCTTCATGATTTTTTTTCTTACAGTTGATGTATTTTGTTTTGCTCACATTTTAGCTAAATATTTATAAAAGTTTTTATTATTTTAATTTTTAGTGTTCTTCTCTTAACCCTTAATCTGCTTAAACTGAAAGTGACTAGCATTTGCCACCAGTAAAATAACTTCTGTGCAGTCAGGCCTGGCTCTTTTAAAGTGACATTATTCTCGTATTTTCCTTGTCAAGTTGAGTTGAATTGACTATTGATTTCAAAAGATTGACTATTATAATTGCAATTGGCATACAGTTGATTTTGGAAAATGTTTTGAATAAAATATAAATCTGAAAAAAATATAAAAAGACTGCTCGTATCTTTTTTTATTAAACACAACAGTTATATACCAATGAATATTTACAGAAATTTCCTTGTTCCACTTGAGCTTTTTATTGTTCATGCGATGTATATTATAATATTGAAAGGAATTATGTCAAAATGTTAACTTATTTTGACTTTCACCTGTTCACTTACTATAGTCCATTTGATGAGCAGAATGTCACTTTAAAACTGTTTGGTGCTTAATTTCTATGCCCAGAAGAATTTAAATGGACTGTTAAAAATTGAAAACAGGGCAAAGGTTAAGGGTTAATATTAATGCCAACTTTAAGTCTGGTACAATGTATTGTAATTAGTAGTTTGATATGTAAAATATTTATAATCAAATTAGATAGGAGAAAGCAGTTGAAAGGCATCATCATAATATCAATTACTAGCAGATAATGTTTATAGAAAATCTTTTTATGTGAAAACATTTATTTTAAGTAACATTTCTTTTATGTTTTGCATTTTCAGTCAACAAATTTTGCCAATCCAGTCTATGAACAATTTTACGCAGACAGTAGACAAACTTTACTTCCAAAATCAGAGGATTCAGACGATGAAACTCCGCCCCCAAAGAAAAATGGGAGTGTCTAGTATCAGCTCAAAGTTTGTATATAGTGACAATGTAAATAATTTACAGAAACACTTCCGCAGTGTGTTGCTTATATGGATATAATCCAATTACTGGTGAAGACAGTAACATGTGAAAATTGTGAAACATGTGCTTATTCTATTTATAGAAGTACCAGTTTCTATTTATAGAAATTTTATAAAATGTTTCTATTAATAGGAAATCTACTGATTTTTAACCACATGCAAAATACATGTAACTACAAACTGCTATGAAAAAAGAGTGAAACTTGTGCTTAATCTATTTATAGAAACCAATTCTATTTATAGAAACAAATATTCATGGATTTTGCATGGGAGATAAATAAAGGATTTTGTGTTATATACACTATAGTTACTACAGACCATGGAACATCCGTAGATAGAATGGGGGAAATGGTTTTGCTGTTCGGATAACTGATTATAGATGTCTTGTTCATAAAGGACACTAATGTTGTAATTCATAAAACCATTCCAATAAAAATGTTTACGCTAGAAAAAATCATAGATTTTAATTTTGAATTTATTTAGATTGTGAAATTTATCATTTATCGTACAAGTATTGTAACTAAAGACATAATTATATATGTGGGCATTTTATTAACTAACATGTAAGATTAATGTTCATCTCATCTTGTCAAAGCTGTTTTATGTTTATGAAGAATGTATACCAAGTTAAAAAATCAAATAGGATTTTATTGAGAATTGTTCAAATATACTGCAATCAAAATTCTTTAAAAATGAAATAATTTTTAAACCACAGAAAAAAAATAAATGTCTAACTTTGAAAATGATTTGTTATATCTTTATTAAAAAGTGCTGGTAACTGTGTATTTATGTAATAAATAAATGAATTTATATACATGGAAATTTGACTGCTTGCACACTTTGCCTTTTATATTTTCAGTCAGAAAAGGAATTGTTTTATTAAATAAAATTGCATGCTTAAATGTTTCTTTGAAACTGAAAAAGTGAAAAGTTGTTTATATTGTTATATCTAAGGGTATTGAATTTTACTTATTAAATGAAAAATTTTAAACAATAAAACATTTTTGTTTCATAAAGTGTATTTTTGTATTTAGAATAGAAACTGTAAATCAGCATTCATCCATTTTGAGGCTTCCTAGATAATGGTGCTCAACCCTTCAAACCAAATGGGAGTGTCCTGTTTATAATGGGTGTGTCCAATTAAAAAGGGGAGTGTCCAATTTATAATGGGAGTGTCAAATTTTATATCCAGTCTAAAATGGGAGTGACTAGTTAAAATGGGAGTGTCCAATTTAATTTGATTGGATAATTTTCAATTTTTATTGGGAGTGTCCAATTTAATCTGGCAGTTTTCAAAATATTATGAGAATTTCTTAATCAAAATAGGAAAGCATATTTCAGATTGGTTTGAAGGGTTGGATTTTTTTTGTACACTGTTTTAAAGATGTTTTTAAATTGCAGGTTTAAATTTGTACCAGTTGATGGTTTTATTAAATTTTGGTAAAAAATGTTCTTTATGAGCATTTGCCAACAATAAGTAGTCCTTGAGTATTGCGAATATCTAGAAAGATATGGCCAGTTTTCATTGTTATTATTGACCAGTTTTTAACAAGAAAATACCATAGATATAGTAGTGTTGTTTTTTTTTCTTGTCAATATTTTTTTTAAAGAAAAATTGTGTTCATCAAAATATCTGAAAGAAAGATTTTATAGTTAGACCCCATATTATTCTGATACATAATCATACATCTTAATCACAAAAAAAGTATCATTAATAAGTGTACCAAGGTATTGAGTTATTCTTGGTATTTTTTTATTTTCTGTTGTAAAAGAAATACAACTCAGTGGATCTGAATAAAAAGTTGATTCTCACTTAATATTGTCAAACAGGTTTGACATTTCAGTATATGACGGTTTATATGTACTGTACCACCTATATAGAACAATCTCCTTTTGGAGACAAAAGATTTTGGAAGAAGTTGCTGAATACAAGCTAAATTTATTGTGAAGCATTTTGACAAAGATTTTTTTTGGGGAAAAAAAGGTTAAATTTATTGTTGAGAAGTTGTTGGAACTGTTTTTCTAAAAAGGCTATTGCTTTTCCAGGGGTGTCTTTTTATTTAAAGAGTCTTCACTGTACATATATAATTTCATTGCAGAGAGAGAGAGAGAGGAATTGTTTTGAATTATAGTAATTGTACAAAATAAAATACCTTTTTTTCTTTTTATTTCTACATAAAACATTTTGCTACAAGATAATTTTATCACAATTGTATTGTTTGGAATTAGCTGTACGATTTATTAAAATTTGTATTGTATAGATTTTATTTTTTGTCACAAATTTTATATGTGTACCACTTGCGTCATTGTATTTTTAGCTGATTTGATCTGTATCGTAACTTTGTATAGGATTCCATGTTTGTTTGTCTACAATATTTTGTAAGAATTTTTTTTCTACATATTGAGAATTGATCTACAAGAGAATGGAGATGTAGGGAGGTATTAATATACGTAGTTGGGTGTTATCATAATATATTATTTTATAATAATGATGTATGAAAATCAACCAGTTTAATTGGTGGGAACTGACATAAAGTAAGTTTTAATTTATAGTAGACTTACTCCGATATAAAGAATTTTTTTTTGGGGAGGGAGGGAGTTCCCAGCTAATCTGCAGGCACACACTTTTACAGTTACAACTTCGAAAATAAGCGCAACAGGTTAACTAATCTATGAAGACCGGCAGTGCACTGTGAAGGTATAACGGTAAGAGTTTGTTTGTACCAGAGGGGCTTTGAAAAAAACAATATTTGCTGAGTTCCGGATAACATCTATTGAGCCAAGATGGCCGCTGTTGAGCGACATTTTGTATTGTTGACTTTATTTGAAGCAGTTTGATACTGAATTGAAACTTTACAATCTGTGCTTTGTACTGAATTTGTTCTGGGTACGGATTCGAGACTGTGTCTTTTAGCTTACAGCTTCTTTTAAAATCTATGTATTTAGTTTTATAAATAACGTCTCAAGGTTTCTTGGGTTTTAGAACCTGTTAGGGAAAAAAATAGTGTGTTTTTTTTCTTTATTATCTTTTAATTTTAATATAATTTTAAATTTTCTCCAGATATTGAATGGAAATATCCTTTTAACATGGTCCTACTATTAAATGAAATAGGTTTTTACAGGCAGTAAAGAAAACAGATTTCACATTTTTCAGAGGTTTTTTTGCTCCGTGTGATACCTGTTTTACGGTTGTGTAGAAAATATCTTCTCTAATGTATGTTACATCTATGTTTTATGTTTTTATCTCTGCATTTTTGTTTAAGTGTTTATTTTAGTTTATGTTAAGTATTTTTTGTAGGTTTATGTTGCCTGTTATTTAGTTTGTTTGAAGATTTTAGACATTTGATTTATGTGTTGATTTTATGCAGTTTTTTAAAAAGGCGCGAGGTAATATCATACAAATTTTAAGTTTATGTGGTATTTATGAGCAAAGGGGGGATATGTTAATATTGTCTTTATAGAGGATATTTTGTCAGACCAAGAATTCAGTTGCCCTCTACATGTAAAAAGAAAAACAATCACTTAATGCTTGCTTTTATGACCCAGTTTTAATGTTTATAGTTGTGCGATTTTTGAAACCGGAACACGTCACAGTTTGATACGGTCAATTTCAAAAGATGGTTAAATTCTGGGATTTTAAGTGCCATTTATCATGTGTAAATTTCTTTTCTTTGTTCACCTCACAATATTTTACTTTTAAATAACAAATAGCATGAATCTGGAGGCATGTTCCTTTAATTTTTAAGTTATGAAATGACAGTAATTGTTAGGTCATACATTATACATGGTTAAGAATTTTAGTAATATTTCTTGCAATTCTATAAATTTGAAGGAAAGAAAAGAAAAAAATTGATACAAAACTGTGTAGCCTTGGAAAAAATATTAAAGTATTTTTTTGTCCCAGTTGTAATTGTAATTGTAGTAATAAATAACTTTCAAAATGATCCCGGGAAACTGCCATTTTATTTGTTTGGCCTTGTGTTGTTTTGTACGATTTGTTGTGCTTCACTTAAATATTCTGTGTAACAAAAAAAAATTGTATTTTTGTAATTTCATTTAATGCAACCATCCAGTTTATGAATTTTATGAATAAAAGCTGAAGAAATTCAAGTGTTTTTTATGTTTTCACAGTTTTGTATTGTTTGGTTTGTAGGTACGTACATCTATGATGTTTTATATGCAAATTCCCGCTGATTGATGGAATGTTAGTTGTTCTAATTGTATGCCTACCTTAGTTTACTTTTGCATGGAGGAAAAGCGCAGGTCTCGCACTAAAAGAACAGATTAAAAGTGGATATTATGGTGGCTGATTTGTACTTTTTCTGCACTTGGCAACAGGTGGAAACACAAAAATATGACAAAGTAGTGGAAATTTTGTGGCATTTTCGGGTTTTCACTTTGTGTCCCGCAGAGCAAAAGTACAACAAAATGTTGCATCTTCGCATTGCAGAGCAAAACAAGAGCACCGCTAGGCGGAGCATTATATGCCCGAAAGTGTTTTTTTTTTAGTAAGTATGAAGCATTTGTAAGACATGGAATTCGCTGTTCATCCTATAAAATTTTAAAGCTGTAGGTTGATTAATACTTAAGTTATTAATAATGATCTTAACCTTTGACCTTGTGACCCCAAAATCAATAGGGGTCTTCTACCTTATATGGTCAATCATCCTAAGAAGTTTGAATATTGTGGGCCAATTGGAAATTTAATTATGCTCTAGAAACTGTTTTCAGTATTAAGGTAAAAGTGACTTTGACCTTGTGACCCCAAAATCAATAGGGGTCTTCTACCCAATATGGATAATCATCCTATGAAGTTTGAATATTGTGGGCCAAATGGAACTTGTGTTATGCTCCGGAAACTGTTTTTGGTTTTAAGGTAATTGTGACCTTGACCTTTGACCTTGTGACCCAAAAATCAATAGGGGTCTTTTACCCAATATGGACAATCATCCTATGAAGTTTGAACATTGTGGGTCGAATGGAACTTAAGTTATGCTCCGGAAACTGTTTTAGTTTTAAGGTAATAGTGACTTTGACCTTTTGACCCCAAAATCAATAGGGGTCTTCTACCTAATATGGACAATCATCCTATGAAGTTTGAACATTGTGGGTCGAATGGAACTTAAAGTTATGCTCCGGAAACTGTTTTCAGTTTTAAGGTCATAGTGACTTTGACCTTGTGACCCCAAAATCAATAGGGGTCTTCTACCTGATATGGACAATCATCCTATGAAGTTTGAACATTGTGGGTCAATTGGAAGTTAAGTTATGCTCCGGAAACTGTTTTCAGTTTTAAGGTCATAGTGACTTTGACCTTTTGACCCCAAAATCAATAGGGGTCTTCTACCCAATATGGGCAATAATCCTATGAAGTTTGAACATTGTGGGCCAAATGGAACTTAAGTTATGCTCCGGAAACCAAATTGCTAACGGACGGATGTACGGACGGATGGACAGACAAACGGACGCCAGGGGGTATAACATAATATGCCCTTTCGGGCATATAAAAATGGAGTGGAAATAAGACAAGGCACAAATCAGCCACCATACGAAAAGTATATAGACAGTCAGTTTCACAAAAGACATGAAAGGCCTTTATGACAAATTATTTCACATGCAGCGTTGCTTACTTCCTTTGATAAGCTTCTAATGTTTTCAATCCATAATTTAAATATTAAATATGTATTTGCCCTTTCTCAAAAAATAAGAAATGAGCCGCGTCACGACAAAACCAACATAATGGGTTTGCGACCAGCATGGATCCAGACCAGCCTGCGCATCCGCGCAGTCTGATCAGGATCCATGCTGTTCGCTATCAGTTTCTTTACTTGTTATATGGTCTTTAAGGGAACAGCATGGATCCTGATCAGCCTGCGCAGATGGGCAGGCTGGTGTGGATCCATGCTGGTCGCAAATCCATTGTTTGTTTTGTAGTGACGCAGCTCAAATATTCTTTCCAGTTCTATCCAATTAATGTTAAGTCTTTGAAATTTAAACTGTCAGTCATGGCACAATGTGTCTTTAAACAAATAACAAAATAAAGATTGACAAAACACCTTTATTTCATAAAGATTCAAAAAACTTTCCAAATAAAAAAAACAAAAGGCATGACTGAAACCTTTTATAATACATAAAATAATACTGTGTCAGTTGGACAAAGAATAAAAAACATGGGAGTTTAATTCTTCCACAAAATACTTGAAATTTAATAAACTTAACAAGATTATTGTCCAAGCAGGGCAATATACACCTAAATCAAATTTGGTTAGATAAATCAACTGCATTTTATTCAATTATCCTTATAAAACTAAATGGTAAACAGACGTTCGCCCCCTAGACAGTTGCCCGGCAGACATTTTCCCCCTCATATCTTTGGAAATGGCCAACATTTGCCTCCCCTAAATTTTTTGAAGGGCAGACATTTGCCACAGGGTGGTAGCATTTCTGACTCTAGGTGCATGATTCATATAATATCTCTATTAGTAGTATCTCTTCTACGCAATGTTGCTTCCCAAATACATAAGAGCCGGCTGTGCAGTTTTCCACAAAAAGATTACTGTTAGGTGTGTTTTCCTATACATTTGTCTGCATAAAGCAAGTGACACCCTGGGCAAGGCCAATTTTTTCATTATAAAAGTACAATGTAGTTTTAATTTCATTCTATTGGTTCTAAGATACAGAAATGACACAAAATTTTAGAATCATAAATAGTGACTAACTTTGACCCGAGAAAAGTCAAACCAGCGCTATCATACATGTGAACTTTTTTTTGATGATCAAGTGGGAGATTCTTCTTCAAAAAGAGGGAGATTTTAGAATTTGCAATAAACAAAGAAGGAAATTCTGACATCAAAAATAGGGAGATTTCTTTAATTTGTGAAAATACCCCTTATTTTAAGAAAAATCTTTGAAAATACGGCTGGAGAAAGTGGGAGTCTCCCGCTAAAAGTGGGAGAGTTCACATGTATGCACTATGCACATCATCTCATAATTGTTTAACGTTAGCATTTCAGTTGCAATATTCTTCATCTGTTGAAAAGATACAGAACAAACAAGAAAATGCAGACGGACAAATGGACAACCAGGTGCATAACAACATACACCAAAATTTTTTCTGGTATATAAAAATCAAACGGTATATACAAGGCTAAAAAATTTCATCTAGAAATATAATTATCAAACTTCGATTAAAATTAAATCCCTGAACACACGGATATAAAAAATCAATTTTAATTAAAAATATATAACTGAATTTAAAACACAAGCTGCCTGTTTAAATATATACACAAAGTATTTGAACTAAGATTTTTACAAATACAGTCTCTATAAACTTCATAAAATTATAAACAGCACCAAATATAAAGCAATAATGTGAATCTGTAGTAGCCCCATTAAAACAGAAAAAATAAAATCTTAAGCACATAAATCTTGAAAGAAAGCAAAAGTTAGTTGTTTATTGCATGTACAAAATAATGAAAATCTGTAGTAGCCCCATTAAAACAGAAAATAAAAAAAAATCGAAGTAAATGTACATAAATCTTGAAAGAAAGCAAAAGTTAGTTGTTTATTGCATGTACAAAGCATAACACATTTTATTCTTATTTGATAATACAACAAAAATAATGGACTTTCTCTGCAAGAAAATCGAATCTAGCACTATAATTGTCATCATGCAGTTACAAAAAAGGACGGCATGAAGAAAAAAAAATTGTAAAATTTGTTTTGTAAAAACACAACAAAGTTACTTCAGCTATGATCCCTACACGCAAAGTTCTGGTTTGTATATATAACTCAATGTTGTATTTAGCCTCTATTTGAATAAAATCCCTGGAATAAGCTTTTAACTTCAATAGGTTCACTCAACTGTATTTGGAACATATCATTTCCATAGGCAGATACTAATCCGACCTTTGACCTTTTCTGCTTCACTTTTCCGTAGAATTCCAACTCTAGGATGTTCAGTAAGTTTTCACCGCTTAATTTTGATTGGCCGTCATTTGCATAGGATATAGTTATATGAGCGCTGCACCCATGGTTGAACAGGGAATGTTTTTTCTCGCTGTCTTGGGAATGTAAATGGACATCACTGTATTTGTCACGCAACTTTTCTTCTTCTGTCTTCATGTAAAGTTTAGCGACAATATTTGTGTCATTTATTCCATTACCTTCAGCACCAAGAGTTCGGGATTTAGCCGCCAAATAACCAGCTTTTAAAGTATTGCAAGTGCTTTCTACAATGTCCACCCTGGCGCTGATTGCTTGCTTGCTGTAAACGAACCCCGAGATACGCAGACTAAATGCTTTACCCAGAGATTCGAGCACATATTCTTCAGTGTGGTAGGCATCCTTCGACCTCCTGGCTAGGTAGGCAGCTGTACAGTGAAGCATTGGGACTGGATCCGTGTAACAAATAACCACATTGTTCAAAATTTCTGAAATAATATTTAAACCATCAGAATGATATTAACGAGCTATCCAAATTTAAAAGACAGTGCACTTGAATATTTTCAGTGCTTGACAGTAGGAAAAGGTGCATAACTTTGTTTAAAATGTTAACTCAGAGTTATGGGACCTGTGTCCATCATGCTAGATAATCACACAGAACAAATGTGCGACATTTCAACCGGGACTTCAACCCATTTCCTTCTGTAGTTTTGGAGATACCTTTTTGCATGCAAAAACTTAACCAAAGTGTGACAGCAACATCAATGTTGGGTTAATACAATAATTCTCCCTATTCTTGAAATAGCCAAGCTAAAAATACACTTGTGCCGATCATCAGCCAATCATGGATAAGTAAATCAATTAAAACATTAAACAGACTCTTTAATCAATCTTACTTTTTTTTTACCTTTTATTAGGATAATACACAAATTGGTTTACTGTATGTTTATATGAGTATTATTTCAGATTGGGTCAGAATCAAACCTCTCTTAATTCTCGTAGCTCATAATTAATGTATTTTCCTCAAGCAAAAAAAATTTAAGACAAATCTAAAACCTTTGTCAAGACTACATCATAAAATATAACTGTGACTGTTACCCTAGAATTGCTCAATGATGAAGGTTAAATGAACCAGCACACACACACATAATTATGCACATGGCATGTGTAAATATCAAAAACTCACATAAAATCATGAATCAGTAGCAATGGTAAATAAACAAAACTACACGGGTACAATACCTTCTAAAGCTCTAAAACTGTCGGAAACATCCTCCGCACCGAGATCGGGCCATAATATTTCATCAAGGCACTGCTTTAACACTTCTCTAGATTTCTTCACCAGCAAACTGGAGTCTGTCTTGCAAACAAACCATCTGTAAAATATAAAAAAATAATTTGTTTTTCGGTTGTAGATTTTTTTTTAAACAACTTTTTTAGTTATATATCCTAGTGGTTGATAAACCTAACTGGCTTTCCTTTATAACTTATCAGTAATTACTTATTTCTCTACAATGACCAAATATTTAAAAGGGGCTTTGGCCCCATGTTAACATATTTAAAATATTATCAAGATTGCCAGACAGGGTTTTAACCCCCTTACCATAAACTATGCCATTTAATAGAAGTAGGGGGCCATTTAACTGTAAACAGAACAATAGAGTTCATTGTTACGGAAATTATTTCCGTAACAATAGAATAAGGGGCCATGGCCCTCTATTAAACAAAAGAAAATAACAAAAGAAATGGCCCCTTAGTCCATTTAATTGGTATGTCTGTGCAGGCCAAGATCAGCCGGCATATCTATCCCATCTGATCATGGTCTGCACTATTGGCTATTCAGTCAGTACTAACCTTGAAATTTTCCTCAAAACTGATCAATGGTTTTATTCAGACTGAAAAATGGCAAGTCCATTTAAGATATACTAATTCTATGGATGACAGCAAGCTACCTAGTTTGGAATGGGCTAAAAATCCTGATATCCAGTATAAAGCAATTTTGTTAATTCTTTTATACATAAATATATATTTTTTGGCTTATTTTATAGCAGATATTCGGTCATATTCCAAATTGAAAATAGTATATTATTTTCCCAATCCAAAAGAAAAAATTCCCAATTGAAAGTTATAAAATAAAAATATTGATTAATTAAAATTCTAAAATCTTTGAAAATAAAGGCTTCTTCACTGTTATGGTGCTTAAATGCCTGAAGATACCATCCTAGACAGTGATTCTTTGCATTCATTTAATCACTGCAAAATTTAAGTCATGCAATTTTTACCCAATTTTTAACAAAACATCACTGAAATTCCCAATGCCATGGGTATGTGTTATGTTCCCAAAATCCCGGGGAAAAAACCCTGATTTTACAGTCAAAACTACATGAAATTACAAATAATCCTAAAAGCTTTAATTCATTAAGAAAAAATTAAATAAGCTATAATGAATACCTACCCATAGTACAGTGGCCTGTACACATTATCTGTTAAACTCTTCAATTTCTTTGATATCAAATCTCTGTCTACATTGTGTATATTTCTCGCAGCAAGCTCGTCGGGGTCGTATCGCCATGGCGTCCTGGGTTCTACGATGACAACATGATAGTGACAACTGTTCTGTGCAAGTTTCACGTAGAAAGACATTGACCAGCGTTGTATATTTGTGTTATCAATTATCACTACAGGTTTGCCTTTATCACAGTGATAACTCGCTTTATCTTGACAAAACTTGTGCGCCTCAGACAGCCTGCCAGCGTCAAAACTGAAAATATACAACAATAGGTTTAGGGTAGGACTGTGGATGCTTTAAATTTTACACTGTGAAACACACTGTGGCGGTGACACAATATGACAGTGAAGCACATGCTGTTGCATTAATAAGCTTAGATCAACATGCAGGTAAAATTCAAGTGCCCTGTCAAATTGTTAATCTGATTGCAGAAAATCAAGCACCCCGGCACTGGAGCACTAAATCAGACTGGGGAAGGCCCTGCACACACATATTTCAAATAATACCCTTACACCCATTAATTAAAATCTCACTCAAATCTTTGGTGATTTTTTCTGAATTATCATATATTCCCCAAAGTCCTTATTATTTGTCACAAAGGGAAAATGCTGTTGAACTTTTAATTTCTATATTCAACTATACATTGTATATCATTTCTTAGTCGACTTCAAACCACTTGCCCCTCACAGCTTCATATCCCGTCTGGGTCTTTTGATTCCTTCATGTGAGGAAGCTATCCAGTTAGCTTACGGAAAGTTGGTGTTTCTACACAGGATACATGACTACTTCAATTCATTACTTATTCAGTGAGGCTGAGACTCTCAGGTTCTGGCGCAAGGCAGGCCCACCTATTTGTGCCTAAAATAATGCACAGCGGGGCAACTGAGATCTTCCTCCACCAGTAAAGCTGGAAGTTTGCCATATTGTCTTCTTTTGTATTGTTGCCCAAAATACAATTTTCAACTTACTTGTATGTGCCATCATTGTCATAAAAGAAGTCATCAGCCGAGCAGACTATGCCTTTATAAACTTCCTGTAGGCACTTTACTAATGTTGATTTACCACTACCAGGAAGGCCTCGCATAATAAACATCGTATGTGAGTGTTTTATAAAGTCGACAGTAGCTGCATCACTAAGATACGGCATCTGATGGTAGCCATACACTTTTGTTACCTAAAATAAAAGTATGTACATATTAAACGGCCAGGGATTTTTTTTTGGCTTATTTTATAGCCGATTTTCCCAGTCATATTCCCAAATGAAAATTGTAAATTATTTTTCCAGTCCACAGGAAAAAAATCCAAAATTAAAATCATAAAAAAACTCTGATCTCAGAGTGAATTATTGTTGTCTCTGTTACATGGCTACATGAGTGAATAAAAATATACAGTGGTTTTTCTCACATAATTGTGAAGAGACCTTAGCCTATTGAATTTGGGGAAAAAACATCAATTAAAATTGCTAATTTGAAAAGTAAAATGGCGTGTAAGTTCAGATATTTTAGGAAAACTGCATGATTTTAAAGAAAATTTCCATTGGGAAGAGGCCTTTTTATAGGAATCTGTTATAATAGGGTGAAAAAAATCTCTGATAAAGATTAACTTACATCAAACGATTTCTGTACAATCTGTTCTGCAATAGCAGATGACAACTTCATGCCTTTCATTGGAACAATCACTTCCTTAACTTCAGTATCCTCTCTTTCAGGCTTTGTCGGTTTCCTATATCTGAGATCTTCATCAGGTCGTTTTTTAATTGCTCGTTTCGCTGGAGTTACTCCCCCGGATAATCGGGCCGCTTTTACTCGGACAACTTTATCAGCATTACTACAATCTGCCATCCCTCCGTTTTTTGTTTGAGCAACTTCAGCTTTTTGACTAGAAAATATCTCCTCAACAACTGGGACAACTTTCCCTCCTTTACTTGAATTATTTTTGTCAAATTTTGATTCTACATCTATATGACACGCATCTTTTAGGTTTTCATTTTTTGCTATGAATAGATGCTTTTCAACTTCTGCATTTCTATCAACAAAGATATGTGTCTCTTGTTTACCTTCCGTACCCTTTACATCCCTGAGAAAATGTTTCTCATTTTGAAGGTCAGCATATTCCTTGTCAAGGTCATTTTGAAGGTCAGCATATTCCTTGTCAAGGTCATTTTGTATCTCGTCATCAGGATTGTCATCACGTAAGACCCAATCTATCAATGTTCTTATAGCCTGCAAATGTATCATACAGAATATGAGAGAACATCTAATTGACTTAAATCATGACAGAAAATTTTTAATATAGCAATAAATCTAGGCCACACGACACAATACAAATATAGGACCAGACAAAAAAAGGAACTTTTATTTTTCATTGTTAGAAAACAATCATTCAGCAAGCAAAAATGCGTTGTTATTAAGTTGCATTTAAGCTCTAAAATATTTCAGTAATACCAAAACCTCTTGTCAATATGTTAAGCACAATGGTTGCTTTTGGTTTGAAATACAAAACTAAAATAATATCTTATTCTTATATATTAAAGGCACTTAAAAACATTTAGAGCAAAACTTTTTCAACATGTATATTCACTGACTTTTTCGTTCTTTGATCAGAATTGGTCAACACATAGATTCCAATTAGTAAATTTCTTTTTTACTTAATGGTGGGAAAAGTTCCTTATGACTGACAGTTTCTCCCTGTTGTCATGAAATTTTGCTAATTTCACAACTCACAGGGTTGTCATTAACATTTTTTGCAGAAGGTTTGTTTTGAACTTGGAGGCGGTCATTTCTGTCTTTATCATGCATAACAAAGAGTGTTTTCTTAATTTAAAAGAATTAATGACAACCCTGAACTCAATAATTCTCATTTGGACAATACCTAAACAATCTTTCAAAAATAATAAGTAAAGCAGGTAAGGAAACTTTCAAAAAGTTGGGAGCCTGTGGCTGAGTGGTAAAGGTTGTTGATTTCAAAACCACTTGTCCCTCGACACTGTGGGTTTGAAAACCTGCCAGGGACTTAAGATTTTTTTGCATGTGAGGAAGCAATCCAGCTACATTTGCAGCTTATGGAACATCAGTGATCCTACTGAGATCTTCCTCCACCAGTAAAGCTAAACATTGCCATATGATCTGGTGGGGTAGTAAACCCTGAGTGAAGCCCCCAAAAATAAAATAAATTAAAATAAAAGATACAAAAAAGAAACACATTGACTTCACTACCTGATTACTGTCAACAATCAACATATATAAGGGAAATAATAATAGAGGAGTGTACATGTAGGTTCCATACTGAATATGAGTTAAATATATTGAGCAAGCCCTAAGCGAGCATATTCTTTTGTTCAATGAATTCTATAAATCTAGAAATGACAATGCACTGATGACAGGGATTTTTTTTTTTGGATTATTTTATAGCCGATATTCGGTTAAATTCCCAATTGAAAATAGTATATTATTTTCCCAATCCACAGGAAAAAATTCCCCATTGTAAAATACAAAATAAAAATATTGAATAACAACTTCTAAAATCTTAAAAAAATAAGGGCTTCTTCACTGTTTCGATGCTTAAATGTTTGAAGATGCCATGCTAGACAGTGATTCTTTGCATTCATTTAATCACTGCAAAATTTAAGTCATGGATGATGCATTTTTCCCCAGATTTTAACAAAACATCGCTGAAATTCCCAATGCCGTGGGTATGGGTCATGTTCCCAAAATCATGGGGAAAAAAAACCGTGGATGAATCTGAAGATAATTGTATTAATTACACATGTCAAATATAATGAATATTAATAGGATGTGTTAATTGTGAACCTGGTCCCTAAAGCATTGGGGATACTGTAGAAAAGAACAAGGTTTTTTTTTATACTTTCTAACATTGCTGATTTGATGCACTTTGTGGGTTGCATTGTCCATAGCGACAACATATATCATTATTGCCTTTCGTATTGTTGCTAGCGAAGCACGCCATACACGTTGTCACACTGTCGTTTTGTTGATCTGTCACTAGCAAAGCACAGTGAACGGTGCGTTGTCGCGATATCGCTTATATATGCTAGAATACAAATAGCCAATCCTTAGATTTGAGCCAAGCGACATGTGACATTGTGACAACAACAGCTCCGTTTAGTGTTCTTCGTTAGCAACAGAACGACAACAGTGCGACAACATGCTTTTTGGCGTTTGTCATGCTGGTGTTACAAATAAGCCACCATAACTTTCAGTTTGTCCCTGTATTGTTTTCTAGTCAACCTGGGACATAAGATTTTATCTTATGTCCCAGAGTCAACAGGTAAATAATCAATAGGTTGTCAGGATTACAGAACAAAAACAATAGGACAGGGTTATTTAGCTTAACAGTAAGTTACTAACAGTACTCTGATGGACAGACAGTTTTGTTTTCACTTACAAAATGTATTCCAAAAAATAAAGTGAACATCATGGACCATCGAGTGTGAGGTTTCCCTATAGATTACAAAAATTTAGTAAACTGACAGGTTGTTGTGAAATGTGAAACTGAAAGTAGAACTGACGAATACTAAAGATATCGTTGTGGGCCATCGATCATATTAACGTATTTTATTAAGCAATGTTCAGTTAAATCATACGTGTATGTTAAAATTTTGAAATCAATATAAATTTTACAATAAGTACAAATATTTCATTCTCAAAACTGATTTATCATGGTCCATGATATGGAAAAAAATTGTTTTTAATAATTATACGACAACGATATTAAGCAAATTCATTCGTCTGATTCACATGGTAAGACTAATATGCGCAACGGGAATATAAGGCTAAAGTGCGCAACGATGTGCCAAATTGGAATATGCAAAAAATTATGTTTGTCAAAATCAGTACTGTAACCTTTCTTTAAAATCTACATGCATAATACTAACGAACTGTGCATAATTTTTATAGGGGTCTTATTTTTTTTATTAAAGTCAACATTTGGACAATAATAGCTCTACTGTATTGCATTAAAAAAATGTAACGTGACAAAATTGAAACTAAGTTTTACCACAAACACATGTTTTTGAAAAGGTTCGTGTCTTTGACTGTTATATTTTTCGACAAGTTTTGATATTCTGAGTGAAACATGCAGACATCTATGCAGAGTGTTTTTGTTGTTTTATTTTGTTTTAAACAATCCGCGCATACATTACCATGACACCATGTGCATGACGTAATTTCCTGCAATCACGTGCTCTATCAATCGCATCTTCTTGGCCATTTCCGTCGATCACAGTACAACCATAGGTGATCGGCGCGTTAATTGGTCACTACCGCCCCCTCACCCATACCTCTCAAAACACCATGTAAACTGAAGTATTTTTTCATTTGAAACATATTTTAATATTTAGTATATGCTTTATAAATATTCCTTTCATTTTCCACAAAAAAATTATAAAAAAAACATACAGATCTATACTGTATATTTAGTAAAAGCATGCAACTCGCCGCTCATTTTTCAAAATGTTCGGCCTTTTTACAGAGCCACGGAGTGACGTCCCTGGCGTACACAATGTACAAAAAAAATATGATATAAATAATTTCTTTGGAAATTTCTCTTTTTGCAGATTGAGTTATCAAAATAATCAATGTTATAATGCTAATTAACCTCACCAAAACCCAAATAATGATAAGAAAATGTCCAATTTATTACAATAATCTTTCCTGCAGAATCAAAATCAGTGAAAACTGAACATCTATTTCATTTTTTACATTTACAATGTATATGCAAAATTAAATCTTGCCTGCAAATTGTCATTTGTAGCACAATGGAAAGGAGTTGACCATATGGAATTCCTTTTTATATTTTACCTTGTAGTTATAAGTCGATATATTGTTTCTTAGTTAGTAACAATCATGCATCTTATATTCATTCAAATTGTGTAGATTAATTTGGGCCCTATAAATCAGATCTTTGTGCAGCGAACCATTGCCCACATCCATGACATCTATCGTCACAAACCATACACACAACTTTTGTTTATTTGACCGTAAAAATAGAATAATATAGAAAGTTATTTCTACTACTATAGAAATAAATTTCAACCTACATATATTCTTTTATATACGTAGTCTCATCTATATACATATAAAACATAGATAAATATACAATAACAACAATGTATACCTATATAACAGATAATATATAAGACACGTCACGTCCCGATTCTTTTATTTTCACCGACGTCTGATGGCGAGTCTTATACGTACCAACATGCCTTTATGTGCGTTAGGCATTTAACTATGTAAACATTTTCGAATGAAAATTGAAATAAAAAGGGTTGAGAAAAAAAAACTGGTAAAAGATAAAAAAAAATGTTTTCTTCAACATTGACATAATGCGCATTAAGAAATATTTTTAAAGGACCTAAATGATCAAGCGATACTACATTTTAGATGTGAACAGGAAATCTTATCGTTACATTAAAACATTTAAGCTGTTGTGTTTGTATTATCGTCATACACATTTCCTTGATTACATCTCATGTTATGAAACAAAAGAAACATAACAAGGAAAAAAACTTCTTAGAAAAGGAAATAAAACGCACCTTGATAACAAAAGAGACACCTGGCTATGTTTATTTTTTCTGATACACGGTAGTTAATAATTTTTCAGTCATACACGCTAGACTGTGCTATTTCTTTTACATTCAATGCATGTACTTGATGTTACTTTCATAACTATAGATAAAGACAATTATTTAAGTTGAACAATCCCTGGTAATAGCACAGAGTTATATTCAGTCTCGACTAGGCGTATACTCAAAATAAGACAAGGTACGCCCCAGGCAATAATGACGCTGTTCTGAAGTTTAAAGATATGGGTAGATACTATAAGTACATGACTCATTTATAAATCGAATTGCGCTGATAAACTCTTCGGGTAACCTAGCTTGAACCCCAAACACTCACTCGATACTAGATCTACCATAAGAAAGAAAATTTGAAGGAAAATTATGAGTTGACAAATCTAATTTTATCTATTCAAACGACACTTGTTATATTGACCTTGCAACAATGAAAATTTTCAGAGCTTAAAAATACTTACTTAAAATAATTAAACAGTAATTCCATTTCTATTCTTCAGTAACAATACATGTATGTTTTCCAAGCATTTCTCTTTATCTATTGTTACATTTCGCGGCTGATATAATTTTATAAATTTGAATAAACATTTGAGCTGCGTCACGAAAAAAACAACATAATGGGTTTGCGACCAGCATGGATCCAGAACAGCTAGCGCATCCGCGCAGTCTGATCAGGATCCATGTTGTTCGCTATCAGTTTCTCTACTTGTTAGAGTTGTAAGTGATCCATGATCTGGATCCATGCTGGTTGCAAACCCATTATGTTGGTTTTGCCGTGACGCGGCTCATTTTAATGTAAATAGAATACGGAAGCTATCACATCACGTGAATATCATTGTTTAATATAACGGACACTCAGAATTAGAGTATATAATTAAAACACAATTGCTCTGTGTATAGTGGATGCGTGCATAAGGCCCTTGAAGTTGTTGAAATCCCGTCCTGCTTTATATAAAAAGATTTTTTTTAAAGGAATATTTTGTCTTGTTTTTAGCTCGACTATTCGAAGAATATGAGAGCTATTGTAGTCGCCCCGGCGTCGGCGTCAGCGTCGGCGTCCGCGTCGGCGTCTGCGTTGGTTAAAGTTTTTTGTAAATTCAAATATCTCAATTATTGCTTGAGATATTCAATTGAAACTTACAATACTTATTTATAGTAACAATGTACATCAGATTGACAAGTTGGATAACTCTACCTACAATATTGACAGAATTATGCCCCTTTTTAACTTAGAAATTTTGGTGAAAGTTTTTTGTAAAGTCAAATATCTCAATTATTGCTTGAGATATTCAATTGAAACTTGCAATACTTATTTATAGTAACAATGTTCATCAGATTGACAAGTTGGATAACTCTGCCTACAATATTGACAGAATTATGCCCCTTTTTAACTTAGAAATTTTGGTTAAAGTTTTTTGTAAATTCAAATATCTCAATTATTGCTTGAGATATTCAATTGAAACTTGCAATACTTATTTATAGTAACAATGTACATCAGATTGACAAGTTGGATAACTCTACCTACAATATTGACATAATTATGCCCCTTTTTAACTTTAGAAATTTTGGTTAAAGTTTTTTGTAAATTCAAATATCTCAATTATTGCTTGAGATTTTCAATTTAACCTTACAATACTTATTTATAGTAACAATGTATATCAGTTTGCAAAATCGCATAACTGTGCCTGAAATTTTATGCACTTCTTTGAGAGCATAATAGGACTCTCCCAAAGACCTTAAGCCGTAACATGGATTTAAAGAAAAATTTGGCCATTTTGTTAATTTAGAAAATGTTACATTATCAAGGCTCTTTTAATATCAAACACTTAGAATAGTCGAGCATGCTGTCCTACCGACAGCTCTTGTTTTTAATTGCTGTTAAATTCGTTTATTGAAAATGGCAGCTTTGGTTACATATGTGACTAGATATATGACATCTTAAGTTGTTGAAAGAAGCGGGGGAAATAGATGATAATCAGGACAATACCGACATATACATGTATAATATTGAGAGAAAGAAATCATAAAATGGGCGATACCATAATTTCCTTGAAATTACATCATTCAAAGCATAATGTAATGAAATCGTTAAAGCAGCTTCCCTAAAGATTAATGATTATTTTCATAAAAAAATGGAAAATGTATTTAAAACTTAAATATTGTGAAATGAAGTGAACAAATTTTAAAGGAAGTTCATGTTCTAGTAATTACTAATTAACATATTGCAAACGAAATTACCCCCCAAAAAGAGGTCAAAATATGCAAAAATAGCATTAGTCACGCAGTAGAAATATGGTGATTTCTTTTTATATTGTTAGTTTTGAGATATACTCTGTCAGTCGTTGTAATAATTTATATTAATAAGTGAAAGTCTGAAGTTTAATTTGGTGAGATAAAATCCATATCACTCGTAGCATTGTTAAGGTCTGGCGTCATTTTCTTGACGCATTGCCATAATGAAAATACTAAGTATATGTTAGTGTTTATTAAGTGAAATTTTAACAATTTAGACCCTAAAAGGAAGCGACCGTAGGGAGCGACCGTAGGTTCTGAATTGTTAAAATGTTCACTTAATAAACACTAACATACTTAGTGTTTAACCTCATTGGACCCCGCTCGGACGCCTCCAGCCTCTAGCTGTGACTGAACTGTGTCTGGTAAATTCAATGTAGCTTACTCTGCCGTGATCCGGAGTGAAAACGACCAATACCACTAGTCCTATAACATAAGACGTTTCCGTTAGTACTACGTACACTCCAACGTACGTAGTACTAACGGAAACGTCTTATGTTATAGGACTACCAATACCACCACCACTGCTGAGAAGGTGCACATTTATTTACGGTACCGCTTATAATTACTTCAATGTTGCAATTTTCTGAAAAATATTTGGACGTGACTGATTTTTGTGAAATCAGCCTTAGCCCTTCTCTTTGTAAATTTCTCGCCACTTCCATATGAAGTGAAATATATTGAAAGAACCCATTAAACAACGTGTGGGAGGAGTGAAACTTTACCCTTCATGTGCTTAAATGCAATAAATAATAAGGCAATCATCATCAATTTGTGATTTATACATAGCAAAAAATGTTTGGGTTTTTCTATGTTTTCTCCAGTAAAATGTTTTAGAATCGAAACATCTACGTTAAAAAATCGTTACATTTCTACAATTGTATACAAACCTCTCAAAAGATTTTATTCCGAAACCAAGTGCTATTTAAAAAGCGGTAGTGAAAAAACCAAAACGTTGACCTAGTTCTCGCTTAGAATTTTACCAATAAATATATAAGGCTTCAGTTTACAAATGCGCACTTCGTTCCAAACACTATTATCAAGTGTTCGAAAAAAACAATGATTTTATTATTATCATTTTTTTTTTAAATTGGAGCGATTTCATTGGTCGGCAAATTGACATTGAACACTAATAATGCTTAAATGAGATTTTATTTTTCGTGAATATGCTATATATGAACATATAATGACATGATAAAACATCAATATGTTTCCTATATCTCTGTTATCTACATCTCTATGTTATCTACATCTCTGTTTTCTATATCTATGTTTTCTATATCTCTATGTTATCTACATCTCTGTTTTCTACATATCTGTTTTCTACATCTATGTTTTCTACAAGTCTGTTTTTTACATTTTTGTTTTCTACATCTCTGTTTTAACATCTCTGTTATCTACTTCTATGTCTTCTACATCTATGTTATCTACATCTCTTTTATCTACATCTTTGTTTCTACATCTCTTTTTCTACATCTCTGTTATCTACATCTATGTTATCTACATCACTTTTATCTACATCTTTGATTCTACATCTCTTTTTCTACATCTCTGTTATCTACATCTCTGTTATCCTACATCTCTGTTATTTACATCTATGTTTTCTACATGTCTGTTTTCTACATGTCTGTTTTCTACATCTCTGTTTCTACATCTTTGTTTTCTACATATCTGTTATCTACATCTCTGTTATCTGCATCTCTGTTATTAACATGTCTGTTATCTACATATATGTTATTTACATGTCTGTTTTCAACATGTCCGTTTTCTTTATCTCTGTTTTTTACATGTCTGTTTTTCTACATCTCTGTTTTCTTCATCTCTCTACATCTTTGTTAACTTCATCTTTGTTTTCTACATCTATGTTATATACAACTCTGTTATCTACATCTCTGTTATTATCATGTCTGTTTCCTACATCTCTGTTTTCTACATCTCTTTTTTCTAAAACTCTGTTTTCTACATCTCTGTTTTCTACACCTCTCTACATCGTTGTTATCTTCATCGCTGTTTGCTAAATCTCTGTTTTCTACATCTCTGTTATCTACATGTCTGTTTTCTACATCTCTGTTATCTACATATATGATATATACATCTCCGTTTTCTACATCTCTGTTATCTACTTGTTTGTTTTCTATATCTCTGTTTTCTACATGTCTGTTTTCTAAATCTCTGTTACCTACATCTATATTACCTACATCTTTGTTGTCTACATGTCTGTTTTCTACATCTCTGTTATCTACATCTCTGTTTTCTATATCTCTGTTATCTATATCTCTATTATCTACATCTCTGTTTTGTACATCTCTGTTATCTACATCTCTGTTATCTACACTTTTGTTTTCTACATCTCTGTTATCTATATCTCTGTTTTCAACATGTCTGTTATATACATCTCTGTTTTGTACATCTCTGTTATCTATATCTCTGTTTTATACACATTTGTTTTCTATATCTTTGTTATCTATATCTCTGTTTTCAACATGTCTGTTATATACATCTCTGTTATCTACATCTCTGTTATCTACACCTTTGTTATCTACATCTCTGTTATCTACACCTTTGTTTTCTTCGTCTCTGTAATATACGTGTCTGTTTTCTAAATCTCTGTTATCTACGCCTTTGTTTTCTACATTTCTGTTTCTACATCCCTGTTATCTACATCTCTGCTTTCACATTCTCTGTTATTTACATCTCTGTTTTCCACATCTCTGTTATCTACACCTTTGTTATCTACATCTCTGTTATCTACACCTTTGTTTTCTTCGTCTTTGTAATATACGTGTCTGTTTTCTAAATCTCTGTTATCTACACCTTTGTTTTCTACATTTCTGTTTCTACATCCCTGTTATCTACATCTCTGCTTTCACATTCTCTGTTATTTACATCTCTGTTTTCCACATCTCTGTTATCTACACCTTTGTTTTCTTCATCTCTGTTATCTACGTGTCTGTTTTCTATATCTTTGTTATCTACACCATTGTTTTCTACATATCTGTTATCTACATCTCTGTTTTCTACATATCTGTTATCTACGTGTCTGTTTTCTACATCTCTGTTATCGACATCTCTGTTTTCTTTATCTGTGTCATCTTCATCTCTGTTATCTACATCTCTGTTTACTACATCTCTGTTTACTACATCTCTGTTTACTACATCTCTATTTTCTACATCTCTGTTTTCTACATCTCTGTTATCCACATCTCTGTCATCTACATCTCTATTTTCTACATCTCTGTTTTCTACATCTCTGTTATCCACATCTCTGTCATCTACATCTCTGTTTTCTACATCTCTGTTATCTACATCTCTGTTATCTATATCTCTGTTATCGACATCTCTGTTTCCTACATCTCTGTGTTGTACATCTCTGTTATCTACACCTTTGTTTTCTACATTTCTGTTTCTACATCCCTGTTATCTACATCTCTGCTTTCACATTCTCTGTTATTTACATCTCTGTTTTCCACATCTCTGTTATCTACACCTTTGTTTTCTACATCTCTGTTATCTACGTGTCTGTTTTCTAAATCTTTTTTATCTACACGATTGTTTTCTACATATCTGTTATCTACATCTCTGTTTTCTACATATCTGTTATCTATGTGTCTGTTTTCTACATATCTGTTATCGACATCTCTGTTTTCTTTATCTGTATCATCTTCATCTCTGTTATCTACATCTCTGTTTACTACATCTCTGCTTACTACATCTCTGTAATCTACATCTCTATTTTCTACATCTCTGTTTTCTACATCTCTGTTATCCACATCTCTGTCATCTACATCTCTGTTTTCTACATCTCTGTTTTCTACATCTCTGTTTACTACATCTCTGTTTCCTATGTCTCTGTTAACTATTTCTCTGTTTTCTAAACTCTGTTTTCTATATCTCTGTTTTCTACATCTCTGTTATCTACATCTCTGTTATTTACATCTCTGTTATTTACATCTCTGTTTACTACACCTCTGTTTACTATATCTCTGTTTTCTATAACTCTGTTATCTATATCTCTGTTTTCTACATCTCTGTTATCTACATCTCTGTTTTCTACATCTCTGTTATTTACATCTCTGTTTACTACATCTCTGTTTTCTATAAATCTGTTATCGCCATCTCTGTTTCCTACATCTCTGTTTTCTATATCTCTGTTATCTACATCTCTGTTTTCTACATCTCTGTTATCTACATCTCTGTTTTCTACATCTCTGTTATCTACATCTCTGTTTCCTACATCTCTGTTTTCTACATCTCTGTTATCTACATCTCTGTTTCCTACATCTCTGTTTTATACATCTCTGTTATCTACATCTCTGTTTTCTACATCTCTTTCATCCACATATCTAGTTTTTCCATCTCTGTTTTCTACATCTATGTTTTCTACATCTCTGTTATCTACATCTCTGTTATCTACATCTCTGTTTTCTACATCTCTGTTATTTACATCTCTGTTTACTACATCGCTGTTTACTATATCTCTGTTTTCTATTACTCTGTTATCTATATCTCAGTTTTCTACATCTCTGTTATCTACATCTCTGTTTTCTACATCTCTGTTATTTACATCTCTGTTTACTACATCTCTGTTTACTATATCTCTGTTTTCTATAACTCTGTTTTCTATATCTCTGTTTTCTACATCTCTGTTATCTATATCTCTGTTAACTATTTCTCTGTTATCTATATCTCTGTTTTCTACATCTCTGTTATCTACATCTCTGTCATCTACATCTCTGTTTTCTACATCTCTGTTCAGATAAGTACAATGACGCATATCGTAATAATCATTTGTTGAATATTGATTATTTCGTGGTTCACATATTAAAGAAATGCTGTCGTAGTTATTTAATGGTCCACACAGTATTTAAATTTTATGTGCATATATGTCTTGGAAACAAGCAGTGTTTCTCGTAATATGATTTGCATGCACGTACATATCAAGAATTATCTTAATAAAAAATCGTTGATGGTGATCCATTTCCGTCTACTTTCGTTTTCCAATTTTATATATTCTTGTATTTTTGAAGTGTTTTAGGCACATTTCAACATCTTTTCGGCAAAATTCGACGTTACACTCTTTTCTATCAAATGTACATTCTATAAATTGCCGTTCGACCATTTGTCCGTTCTTTTCATTGTGGTATTCTATCAAATCGACGTAATGTCGTGCATCACTTTGAATCACAGTTGCCGGCAAAATCGCTTTTTAGCTCTGAAAACGATGATGATCTCGACGACTCTAGTCCTTGTCATGCAGTATAATTTAATTAAGAATTCAACAAATGAAGAAAATAAATTTAACAAAAAAGTAAACGTACACTACATGTACTTACATTTTTTATATCCAACATAAAAATATTACTTTACTCCGACATAAATTGGTGGGTCTGTTAAAACAATAACTAACTGATACCACGATATACCACTTATTTTAGAATTGTCAGTTCGTTGTTTTTTAAACCTATAACTATTTTCATGTTTACAAGTCCTCGTTCGCCTGATTATTACCTAGCGAGGCCTTAGATCGTATCAAACAAAACTAAACTCAATCATTCTAGAATAAATCGATTCGAAAATACATTCTGAATCGCGTACATTTGTTTTTTTTATTATTATTATTAAGTCTTAATTTTATTTGCATTTCGGCAGAATTGACAATACAAACATATATATACATATGGCAAACATGCACACAATTATAGATATAACAAAAGCAAACGCTTATTAATGACCAAGGAACAAAGGAATCATTCTTCGGATAATGACTTGATTGGGTTACAAACTAAATAAATGACAAATCTAATTGCCCCCTTTAAGGAAGTAAATAGTTTAATTTTGTGACATGCTCATTTCGTATACATATATTACAAAACAAATAGGAGCTAGTTGGTATCTTTGAGTGGTTGTGGAATGTTTTCTTAAACATGAGAAAGTACCGCACGGGGAATAGGTCTTGTAATTTATTAGCTCATTTAATCAGGCGTTATTTTAAAACTCTCTTGTTTTTTCATGGGATTTCATTATGTAAAACTCAGATATACATACATATTAAGCTCCAGTCTATTAAGACAAGTGATGTAAATGGGACCGACTCAAAGTTGTCTTAATAGTGAACTGGTCTTAAAAGTGACTTAGCCACTGTTAGAACTTATATATAGTCGAACTAAACTGAATGCTTATGTACTCATGTCTCAGAACATCATTTAGGGTTGTTTTTTTTTTAAAAATATTTTATGCTTTCAAACTTTTAAGTAAATTAAAAAAGATATATAATAAGATCAATTAAAATCAGTACAAAAATTAGTTAATTTAGTTTACAATTCTAAATAACGGCTTACGGATATTACCAGCATGTCGACCAAAAATATTCAGTTAATACAGACTGGACTCCAATCTTAGCATCGTTAACAAAAGAAATTAGTGTTAAAATGACTTGTACCATGAATACATAACGGACCGTCTTTAAGGTATGACCATTCTAATGCGTTATCTCCGCATTGAAGCGTATTCAAATAGGCTAGTACATTAAAACTTAGGGCGGTGGATTCAATCCCCAGAAGGGTCTTTTTTTCTTTTCATATTTCAACATAATTCATGTTTCTCTCATATCCCTTTTGGGAAGAAAAAGGTGTTTATTTATGATTATTTAATCAATATACATGTAGGTATTTATTGGCTGAATAATGCCAAATTTAATGACAAATACATGTGTGTACCTGTTTTTTTTCCAAAGTGCAATGAAATCAAAACTAGACGGTAAAAGTATTAAATATTTTACAAGAGCAACCAGTACACTTTTGAGAAAATTTAGGGAACTTTGAAAACTGGCACTCATTTAAGTAAATTTTAATAATTTTTAACTAGGCTCTCTGAGCAGGAAATTGGTCAAACAAGTGTTAAAAAGGTGCGGTAGAGTAATATTTTTATACATATTTTATAAATTTTGAGTAGAAACAATCAATTTTGCTTTGTGGATTGTTAGATGAATGTTACATTGTGTTTCTTTCCAAATATTAATGGGAAAACATATTTCATACAAAAGATAAAAACAAAATTATGATTTAACTCTTATATACTGTACAAATTCTTCTTATAAGGATACGAAGATGGCCGAGTTCTTGATGGTAAGAAACTGAGACTGACTTCTTGGTTCAGAATAAATTTATAATGTCTTCATTGAAGTTCTTTCTTCTTCCAATGTACTGGCCACCTTCAACTAACTGAAGTTTACTGCCAGGTTAATGTGCAAGACGGAAAGAAAGAGTAAAAATAGTGAGAAATATATACAGTGCGGGTTAAAAACGGACACGAGTGTGGTTTAGATATAGAGTTGGGACAGATGAGTACGGAATGACTCAACTGTACCGGCTAACGTAGCATCTGGAGGTAGGCTGTTCCAGTCTTTGATGGTGCGTGGGAAGAAGGATTGTTGACGGTATTGTGTACGGCAGTAGGGAATCTTGTAGGATAGGTTGTGTGAATTTCGTGTAGATGTGGAGTTGGAGGGTATGAGTTGTGAGTTGTCTAGAGCGACCTTGTTGTTGATGACTTTGTAGAACATGATCAGTCTGGCCTCCTTGCGACGCTCTTGTAGTGATTTCCATTCAAGGTCTGCAGGCATGTCTGTGACGCTGGACCTGTTGTGGTACTTGTATTTAACATACCGTGCATATATGTTTTTCATGTTAAAGATATTAGGAATAATCGTTCTAAAGTGAAATTAATTATTTTTTTCCTTTTTTACTTCTTGTCGTTTCTTGTTGGTGCCTGAAGGTTATTGTCGGTAAATAGGGAGACCTTCCGTTATGCATATTAGTCATTCCCGTAGAATACTCTTCAAATGGCGGCGCCCATGAATATAACAGAAATAGAAAAGAAAATACTTTTTCAACGAGAAAAGTGCCGAAGTCTTGAAAAGTTTGAAACGGTTAAAGAAATAAAATACACAGAATTTTTTAAGCAATACTTATTTCCTAATATACCATGTATATTTACTCCAAATATCACAAGGCATTGGAAGAGTCGACAAGATTGGGTGCTTGAAGATAAAACACCAAACTTTTCTCTTTTAAGATCTAAATTTGGTAAGTTTTGAATGTACCAATTTCATTAAATAAAATTGTAAATCGTTTATAGATGTCACATGGTGAAAAAAGTACAGCCTTACAGTCATGACAAATTTACTGGATATAATTGAAATTCGTCCCTGAATTTTGAATATATATATATGAAATGGTCTCGGGACTTTATATCATCTCGGTCGGTGGGGGAAAAATCCCTGGATTCGGGATCGTATTAAACATATAGTAATTTTGACCACCTACTCTCGGTGTATTATTATTATTGTTGTTATCATCATCATTTGAATGTTTTGTAGAGATTTCTGAATAAATTTGATTTGTAGTAGTTATAAAAAATCTTTAAAAATAATGTATGTTTTTCACGATTTTCTGGATCGTATTAAAAAATATAGGGATCCGGAAATTCAGATAAGCCGGGCAGACCTGGGGTAATCACTAATCGTAATCATCAATTTTTTAATTGATTACATGATTACACTGTAATCATCATGTAATTGATTACCTTGCTCAAAATTGATTACATTAATTGTAATTAATCAATTACAGCTTAAATTCAGTCTGTAATTATGATTACAATTTGATTGATGTTGATTACTTTCAGATTTTATATGAAACTATTGAAATTCAAATGATTTATTTCACATGTTACAGTTTAACTAAGGTATTAAACTATCAAGTGAGACATTTTAAGACATCACTCACAATGAAGAAATAAGTTTTAATCCAAACAGTTAACCAAATTCTAACTAAAAGATAGACATTATTGTTTGGCTGGTATTCTAACCAAACTGTCAAATCATTGGATTTATGATGTCTTTGAATTTCCTAAAGAAACATCTTGAAATGTGACAGCACAGTGCAAATTGTGCCCTAGGAAGATAAATGGATACACTAAGTCACATTCAAATTTCATTACCCATATAAAGGTATGTTAAATTTGATAACTTCTTTACTTTGTATATTCTAGAGTTTATGTCGGATGCATATTACCATATTTTAATTATATGCAACAGTTATTTTGTAAGGTGATAGACAATGTGTTTATATTATAATGGATACTGTTGTACCATTGAAGTGTTTGTACAAAAATTGATAATTTCTTTGTAAAGTCTATTGTCTCTTTGAATTCCCATACAAAAATTTATTGTTTTCACACCTGTTTTAACACCTATATACAGCATACTGTACAAGTGACACTTTTCAAAATTTCTGTTGCAGAGAGTTCATTATGAAACCTACACCAAGAAGACTGAGGACCATTCTTGCATCATCGGCCCCTGTAGAGCGTTTGTTTAGTATTGCGGGTAAAATTTTCCGTCCTGATAGATGCAGTCTGACTGACAGATGGTTTCATGAACTTATGATGCTAAAGTGCAATGCTAAAATATGATAAAGTGATGTGACAGTAACTAAAAGTGTGTTAAATTGATGACGGTTGTTGACCTGGAAATCCTTTGTGTATATAATGTATATATTAAATAGCATGAAGAAACTTTTGTTTATTGTTATACATTGGATGTAATCAATTATCAATCAATTACTTCCTTAAAGTAATTGTAATTTAATTGATTACAGAGGCAAGTCTGAGTAATCAATTGTAATCAATTACAATAAAATCTGAAAGTAATTGTAATTAAATCAATTACTGATCAATGTAATCATCCCCAGGTCTGAAGCCGGGATCGTATTAAAACATATAGGGATCCCGGTAATTGACCAGTTCAAGAATATAGTCTTTAATTTTTCCAATTAATTTGGCATATAATTATAAGTATTGTGATTTCGGCATTTTAAGTTTGTTAATAAATAGCTCTAAATATATTTATATCCTAAGTTAAATTAATTTAACATTCATAAAATACAATAAAAAAATAAAAACTTAACGTTTAATCGCCTTTCATTACGACAATAATCAACGCAAATATAGTTTATTAGTTTTCCCTCTATATCTAATATGATCCCGGATCCCGGGATTTTCCCCCACCATCTCGGTCCCCTGTTGGGTGCCAAATGTGCATGGTGAAAAAAATGTGCAGCCCGACTCAGTGACTGGGACTTGAACCTGGGACCCCCAGAATACTGTAATGTGGCTCTGCTGACTGAGCTATCCGTCTGCTTACGCACTATCTTGGATTCTCCCCTAAATAGTGAACAGTGACATAGGTCACCTTAATTATTTGTTATATTTCCATCTTATGAAGAGATATCCTTGAGGCATCTTAAGTTTGAATGTCATGACTGTTGGGTTGTTTTTCTATGCCTATGGCACAAACCATAATTATTTTTATTGCACCCCTTGAGTGCCTCAACACCCAAACAAATGTACCATATATATATACTGAAATTTCTAGGTAAGTACAAAAGCTGTACTAAAAATATGGTTAAGATTGATAAGTATACCTGAGACTAACAAGTAAGATGACATAAGTAACATTAGCTTTTGATGTTGTGAATATTTTACAAGCATTCTGAGGATGGAGCTTTATTTATACATGTATTCTGTTATAAAAGTCTCTAGCATCTTAAAGAGTGTCATACTTACAACGATAGATATTTTAATTCCAAATAAGGTCTTGTCACTCTTTAAATGCCAAAAAATAAATAATTAATGAGAGAAAGTTCAAAATTTGGTCCTGTCTGGTAGAGTGTCTTAATTCAGTTGAAATCTTTTACATGCTTTGTTATGTTGATTTCTTTTTACAAGGTGAAGCTATTGTACCTGTCGCAAATTGTGGGCAAGAACAGTTCAGTTCTCATCCCAAAAAAGACATGCTGTTGTCAGAGTACTTAGACTATTGGGAAAATTATAGATCTGAAGGTTATCCTGGGAATCAGCCATGTCTTTATCTTAAAGATTGGCATTTTACAAAGTATGTACAAAGGATTTATATCATATTAATATGACATTTGCCTTGTAAATCATAACAGTAATAAATTGATTTTCAATTTTATTATGATATCAGTATATTTCTTTATTGTCTTTTAAATAGAATATTCTTTCATTTTAAGTGCTTGAGTTTACATGTATCTGTATAAAATTTTCAAATTTTATGTTTTCAAGCTTTAGGACCTCAGTGTATCCCCTTTAAATTTAAACTTTTAGTGTCATACAACCTTAATGTACACATACATATCTTTGATGTGAATGAATAAAAGAATAAGATTGTCAACTACTTTATGATTGAAATGTTTCCTTGATATTTACAGAGCCTACCCAGGTTATGAGGCGTATATTACTCCAGTATACTTCCAATCAGACTGGCTCAATGAATTCTGGGACACACTTCCATTAGATGATTATAGATTTGTGTATATGGGTCCTAAAGGAACATGGTTTGTGTGATATGGTATTTAACTTAACTTAAGACTTTTCAGTACAGTCTTATCAATGTGGAAATTTATGGTAGGATGGAACTTTGAGTTTGATGTCAGGTTTCATTATGATTTTAGATGTGTTCTTGGTGACTGTTATTCTCATACATGATAATAGTTTTGAATTTTCATAGACTAGTAAGGAACTTCCTTGCTATCTTTAAGAATTGGGATTGAAAGAGGCGACTAAATGGGATTGAATAACTGGAGTCTATGCATCTCTTAACTCCAACAGGTGGGGTGGCTTTCACTCCTGGTGTTGATTTGAAGATTGTAACACCCGAGGTTAGCAAAAATCATCTTTCCTGTTTCACTGCCATATGACCTAAACTGTGTTTGTGCACTGTAAAACCAACCAACCAAACAAAAGACAAACAGCAAAGTAACTATAGTAAGCATATTTATTACAACCATGACAGCAATGGTTCTCTTACCCCCTATGCAATGTATGAAATAAATATTTTCAGGACACCTTTCCATGCAGATGTTTATAGATCTTTTAGCTGGTCAGCAAATATTTGTGGCAAAAAGAAATGGATATTTTATCCCCCAGGTGATTATGCGTTAAGGTATTAGGACCCTAATGGGCACTATCAGGAACTAAAGAATTGACATCATAGGTCAGATGTATACCTTAAAGTACACCTGTATGCAAAATTTAAACAAAGTTTACCGTACGGAAATCAAGTTATGGCCACTTTTCTGAACTCAAGCTAGGATGTTATGAGGGCCCTTTTTAGAAATGAGGAACCTTTAAATAATCTGCAATAACATTCTAATGAAAAATGTTTTCCCATCAATTTTTGGTAAGAAACAAACAGTACCATTCAGCTAACAATCCACATAAGCAAAATTATGGTTTCTACTTAAAATTTATGAAATCTGTATAAAAATGTTACCCTACCCCACCCATTTTTACCACATGTCTGACTATTTTCCTACTTAGGGAGCCTAATTAAAAGAATCCCTAAAGTTTTCCCAAATGTGTGCCTGTTTTCAAAGTTTTCCTAAATTTTCTCAAAAGTGTATTGGTTAATCTTGTAAAATATTTAATACTTTTAACCGTCTAGTTTTGATTATATTACACTTTGAAAATATTAGGTACCATATTTATTACTAGATTTAGCATAATTTAGCCAATAAATACCTATATAAATTAAAAATTCAAAATTAAACACTTTTTTCTTTCCATATGGGACATGAGAGATACATAAATAATGTTAAAAGAAAAAAAGAAAGAAAAAAAAAGTTGACCCTTCTGGGGATTGAACCCATGGCCCTCATTTTCAATGTAGTTAACAGTAATTCTAGCCTATTTGAATACTCTTCAAAGCGGAGGTAATGCATTAGGGTGCTAATACCTTAAGGATTATTTTGTATATCAAGTGATTATATTTATTACATGAATTGATTATTTATCACCAATGGTTAAACTGACTATATAAATTGATAATTTATCACTCTGATGATTTATGTAGTCAGTTAAATCATTGGAGTGATAACTTCACAAATTATGTAGTATAAATCTATGTAAATAATATTATTATCAGTATAATCATAACAGTGATAATTATCAATTTATGCAGTTATCATTATCATTTTGAGTTTATGTAGTCAGTATTATCATTTGGTGGATCAATTATTGTAGTCAGTATAATCATTAGAGTGATAAATTATCAATTTATGTCACCAGTATTATCATTACAGGGATGGTAGTTAATCACTCTGGTGATTGTGCTTGTACATTAAATGATAATTTATCACTCTTGTGATAATGCTACTACATAAAATGATAATTTATCTCTCTGGTGATCATGCTACACATATAATGAATTGCTATCCGAACAAGAAAATCTTGAAATGTACATAGAAATATTTTCTTAAAATCTGTTTTACCAATTTCATGTTTTCGTAAGTCCTTTCATTGTGTATGGTCTCTTTTACTCAATGTAGAAAACATATAAGCCGCGTTACGACAAAACCAACATAATGGGCTTGGGACCAGCATGGATGCAGACCAGCCTGCGCCGCACAGTGTGATCAGGATCCATGCTGTTCGCTAACAATAAGTAGAGAAACTGATAGCGAACAGCATTGATCCTGATCAGACTGCGTGGATGCGCAGGCTGGTCTGGATCCATGCTGGTTGCAAACCCACTATGTTGGATGTTGGTTTTGTCATGACGCGGCTCAAATACTTTGTGTTTCAGGATGTGAGGATATGTTAAAAGATAACCTGGGGAACCTTGTTTATGATGTCATGTCTCCAGATCTTGATGACCAAAAGAAATTTCCAAATGCTCACAAGGTCAAAGGTCAAATGCTAGAAGTCATACAGGGTGAAGGTCAAATTATATTTGTACCTAGTGGTTGGCATCATCAAGTGTATAATTTGGTATGTATATGTCAATATTAATTATTAACCTTATTCAAAATTTACTAGGTTTAAAGGCACATTATGCCCCAGAAATGAATAATTTTTTTCTTCTATAGAAAAAAATGTGAGTTCTGTAACATTTAAATATCAGTTTAGATGCTTATTACTCGAAGAAAGTAGAACTGGAAGTGAAGTTATTGTAATAATAGTAGTTATTTGTATACAAAGTAGTATTTTGACTTCCATACATATACTAAATCAGTATAATTGTAATAATTGCCAGAAAACAGCAAAAGCAAAAGATGGCTCAGGTAATTGGCCAATGAGTAATTATAAGAAACTGCAACAAAAATTAAAATAATACCCTATCTGAGGCATAATGGACCTTTAATAGGCCCTAATGACCTAATGACAAAAAATGACTATTTTCTCATTGTCCTCAAAAATATTGCATTTGGACAAAAAATAAAGGTTATCCCTTCAGTGTTAGAATTTTTCAGACTCTGATAACCTAGGAACAGACATGTTGTTCTTTCCTCTAATTATTGCATAATTTCATGCTATTTTGAGTAACATTTTAGCCGCATCGCGACAAAACCAACGTTTTGTGTTTGCGACCAGCATGGATCCAGACCAACCAGCGCATCCGCTATCAGTTTCTCTACTTGTAATAGGGTTTGTAAGCGAACAGCATGGATCCGGATCAGACTGCGCGGATGCGCAGGCTGGTCTTGATCCATGCTGGTCACAAACGCACTATGTTGGTTTTGTCGTGACACCGCTCATTTTATCCTAAGATTCCAACTTCAGAGTGTTTTGTTTTCAATTGCACCACAGAATTTAAAAAAAAAAAATTAAAGAAAATTTAAATTTAAAGAATTTAAAAATATGGTTATGATTTTGAACTGTTTAGATATTGAAGATAGATTATAAGCATTTTTTTCAAAAATGTGGGTACACTTGCTTTGAATATTATAAATAAAATGCACTGCTTCTGTGATTCTGTTCTTTGACTCAGTTGTCTAAGACTGTAATTAACTTCTTTAAGCAGGTGACTGCATGGATTGATTGGTAGCTCAAGTAATTGCGCATATTACATTGGTTTTATGGTTGAATGTTTTTTGGATGAGCTATGGCCCTTGAATTAAAAACACTTTTGCCCTGTTAATGATTTTGTGTCTCCCAGCAACATGCAATTTACTATCATGAGGCAACACATGTGATCATTGATCACTCTTGTTAAGCTTTTTATGCTCCCCAAAAATTTCGGGGGAGCATATAGTCATCTGGTTGTCCGTCCATCCGTCCCCACTCACAGGACAGTAATTATGTGGCTAGAGGGACAATAGGTAACTGTTTTCTCTCTTTGATTTCATTCATTCCAAAATGCTTTTATGTGGCTATTTTATTTTGTTTGACTAAAAAGAACAATAGAGAGAACAATAGAGTAGCCACATTATTACTCTCCCGAATTCATGTCCGGCTCATAACTTCATTATTTGAAGTTGGATTTTACAACTTTTTCCCAGAAATGATCACCATATTGAGACGATGTGTCGCATGCAACATTTTTGTCACTACCTTGAAGGTCAAGGACACAGCATGACCTTGCAGCAAAATCGTGTCTAGCCCATAACTTTGTTATTTGAAGTCGGATTTTACAACTTTTTCGCAGAAAAGATCACCATATTGAGACGACATTTCCGGCGCATCATTTGGGTGGCTACCTTGAAGGTCAAGGTCACAGAATGACCTTGCGGCAAAATCGTGTCTTGCCCATAACTTTGTTATTTGAAGTCGGATTTTACAATTATTTTACAGTAATTAACACCATATTGCGACGATGTGTCAGGCGCAAATTTTGGTTGCTACCTTGAAGGTCAAGGTCACAGCATGACCTTGCAGCAAAATTGTGTCCGGCCTATAACTTTGTTATTTGATGTCAGATTTTATAATTATTCCACAGAAATGATCACAATATTGAGACGATGTGTCGTGCGCAACATTTGGGTTGTTTTTACACTTTGAACTTTGTCTGTGACATAACTGACACTACAAGAGGTATACCTTTCTGTGTCCAAAACCTATTCGGGGAGCATAACCCGGTTCAACCGGCTCTTGTTGACCTTAGTGGAGATCCTTTAAGATATTGACCTTAATTCTGTTTACACTTTCAATGCAGTTAACAAAATATCATAAAGGAAAGAAAATGTTTCCAAACTTTAACTAGAAGACCTAATATTCTACTAAGTTAGAACTATTCTCAACTTGTACAGAGCTTGAGTTCATATGAACTGAAATTTTGCACAAAAGTTATTAGTCAAGACTTATATCAAATGGGACATAAATATTGAAACATTATTTCCTTTCCTGTCATTTCAAAAATCCTCAATGGGATGAAAGTGACTCCACCGAGGTATTTTGACATGACGGGACGGGACATAATTTTGATAAATCTTCCATTTTATGTTGGTCTAGACCAATAAACTTCTGTGCTTAGTTTCAGACCTTTCGCTTACTCCATTTTCCGGAAATAGATATTTGAATAGTGAAAAATGACCTAAATTGAAAAGTGTTGCAATGCTGTTCACTTATGCCAGGATTAGCATAGCTCAAAAATATGATTTTTGGCCATGTTGCAAAAGTGCAAATGCGGGTTATAGTATGGTGAATATTGGAAAATTTTCGTAACAGATTTTTCAGCAAACCACAGCCTCTTGATATTTAATATACAGTATTAAAACGTGGTCCCATACTGTGGGATTCAATTTCAGGTCTGTTGCTCATCTACTTCCTGTTTACCGACTTAGTTAAATTTTAGATATTAATGGTTATTGAAAGAAAATTTTCGTAACATCAAAGCCTTATGATATTTGGTATAATAGATAGATAATGGCAACCTAGCCATTTCTGTCTTTGACCCTTTTTCAGTTTATTTCTATAGACTAAGTACATTTCTCAAAAATCTTCTACATATACAATGTATTTTTGTTTTAAGTGCCCCAAGTGATCTATGTTAGAAATTCAAATTTTATATTTTTAGGCTTTTTGACCTCAGTGGAGTTCCTCTAACATGTAAATAGTACACTGTATTTCTCTTGTAGGAAGACACTATATCTATCAATCACAACTGGTTAAACGGATGTAACATTGACATATTTTGGAAACATTTACAAGATGGTCTTCAAGATGTGAAGATGGAGATTGGGCATTGTCAGGACATGGATGGATGGAATGCCCAATGTCAGGTAGATAAATAGTTGTTTTGTACGCAGTTTATTCCTTACCCATCAGATTTTCAGAACATAGTTGTATTTCTTTGAATTTAGTGCTAAGGGTCAGTTATGTGAAATAAAAGTTTATTATCAGATGCAATATTTTCATGAGTGGCTTAGTCATCTAGTATTTTCATGAGTGGCTTAACTATCTTATATTTCATGAGTGGCTTAACTATCTTATATTTCATGGGTGGCTTGACTATCTAGTATTTCATGAGTGGTTAACTATCTTATATTTCATGAGTGGCTTAACTTTCTAGTATTTCAATCTTGAGTGGCTTAGTCATCTTATGTTTCATGAGTGGCTTAACTATCTTAAATTTCATGAGTGGCTTAGTCATCTAGTATTTTCATGAGTGGCTTAGTCATCTAGTATGTAAATGAGTGGCTTAACTATCTTAAATTTCATGAGTGGCTTAGTCATCTAGTATTTTCATGAGTGGCATAACTATCTTATATTTCATGAGTGGCTTTAGTCATCTAGTATTTTCATGAGTGGCTTAACTATCTTAAATTTCATGAGTGGCTTAGTCATCTAGTATTTTCATGAGTGGCTTAACTATTTTAAATTTCATGAGTGGCTTAGTCATCTAGTATTTTCATGAGTGGCTTAACTATCTTAAATTTCATGAGTGGCTTAGTCATCTAGTATTTTCATGAGTGGCATAACCATCTTATATTTCATGAGTGGCTTAGTCATCTAGTATTTTCATGAGTGGCTTAGTCATCTAGTATTTTCATGAGTGGCTTAACTATCTTAAATTTCATGAGTGGCTTAGTCATCTAGTATTTTCATGAGTGGCATAACCATCTTATATTTCATGAGTGGCTTCATCATCTTATATTTCTTGAGTGGCTTAACCATCTTATATTTTATGAGTGGGTTAACCATCTAGTATTTCATGAGTGGCTAAACCATCTTGAATTTCAAGAGTGGCTTATCTATCTGTATTTTATGAGTGGCTTAACTTTCTGTATTTTATGAGTGGCTTAACTTTCTAGTAATTTCATGAGTGGCTTTACTATCTAGTATAAAATCATAATTTTTTTGTGCGGGATTGAGTTTTGCTAATTTTTATAATTGAAGATTGTCAGGAAAATAAATGTTGTTCTCTAAATTCATTTGAACGTAACAAAACTAAAAACAGAATTTAACCGCGCCAGTAAGTGTGAAATGTTAATTTCGACAATATGTTTATATGTAATCTTTTCATTTACATAATAAAGTAAATAAAATAAATTTTATGGACTGAGTATGAAGCTTAAAAACCTTTTTTGGAAATTATCTCTGTTTAATCATTTGCTAATAATTTTTATTTTCAGCTTATACTAAAAGCCTGTGCAGGTATCGACTATTCACAGTTTATCAAAATGCTCCGTGTAATAGCTGAGCACAGAATTAAACAGTTAAAAGAAATTAGAAAAATATCGCACACAGCTACAGTGTTACAAACAGATAACATAGAAGTTCATAATGATGGACAGATAATAGATAGTGCATGTAAACAAACAAGTAATGTGGAAATTCATAATGAAGGACAGATAATAGATAGTACATGTAAACAAACAAGTAATGTGGAAATTCATAATGAAGGACAGATAATAGATGGTGCATGTAAACAAACAAGTAACCTGGAAGTTAATAATGAAGGAAGGATAATAGATAGTGCATTTAAAACCTGTTGTAATATAGGTACAGATTTCAGTCTGACGGAGATGTATCGTGCTTTAACAGAAACTGTCGACAGTGATGAAGGACAGGGTGCGAGTTGTATAGAGCATTGTGAACAGAATTGTGATATTTACGTAGACAAGACAAATAACAGTAAGAACGTTCCTGAAAATATTGAAAGCGACTTGAATAAATGTGACCCATCAGAAAATGATCATCAGAGGAAGGGAACCTGTGAAATATGTGAACATAATCGAACAAAAAAGACACTTTCTGAAAATGGTGGAATTGGGAAATGTGAACATTTTGTTAACTGTGTTGACTCGTCAGAGTGGTGTGAAAGTGACTATTTATTATTTGATTTGTACCGTATTAGACAGGTCCTGCAGATTATTATATCGGATGATGATTATCGGAAATTAGAATTGGAATGTTCTGATTCTGCTGAATATATCTTAAATGAAATAAAACTTTATCTTTCTTAATGAAATAAAACTGTATCTTTCGTAATGAAATAAAACTTTGTCTTTTCTTTTGACAAAAATCTTTGCCTTTCATAATGAAATACAACTTTGTCTTTCGTAATGAAATAAAACTTTGTCTCGTAATGAAATAAAACTTTGTCTCGTAATGAAATAAAACTGATCTTTTGTAATGAAATAAAACTTTGTCTCGTAATGAAAAAAACTTTGTCTCGTAATGAAATAAAACTTTGTCTCGTAATGAAATAAAACTGATCTTTTGTAATGAAATAAAACTTTGTCTTGTAATGAAATAAAACTGATCTTTCGTAATGAAATAATACTTTGTCTTTTGTAATAAAATAAAACTTTTGTCTTTCGTAATGAAAGAAAACTTTGTCTTCATAATGAAATAAAAAAACTGTATCTTTCCTAATTACATAAAAGTTTGCCTTTCGTAATGAAATAAAACTTCGTCTTTTGTAATGAAACAGAACTTTGTCTTTCATAAGATATTTTTAAATTATGATAAATTGTGCTGTTCTTTATGTGTTTAACTTTATGTTACTCTACGCTACCTTGCGAAAGAGAAGTGAAGTGGCAGTTAGGATATGACTTTAATGTGATTGTTCTTCTTCATGATCTAGATGAAATTAAATATTTACCATCTTTATGTAACAGTGTCATACTTGATATGAGTTAAAACTTAACCCATACTTTATATGGATTTGTTTTAGTTTATTTTTATCAGAAGCTATATGCTTTTAACCCTTTCGCTGCCAGAGGGTTATTGTTTTATTGATCACCTTTTTGCCAGAGGGTTTTCTAAGAAATTACTATATTATTAATTAATATAATTATAATTATTTGTTATTAGTATTATAATAATTATATATGTTTCCAAATCTGTGAGAATAATAATAATTATTGTTGATGGTATAATTTTCTTTATATTTATTATTATTTTTATTATTATTATTAATTTATTATTATTACCATTATTATTATAGAAATGGCTAAAGCCGTCCATATGGCAAATACGCCGAAAATAACAGGGACGGCATAAGCCGTCCCTATGGCAGTGAGAGGGTTAAAAACCCTTATACATGTACTTCTTTGCCTAGAGCCAACCAGTGATAAGCAATGAGACTAATAATATCTGTCATATGTTGCAGTTTAGATCAGAATATCAGTCCATAATGGACCGGGCAGTAACGAAGCTTGCAGAGTTACCGCCCATGGGGTTTCCGAAGGACTGATATTCCTATCCGAACCGCAAACATATGTTAGATATTTTTTCTTGCATATTCTACCATATTCTATCATATTTTAAATTCTTTAACTTAATAAAACAATTTTCCATGGAAATTTATGTCATTACAGCGTTAAAAGTGTAAAGGTGAAGTAACGTCATTCTTAGCATGCCTTTTTGCCTGGTGAAATGGGTAAAACTAACAGAAACACCAGTCTGCTATGCTAGACTAAAGTTTCTTGCTCTGGGAGATAATGGCTTACGGGGTTTGAATCCAGTCCTTAGATTACTAGTATCTTCAAAACAACAGATTGGAATGGTTTGAAACTTCACATACTTATTTTAGAGCATGGATTTTGTCAGAATAATGGCCCTTTTTGTACTTAAAAATTCTAAAATATCCAGGTAGAGTTTTCACTGATAATTAAGGATCAGGATCAAATTTAAAAACTAACATGTTCTCCATAAAATTGGACTTGACACAGAATTTTTATACCATTTTAGAATAAATTAATTGTTAATTTACAAGATATGGGCATTTTACATTTGTTGATCCTTATTTTGATATGATTATTTTTGTGTTTGTTTTGTTATTTGTCAGTTTTATCCCGTAAAGAGTTGTTTCTTTGCAAATCAGCATTTCTTACAATTTGCTTATGTACCATATAATTCCAGCAAAATATGACTTATTATAGTTTTATAAAGCAATGGAAATAAAATCAGTATCATTTGAACTTAACCCTGATCTTTGCTTAGTGAACACGTGGCCAGTCTTATGTTACTGGCTCACCTGAGCACAAAGCACCAAAAGTCAAGCAAGACTTTCCTACTGACAGCTCTTGTTTTAACATTATCCTCTTAAAATACTTGGTCGATTTTTACCAAACTTCACTTGAAAAATCTTAAGGTGACTGTCTACATATGTTGTATAAATGGTTCAGTCCTCTGGCGAACTTACTCCCTGATAATTGACTAACTCCGTAATAAAGAATTTTTGAGCCGTGTCATGACAAAACCAACAAAGTGGCTTTGCGACCAGCATGGATCCAGACCAGCCGTCGCATCCGCGCAGTCTGATCAGGATCAATGCTGTTCGCTTACAAACTCTATAACAAGTAGAGAAACTGATAGCGAACAGCATGGATCCTGATCAGACTGTGCGGATGTGCAGGCTGGTCTGAATCCATGCTGGTCCCAAAGCCACTATGTTGGTTTTGTCGTGACTCGGCTCATTTGTTTTATTTCCCAGCTAATCATAAAAAAAATTTACAGCTTCGAAAATAAATGACAAATCTTTTGTGACTGGAAGTGCACCATGAATATATAACAGTAAAAGTAAATTTGTACCTACGGATTAACTGGGGAAAACCCACATTTGCTGAGTTTAGGATAACGCCTATTGATCTCGAACATTGAGTTTTACAGTCATGTGTCTCTCACTGCTGATGAATAAGAATTAGTAGTCAGTTACTTGCTTTCTTAGATCAGAATTGCCCCCCCCCTCGGGGGTCAATTGATTGATATAAATGTGCATTAAACACATTTAAGCCTAAAAGTCTGAAACTGTAATGCATTGCCTTAGATATTGGGCAGGAAACATTGCATTGTGGGCTTCTACAAAATTGTTGTTGTTTTTTTTAAATAAATATTTGGCTTTCCATTTGGTCACTTACTCACCACTTCGACCTATGTAATAAGAAAAACAATAATAATGATAATCAAAGTCATCATCATCATCTTCACCACCACAACCACCACCTTTATTATAGTAATGATAATTATCATCACCACCACCACCTTTATTATAATAATGATAATCATCACCAACACCACCACCTTTATTATAGTAATGATAATTATCATCACCACCACCACCTTTATTATGATAATGATAATTATCAACACCACTACCACCACCTATATTATAATAATGATAATTATCAACACCACCACCTTTATTATGATAATGATAATTATCATCACCTACCACCACCTTATATTATGATAATGATAATGTATATCATCATCACCCGAACCACCCACCTTTATTATGAATAATGATAATTATCAACACACCTACCCCACACCTATATTATAATAATGATAATCATCACCAACACCACCACCCTTTATTATAGTAATGATAATTATCATCATCCACCACCACCTTTTTATAAGTATAATAATGATAATAATTATCAACACACCTACCACCACTATTATTATAATAATGATAATTATCATCACCACCACCACCTTTATTATAGTAATGATAATTATCATCACCACCACAGCCTTTATTATGATAATGATAATTATCAACATCACCACCTTTATTATAATAATGATAATCATCATCATCACCACCACCTATATTATAATAATGATAATTATTATCACCACCACCTATATTATAATAATGATAATTATCAACACCACCACCTTTATTATAATAATGATAATCATCATCATCACCACCACCTATATTATAATAATGATAATTATCATCACCACCACCTATATTATAATAATAATAATTATCAACATCACCACCACCACTTTTATTATAATAATGATACTCATCATCATCACCACCACCTAAAGTATAATAATGATAATTATCAACACCAACACCACTTTATTATAATAATGATAATTATCATCACCAACACCACCTTTATTATAATAATGATAATCATCATCATCACCACCACCTATATTATTATAATGATAATTATCATCACCACCACCTATATTATAATAATGATAAACATCACCACCACCACTTTTATTATAATAATGATACTCATCATCATCACCACCACCTAAAGTATAATGATGATAATTATCATCACCAACACCACCACCTTTATTATAATAATGATAATTACCACCCCCACCACCCCCAGGACACTGTTAATTGACCAGGTACATGTAGGGGTACTTCGAAGTCAAGTGTCAAGTTATCATAATGACATTAATTGATATCGACGTAGCTTTGGACAGTTTACCGTTTATATATGAGTATGTGTATATACAAAATATTAACATCACAGTTCACTTAATTTTACTGCTGTTCACATACAAGTATTTTAATACAAAAAGTTAAAAATATTAAGATATCATGACGTGTGACACAGTTCAATCGGAACCAAATCGAACAAAATTGTTTTCGTTTCCAAAACGAACGACCGCGATATGTTTTTGGAAATTCACATAAAATTAGACTCGGATCAATTGATAATTAAGCTTTAGCCATTGTGAACACAATCTGCGTGCTACTGTTCTTGACTGTAATATTTTTTTTCAATTGTTTAATGATATATAATTATGAGATGAAAAAGAAAGAATATAACAACATCAATTAATGTTTATTTTTCATTTGTCAAATATTAATTATAATTCATAATTCATATTTTATGCACAACTGTCCGTCCGTTATGCAATCGGAAGTCAACATTTAACTCTTTATACTGACATGCCAAAATAATTTGTACTAGCGGCAGATTGTAAACTGTGCCAAATACATGGGAAAACGCTCCTGGGAGAATGAAAAAAAATTAAAAAATACGGGGGTGCATGCCCCCCTACTTTACCAATTTCGCCACACGAATCACAAAATCGTGACGACGGGCCTGCAGGGGTCAAATATACTTGGAAATATCATGGGCAATGAGTATTGAAATAATGGAATCTTGTTTAAGTGGATTTTTATGGTAAAAATAGGAGAAAAATATCATAGAAAATTAAAGAGTATCCTTGAAAAGCATGATGATGCATTAAAAGATTAAAAACAATTTATTATTAAATCTAAAAGCATATACAAACATGTTTTAGGACATCTATGAACAGATATTTTCTTTTTAAGTTGAATATACTTAAGACAAAACACATTGGTTTTTCTACTATCACTATCACATCATTTTAAAATATGTTTACCATCAAATATTTGGACGTCCGTGGCCGAGTGGTTAAGGTCGTTGTCTTCAAACCACTTGCCCCTCACCGCTGTGGGTTCGAATTCTTTCATCCAGCTAGCTTACGGAATGTCGGTGGTTCTACTCAGGTGTCCGTTCGTGCCTGAAATCCCGCTTTAGCAGAAATGAACCTAAATGGGGCACAAATAGTCAGCACAAGAACTCGCTAGAACCACTGGTCTGACAATTAATTGTAAATTTAGCCCTTTGCAATGTGTTATTTTTATTGACTTATATGATACGGTAGAAAATGTAGTAATGTTGCATATGAAATCCTCTTTTCAGTAGTTTCCTTTACAGAAAAGCAACAAAAACATGTGCCTCGTTATTGTTTTTAGCCAGTTGAGAAAAGAAAAATCAAACGAGCATGTGAAATCTATTAGCACAACGTCTATAATAGTAATAACCAAACTCCTCACAGTGATTACCTCCCTTGGCAGATTGTAATCCTTACCTTCACAGACGTCACATAATGATGGAACTCACATTACGTAACGTCGAAATTCAAATGTAAATATTGACCGATACATAGAAAATCTAACGTCATTTTTCTCTTTCTGTTTTATTTTTCGTAGATCTACCTACGTTCGATATACTTTATCAAAAAATTATCAAAATTATACAAAATAACGAAAAATAAATTCAAAAGCTAAACAACATAAAATATCAAAATATTGTCTCGTCATAATTTTTAAAGTTATTTCTAAATATTTATTCATAAACATTGTTTTATCAGTGAGGAAAAACATTTATTTATTCATAAACATTGTTTTATTAGTGAGGAAAAACTTTAATGATAGATTAAAGCAGTAGATATACAATTTAAAAAAAAATAGTATATCAGAAATTCTGATATATCGGACCGTGGTGGCAAAGAATTAAGGGGAGATCACTGCGTGAAGATTGAGTAATTTGCTGCCAATGAAGATTCTCGAAGCTCTATATAACCTGGAACATGTTATTCTGAAATCATGAAAACATCACTGAAAAGTCATGGAATTTGGTTTCAGCAGTTATTTTGAGCCCTGGTTGCAGAAAATTGGTTACAGAAAATGCTTTATGTAAACATTTACAAGACCTTAATTAGTAATCATTACATATTAATTATAATATTTACATTGTTTCAATGACAATTCGGCATACGAGTGTTTTTTCACAATTGTATTGCAATAATATATTTAGCTTTATAAAGGATAAATAGTCGTTGTCAATGCGTACGAATTCAACAAACTATATTATGATTTACAAACACGTGTCAATAATTCAAAATTTATACATCCCGGCCATCTTTTGTAAACCGGATGTAGTTATTTATGTGTAAGAATAATTATGATTGTATGACAATTTATCTTAAACGCTTACATAAAACTGACGAGACGCTTTGTAAATATGTTTAGGCATTATGAACGCATGAATACCTTCCTTTGAACAAAAATGTTCAAACAATACAACGGAAATGCCATTGTCAGAGCCTTTCTTTTTGGCATATTAAATACAAGTCGAAAGAACAATGGAATTTCTATAAGTAAGCATTCAATCTAACAAGTAAAATTATATGCTTTGTATCATAATGTTTTGTATCATAATGTATTTGTGAATGTATTATTTATGTCATAGCTCTTGGAAAAAATGCCTATGTAACGAATTATTGATTTATCAAAGGGCTTTTAACTTATATGTTTTATCTAAACGTCTAAATAGCTTTGATTATATTCATTCACTATGAAAATGAATTATCAGAAGTAATTTTGCT